TGTGGCTTCGATCAGTACATATTCACTATAGTACGGTTTGAAAATTTCAAAACAAATCAATCTGTCAATTAAAATTTATACGTCAAAAAGTGACGTTTATAAAATTTGTCCACTAAAATTTACATTTTTTTGATTACGTAGTTAACAAATAAAAAATATCAATCAAATTAATTAAGTTTTCAATTATGTAAGATTACAAATGGATACTGGGTAATTCTTTTTTTATACTCAATGTATGAATTAAAAAATATTCATTTGCGTATTGTGTGTTTCATTTAATTCGCATCTATTTTACATAATCACATAGCATTAACAGAAACTGAGAAATCTTTTGTATTACATTTTTTATTTCGCATAGTGCGGCTTCGATCAATGCGGATTTTTGGACAATGTGGACAATTTGTCCACAAAACAACAAATTAACAAAGAAATATCAATAAAATTAATTAAGTTTTCAATTATGTACGATTACAAATGGGTACTGGGCATTGCATTTTTTTTTACTCAATGTACGAGTTAAAAATATGCATTTGCGCATTGTGTTTCATTTAATTCGCATCTATTTTACATAATCACATAGCATTAACAGAAACTGATAAATCTTTTGTATGACATTTTTTGTCATTTGCGCATAGTGCGGATTCACTATAGTACGGTTTGAAAATTTCAAAACAAATCAATCTGTCAATTAAAAATTGAACGTCAAAGACTGATGTTTATAAAATTTGTCCACAATTTTTTTGATTTTTTTTTGATTACGTAAGTTACATATAAAAAATATCAATAAAATGAATTAAGTTTTCAATTATGTAAAATTACAAATGAATACTTAGCATTTCATTTTTTAAACTCAATGCATACATTACAAAATATGCATTTGCGCATTGTGTTTCATTTAATTCGCATCTATTTTACATAATTACATAGCATTAACAGAAACTGAGAAATCTTTTGTATTAGATTATTTTTTTCATATATTTTAAGAATTATATAAAAAATTATTATAAAACTCAATGTATGATTATAAAAATTGTATCAGATTGAACAAACTTAGGTTTTACAAATTTTTAAACAATAAAAGTAAAATATAAAAAACAATTTGCGAATTATCAAAGTTATCAATTATGCAAGATTTCAAGTGAATATTGTTTTTATAAAAGTCAATGTAAGAGTTATAAAAAAGTTGTTTAAACAATTTTATAACTGAATTAAATAAAATTAATTATGTTTTCGATTATGCATGAATATAAATTAAAATTTAGCAATTATTTCATATTTTCTTACTTTTTAAGAATTATGGAAAATTTTGTTATAAAATTGTCTGAAAAGTGATAAAAAAAATATCATTTTTCAGAAGATTTTTAAATAATTTAATAACAAAAGTTTAATCGACAAAAATAATTATGTTTTCGATTATGCACTTACATAAATTAAAATTTAGCAATTATTTCGTATTATTATTTGTTTCTTACTTTTTAAGAATTTTACAATATTTTCTTATAAAACTGACTTTAAAGTGTTACAAAAATAACAGTTTTCAGAAGATTTTTATATAATTTAATTACATAAGTTTTCTCAGCAAAATTAATTTATGTCCTTACTTTTTAAGAATTATACAAAATTTTCTTATGAAATTGTCTAATTTTTAAAATGTTATTAATATCAGTTTTAAATAATTCCATAACAAAAGTTTTCTCAGCAAAATTATTTAAGTTTTAGATTATACACGAATACAAATAAAAACTTAGTAATTATTTCGTATTATATTTTTCTTACTTTTTATTTATAATAATGAAAAATGACGCAAAAGGAAATTTTAATAACTTAAGATATAACAAAACATTATTTTTTTTACTTTTTATTAAAATGACGCAAAAGGAAATTATAATAATTCAAGAGATATTTTAATTAAATAAATTAAATAAATAAATTATATAAAATGTAATTAATATGAAAATGATAAAACATCTTTATATTCGATAAAACGTAATTAAAATTAGGATACGAAAATTGCGCGTAGACTATGTTACGTCGAATCAACGGTTCCCAAACGTTAAGCAAATTTTTATATGATCAAGAGAATGAGTACGCTTTGCATACTTGTATAATTGGTTGATAATAAAGCAATGAAAATCAGTTGCATCTGTGACTCTCAAACATCGCATTTATGCAGTGATGAATCATCTGCACCTGCGGATCTCAAACTTTTACGTTTTGAACACCTGCACAATTAGTAGATAAGAAATTAATAAAAATTAGTCGATAGCGTCCGATCTACGACACGATGAATCAGCTGCACCTGCAGATCTCAAACTTTATAATATATATGAAAAATTGTACGATTTACTTCAAATTTATTGAAAACTACATTATACATTATTTTAAAAACTCTTTTAAAAACAACACTTTTTTAAATATTAAATTTCCTATATAATATCACCAATTATTCCATATGTTATCACCAATACATAATAATTATAACTTTGCCTATGGTCATTTTTGCCTTACAAATTATATATTTAAACTATGTTTGCAATGTAACTTATATAATGAATTGTTCAAAAACATGATTACATTACTTATCAAGTAAATCATGAATTAGTTTAAAATCCAAATATTAATTATTGAGTTATTAAATTAATTAAGTTTGTTTTAATTAGAGTTTTTGAACAAAAATTTAATTAATTTATTGAGTGTTGAAAAATTAATAAAACTTTGCATTTAATTTTCTCCTTTTTTAATATTATGTAAATTGTAATTTATATGGAAATGATCAAACATTTTTTTATTTTTTAAGAATTATACAAAATTTTCTCATAAAATTGTCTGGAAGTTAATAAAAATATAATATTTCAGAAGATTTTTAAATAATTTAATAACAAAACATTTCTCAACAAAATTAATTAAAAATTAGCAATTATTTCGTATTTTCTTACTTTTTAAGAATTATAGAAAATTTTCTTATAAAACTGACTGTAAAAACTAACTGACTAAAAAAAAATATAAGATTTCGGAAAATTTTTAAATAATTTAATAACAAAAGTTTTCTCAGCAAAATTAATTATGTTTTCGACAATGTACAATTTAACAATTATTTCGTATTAAATTTTTCTTACTTTTTAATAATTTTACAATATTTTCTTATAAAACTTACTTTAAAGTGTTACACAAATAACAGTTTTCAGAAGATTTTTATATAGTTAAAAAAAATAACAGTTTTCAGAAGATTTTTATATAATTTAATTACATAAATTTTCTCAGCAAAATTAATTTATGTCTTTACTTTTTAAGAATTATACAAAATTTTATAGTAATGAAAAATGACGCAAAAGAAAAGGATCTTTGACTCGATGAAGCATGTGCACCTGTGCTTCTCAAACTTATGCGTTTTGAACACCTGCACAATTGATAGATAAGAAGCAATAAAAATTAGGCGAAAACGCACGATCTTCGACACGATGATTGAAAAGTCTATAAATTATTTTTAAAACTCTTTTAAAAACAAGACTTTTTTTAAATAATCAGTTTCATTTTTATACATTCAAATAATGTATTTCCAAATAATGATAATGTTATCACCAATAAATAATAATTATGAGACATTGTCTATCATATTTCTTGCGTAACAAATTATATATTTAAAGGATATTTAAAGAAAGTACTGTGTAAAACTAGCGATAGGTGTATATATATTTTAGAACGAAAAAAAAAAGCGAAAAATAAAATTATAACAATTCAAAACATATTTTAGAATCAGGTAATAATTAAATAAGATAACAAATTTTAATAATACTTTGCATTTAATTTTCTCACTTTTTATTTTCTACATTTTTAATAATATTTTTACATTATTATTTAACAATACTCTAAATTAGCATATTTTTAAATAATTTTATAACAAACAAAATTTTTAAATTGATAAGATATGACTGTTCAATATAAATATTAATATTCTTAGAAAACAAATCAATACTAATGTTTTAGAAGTTTAATCCGTTCCAAAATTTCCGGATTTTTAGTGAAACATATTCAAAAATACACATAATATGTGTACACAAGTTTTAAAAATGATGTAACAGGCGCGCAATCCGGGACTTCTCTTGTCATCGTCACTCGTTGTGCGAAACGGCACAACTGTATTTCAATAATTACTATTATATTTATAATATTATCAACAAAAGTAAAGCGAACAACGCAATAGTAAAAAAATATCAGCAAAATTAATTATGTTTACGATTATGCGTGCGATTACAAATTAAGAACGATATTGAGTTCAGGAAATGAAACTGGAGATTGTTGAATCGTATATAACGATATGAACAATTAGGAAGTCCAAAAAAAAAACAGCACAATTTTGTTTACAACTTTAACTGACGTTGAACTTGATTGAAATAATATATCTGAAATTAATGATAACAAATTTGGATTTCTAATAAAAGTTTAATTCAGGAACATATTTTGATAATTCTCATAACTTCTTTTAAACGCAAATATTAATTGTTATTATCAATGAAATTACAATGATTCAACGGTAGTTTAACACCTACACAACGCTTATATATCATTGAATTCCTAAATTCACAGAACGCACAATCTGCGAATACCATGAAAGCCATTATCTGGACAGGATTTCAGGGGCATTTTAGGAATATCCCGGGAACGATAAACGGAGCCCCCAATTAGACGATCCTTGACACATTTTTTTTTGTACAACAGAAATATACTATTATCATCCTTTTTTTTTATCCAAACGATTCGTTTTCATTGTTTTTTTTTTTAAATTTATTTATTTCATGTTCATTTATCAAAATAAATGGCTCCATATGAACCCTGAAACAAAACAACATAAAAAAAACAACATAAGATTACGTTCTCACCGCATCCTGTTCCGATCCACCTACATCTACGAGGAAGAAAAATTCTGAAGGCTAATCAGTGAAACACGGGATGAAATCAGGGATACTGTTGGTGGGAGAGATGTTATATAAAGGCGAGAGCAACGTTTCGCAACAAAATCATACAAATTCGTTCCTCTAAATCGGTTCTTGCATGTGCATTCATCCCATGGAGAAAAGACAACTTTAAGACAAAAGATGTTTTGGAAGTTGCTTGTCCCAATACTATTGGGACATTTCATCGTATTGAATGCGTAAGTTCAATATACAAATATATAATTAAATTACATAATTTAACTATTAAGCTTTAATACAACTTAATTTTTTCAATTTAATTTAATTGACATTGAAGTATCATCAAATTTTAAAGTTTGTCAAAGTTCTAAAACTATTTAAATATTTGATTAAAATTATATTTTACTTAAGTTTAATGTAATTAAAACTTAAACAAAGTCAATTAATTAATTAATTAATGATTGATAAACAATTATTTCTCGCTTAATAAATGAATCAAAATGGTTTTCAAAATGACTTTAATTTGAAATTTTTTCAGCCAATACGTGCCGAGCTTTTTGAAAACGAAATATGGCAGCGCTTTTGGAGGAAATCCTAAGTAAGTTTATACTTGTAATCCAATTACAATTTCAATTGAATGTTAATATTTCATGATTAAAACACAATATTTTATGAAATTATTTCAGCCAAGGTGTGAAAACCTACACGAAAACCAAGACCAAAACGAAGACGTCTTACGGAAAACCTGGAAACTATGGAGACGCAAAGTATAATGGCGGTAAGATCTTTTGTTTAAATCAAATAAACTTTGTTTTGTTTTTGTCAACAAGAAGCTGCATTTGAGGTTATATTCCGAATTGAGATTCAATTGTGAGCTATTAATTGTATTACTTTTAATTGGTCAATTATAACTTTGTTAACAGTTTCAGCGATAAGCGCTTTGTTGATTATGAGTGTTACTTTTGAAAACAGGAAGCTAACAATTCAAATTAGACTTCCTGCATGTACTTTATAATTTTATCAGTGTTTTAATCAATTTTTGCAGGATGCAGAACAGAACCTGTGACTCCGTACAACTCAGGTATTACCTGCTCAAAGTTCAGTGGATGCGTAGCCAAGTGCATCTCTGGATATCAGTTCCCCAATGGAGATCAGAGCATTTACCTCAGTTGCACCAATGGTGTTTGGGGTGTCAAGTATGGTGTCTGGGAATCAATTCCATCTTGTGAACGTAAATATATTAGATTTTAAATGTGTGTTTTTTGTGCTAACTTTCATATTCTTATAGCCATCTGCATGCCGCAGTGCCAGAACAATGGTATCTGTGTTGCTCCGGACAAGTGCAATTGCCCAGAGAACTTCTCCGGCCCACAGTGCCAGTATGAGAACAAGCCTTGTTTCAATTACCCATCCATGCCGAGGAATTCCAAGAGATCTTGCAGATCAAAGTAAGTTAATCACCTGTTGCTCGTTGATACAATTCAATAATTTATTTTACTTTTTAGCATCTGCACCATCTCCTGCATGCCTGGACATGAATTCCCTGGAGGCTCCAGCATTACAACAATGGAATGCAAGAATGGACGTTGGGAACCTACCAAACAAGGATGGGCCACAGTTCCTGATTGCTCAGGTAATAATCAGTGGATTAATTACTTGTAATGGATTTATGGAGATTAACTTAATGTTTTATTTTATAGCTAAATGTGATCCTCCTTGCCAAAATGGAGGAAACTGCTTATCATTGAATGTATGCCAATGTCCACAGAACTTCAGAGGACCCCAGTGCCAATACTGTAAGAAATCTTGCAAATAATTAATGAATAATTGTAGTAATGTACACTTGTTTCACAGCTTCAAGTGCGTGCAGTGCTAGGAAACTGCAATTCAATGGACCATACAATTGCACAGGCAATTTGGATTCGTTCAGTTGTTCAATCTCTTGTCCAGAAGGAATCCAATTCGAATTCTTCCCGGAATCACTGTATACCTGCACATACGATACAGGAGTTTTCTTGCCATCACCTGTACCACAATGCGTTTATCGTAAGTTTCATTCTTTCCTCAAAATGATCTAATTAATTGATATATTTATTATTCAGCTAAAAACGTTAATGTAATCCCACTGGAAGGAGCATCGCACAGTTTTTACAAAACGGGCTTTTCAATGAATTCTCTAACGATCAATGGAAACAAATACAAACACGACAATGATTTTTGGTCTACATCGAAATGGAATCAAATGGCTGTACGAATGAATATAATGGTTTTATTTCAAACGCATCATTAATCCTCGTTTTTAGGCACCCACAGTTGATAGCCATGTGGAAATCATACCGCTGAAGCAGTATCGTACCTTGGAACATCAAGTCGTCATCATTGAGGAAAGGACACCGAAACCAGGAGTTTGCTTCACCTGGGGCGGATCTCATTTCAAGACTTTCGATGGTCGCGTTTTCAGCGTTCACTCCGATTGCGCTCATACGTTAGCTCGGGATGCAGTTGATAACACTTTCAGTGTCATCGTTTCCAACAATCCGTGCAAAGAGAATCATAACGATTGTTACAAAATCATCACTATCTACCTGCAGGACAAAGAGTACACTTTAAAGAAATCAAGTAATTTATTTTCTGCAATTAAACATCAATCAAACGTATTAATTATATATATTATTTTCAGATAAAAACGTACCGATTTTGGTTGGAAAGAAGAAGACGTTGCCTATTCCTGGACAAGTTCCTGGATTACGCGCTGAATTGTCGGCTCATTACGTTATTGTTTCTTTGGATTCGGTTGGAGCTAAGATAAAATGGGACGGACATGTAAGTTATTATCATTGAATAAATGTTGTAATGATTATTAATAATATTAAATTATTTAGCAAATGGTTCAATTGGAAGTAAACGAAGCTCTCTGGAATAGAACTGCAGGTCTTTGCGGTCATTTCGACGGAGACTCCTCAGACGATTTAACTTCCAAGGACGGTACTCAACCCAATAACTTAGTAACTTTAGCTAAAAGCTGGCAAGTTGATAAGTTAAATGGTAAAGTATATTTCTATTTATTGCATTATTTTATTATTACCTAACGTTATTTTAGACGATTGCAAGTCGAATCCTACCGAAGAACACGTTTGCCAAGGATCGGGTATCTTCGGTTCTCAATCACACAGGGCTACCGAATTCTGCAAGAAACTATTGAGTGATGCACGATTCGCTCGTTGCCATGCTGTAAGATATACAAACAAAAATTGGTGAAAATGTAACTAAAACAAATGTTTAGGTATTGGATACTACTGTACTCTTGGACGCTTGCCGCTGGGATTACTGCTCTTGCGAAAGCTCTGACCCCGAGGAGTGTGCTTGCGAAACAGTCAACGTCTTTGTAAGAGCTTGCGCTTACAACGGTGTCAATGATTTGGGTATATGGAGAGACGAAAAAACGTGTCGTAAGTTAACGAATTTTCTAATATTTCCAATATATTTCATAACTTGTCAAATTTCTTGCAGCAATGAAATGTACGGGAGGTCATGTTTACATGCCCTGCGCTCCAGTGGGCGGTCAAGCAGTCTGCGGAGCTTCGGTAGAAAAAACTGAAGGTTGCGAAGAGGGTTGCTACTGTCCAATTGGAACAGTTATGCATGATGGTAAATGCATCACCAGAGATAAATGTCCTTGCAGATTGCGCGGAAAAGATTTTCCTTCGGGATCGAGCGTACCAAAAGACTGTAACACTTGTACTTGCTCCGAAGGACAATGGATTTGCACTCAGGTCGCTTGCGGTGCCAGATGCTCGGCATTGGGAGATCCTCATTACATCACCTTCGATGGGAAACGATACGATTTCATGGGACAATGCTCATACTATCTAATGAAAACCAATGATACTGAAATCGAAGCTGAGAACGTGGCTTGCAGCGGCACCATTTCTCAAGCTATGAACTTCCCTAGCAGCATTTCAACAGGTTTGCCCTCTTGCACTAAAACTGTTACCGTTAAGTATGGTGGACAAACCATCAAACTTAAACAGAACCACGAGTTAACAGTTAACGGTTTGGAAATAACAAAACTTCCATACAAAGTTGCGGATATTACTGTGAGGAGTGTCTCATCCATTTTCATGATAGGTAAGATCTTCAATATTGACAATAGCATATTCTAAATACTTTTTTCAGTTGAATTACCCAATGGCGTTGAAGTTTGGTGGGATGGTCTTACGAGAGCTTACGTAGATGTTCCATCCTCATTCAAAGGTAGAACGCAAGGTCTTTGCGGTACTTTCAATGACAACCAGAAAGACGATTTTGTGACTCCTGAAAACGACGTTGAACAATCCGTTATTCCTTTCGCCAATAAATGGAAAACTCATGAAAAGTGCAATGACATCCCTGACAAGTTAAAATCTCATCCATGCGAGATGAACGTTCACAACAAAGCCGCCGCTGAAGGATATTGCAAACATTTGAAATCCGACGTATTTGCCGGTAAATATATTGATTTAAAAATATGTTGGGATTATATCACTAACATTTTTATTACTAGGTTGTCATTGGTATGTTGATCCTGAGCCATTCTATCAAGACTGTTTATACGATATGTGCTCGTGCGAAGGAAAGGCTTCAAGATGCTTGTGTCCGATGTTAGCCGCCTATGCCGAAGAGTGCGCAGCTAAAGGAGTTAAATTAGGATGGAGGTCTGAAGTTCGCGAATGTGGAGTTACTTGTCCTGCTGGACAAACTTATCAAGTGTGCGGAAATCCTTGCACCAGAACTTGCAACGATGTTACTGATAGACCTGATTGTAAACAACGTTGCGTCGAAGGCTGCAATTGCCCAGAAGGACAGACTTTGGACAATAAAGGTGAATGCGTTCCAATTGGTCGTTGTGGTTGTAGACACGACGGATTGGATTTCGCTGCTGGATACAAAGAAGTTAGACCTGCCAGCAAAGGATTGGAACTCTGGTAAATACATACATTAATTAAAATCTATTACAATATATTAATTTTATTATTAGCACTTGCATTAATGCCCAATGGACTTGCAAACCTGCTAAACCAGATGAAATCAAACAATTCCCAAGGGCCAGCGATTTAAAGTCCAAGTGCAACGCTACCCGAAACTTTGTTTTCACCACTTGCGAATCGGTTGAACCTACAACATGCAAAGTATGTATTAAACACCTACTAGTGAATTCTTAGTTTAATATCGATTTGGTATAGAATATGCACGAGGAAGACTTTGTGAGTGCTGGAATTTGCCATCCCGGATGCGAATGTAAACAAGGTTACGTGCTTGATACACAAAGTAAAATATGCGTGAGGCCATCCGAATGTCCATGTCATCACGGTGGTCGAAGCTACAAAGAGAATTCCGTTGTCCAAAACGATTGCAACACATGGTAAGAGATTTTTGAATAATAATACTAGGACTTTAAATTAATCGAAAATATTCATAGTAAATGTCAAAACGGAAAATGGGATTGCACGAATCGTCAATGTTCTGCACAGTGCACCGCTTGGGGCGATTCTCATTTCAAGACTTTCGATGGAAAAATGTTCGATTACCAGGGCCAATGCGATTACGTTTTAGCGAAAGGAGTATTAGAGGCGGATAACTTCGATGTCACCATACAGGTAAATTGTTTGATTGCCAAAAATATTTATATCTTAACTATTCTGTATCCATTTAGAACGTTCCGTGTGGAACTCTTGGAGTTAGTTGTTCAAAATCTTTGACCATCAAAATCGGACCAGAAAGTATCACTCTGACCAGAGGCAAAAAAGTTCCCTTCACCCAAGTCTTCAACCGTTTCACCGTACGCAATCGCGACTTGTTCGTCATAGTTGAGGCTGCTGATTTAGGATTAATTGTGCATTGGGACAAGGGTACAAGGGTTTACGTTAAAGTTGATCCAAGGTGGAAAAATAAGGTAAATATTTGTTTTTAATAATCCAATAGGATTATTATTTAACCACTACAAATCTACAGGTTAAAGGACTTTGCGGTAACTACAACGACAATGAGAACGATGACTTCCAAACACCTTCCGGCGGATTAACAGAGGTTTCTGCTAGGTTGTTCGGTGATTCTTGGAAACTGCAATCGTATTGTCCGGAAGCTCATGAAATTACAGACACTTGCATACAAAGACCTGACAGGAAAATTTGGGCGTTGAAAGAATGCGGCATTTTGAAGTCCTCTACATTCGCTCCATGTCATTCAGAAGTCCCAGTTGACAGTTACTTGGACAACTGCGTTTTTGATTCTTGCGCTTGTGACCAGGGAGGAGATTGTGAATGTCTTTGCACTGCAATTGCCGCTTATGCTCAAGAATGTAACAATAGAGGAGTCCCGATCAAATGGAGAAGCCAAGAGTTGTGTCGTAAGATGGATAACATTTCTGTTTGCACTTAATTTAATAACAATTTCCGTGTAGCAATCCAATGTGATGAAAGATGTTCTTCGTACAGTCCTTGTGTATCTACTTGTCCAGTAGAAACGTGCGACAATTTATTGGTGCAGAGTCCTTTGAGCAAATTGTGCAAGGAGGACAGTTGCGTCGAAGGATGCGAACCTAAACCATGTCCAGCCGGATTCGTCTACTCCAATTCATCGCTTAATGATTGCGTGCCAAAGAGTTTGTGCAAGCCTGTCTGCTTGGAAGTTGATGGAATTGTATACTATGAAGGAGATTTGATGGAGGAAGACGCTTGCAGAAGTTGCTACTGTTCGAGAGGAAGGAAATCTTGTAAGGGCACCACCTGCGCTATTGAAGTAGTAAGTAGAAACTCTAGTAATTGTGAACAAACAAGACATTTAAAACGTCATTATTAGACTACACCAAAAACTGAAGGACCTATCACCCATCAAATGGAACAATTGAACCAATGTAAATCAGGTTGGACCGAATGGATCAATCAGGATAAAATTCAGAATGTTGGCGCCAAAACAAAATCTAAAATGAACAATAAATTCACTGATGTGGAACCATTGCCTGACGACATTATAATGGTAATAACTATAACTAGAATAGAGGAATAGTATGTATTTTTATTTCTAATTTAATTGCAGAACAACTTAAAAGGACCTGCTCGTTGTCCGCAAGATAAAATTGCGAACATTGAATGTCGTACAGTAAGGACTCATAAACACTACAAGGAAACTGGAGTTGATGTGGAATGCAGTTTAGAGAAAGGTTTGATCTGCCAATCAAGGAAAGGACAACGCCCTTGTCCCGATTTCGAGATTCGAGTTTTATGCAAATGCGGTAAAAAATGATTAAAAATTAACTAAAATTTAGAAAATAACTTCTTTTTTTCTCTTAATTGAAACAGAGGAGGAACCTGTGACTACTGTTGTACCATGCGATGTTAGGAAACCCAATGAAGAACATCCAGACGATTGTCACAAGTTTAGGCAGTGCTCTCCAATCACGGGATTGGTTGAGAAGACTTGCGGACCGAACATGCTGTATAATCCGGATACGATGATTTGCGATTGGCCACAGAATGTCTTGAAGATCAAACCACAATGCGAGGAACAAAGTGAGCATTAATTTACAGAGATTTTTGATTTAGTTATTTATTCATTCAAAAAATACGTATTGTTTTAGTAACGAAAGAAACTATTTCGGAAGTAGGTAATGAACCGGAAGTCGTAACGGCCGGAATAGAAGAAGATATTCTTGACAAAGGTGAACCTGCCTGTCCGGATGGTTATGTCATGGACTCGTGTGCCATCGAATGCGACCGTATGTGTCTGCACTATTCTTACATTGTCAAAGAAAGTGGTTTATGTAAGGGTAACACCATCTGCGAATCCAGTTGCGTGTCTGCCAATAAGCAAAGAACTTGTCCTACGGGCATGGTTTGGGCCAATAACAACACCTGCGTTGCAATTCAAAATTGCATGTGCACCGACCACGATGGAAAACCCGTTAAAGTAATTAATTAAGCAATGAAAAAAAAATGCTTGATTACATTAAATTATTTACTTTGCAGCCCGGAACCGTCGTTAAAGAATCTGACTGCATGCTGTGTCAATGCATTGATAATTATTACACTTGCGACAAGAGTACCTGTGGTGATGAAGAGGAAGCATACACAATTTTACCAGATGTCATTGAAACCGTTTCTGGACAACCTAAATACGTAACGGAACCAACTATTATGGTTGTAAACACAGTAACACCTCCGAAAGAATGCAACCCCGACATGTAAGATCTTAGTATATACTTCTAAGCGTTAACATACTCAATTTTCGTTGTTTAGGTACACTGATTTAATACAAGGTGATCAACCTCTACCTGATGATGCATTCTCAGCTAGCACTGTGTTGGGTGCTTCGTTTGAGGCGAAACACTCCAGAATCAACAGCCAAATAACTGCTGATAATGGTAAGTAATATTTAATACTTTAAATTAAAAATAAATATATTCTTTACGTATAGGTGGAAGTTGGATGCCCAAGGATACAAACAAAGATCAATATTTGCAAATTAATTTCGGTAAACCGGAACCCGTTTACGGAATCGTAATTAAAGGAAGTCCGCTTTACGCTGAATTTGTTACCAGTTTTAAAGTTCTTTACAGCAATGATGGAGAAACGTATAGCTTTGTAACCGACAAGAACAAGAAGCCGGAGGTACGTGTCATTAATATATTATATTTTGAACTCTAATTTATTACTATGGTAGGTATTCCGTGGATCATTGGATGGTAATTCGCCGGTCAAACAAATGTTCAACGAACCAATTGAAGCTAAATTAATTAGGGTTAATCCCCAAACCTGGCATCAAAATATCGCATTGAGAGTGGAATTTATTGGATGTGGAGTTACACGCACCACTACTACCTCCTACGGATTAGTCACACCCAAATTCGATCAATGTTTTGATCCAATGGGCTTAGGCGATGGAACAATGTCCGACCAACAAGTTGTAGTCAGCTCCGAATACGGGCCAAATAATTCTAAGAAATATTTGAACATTAAGGGATCAAATGTCTGGAGACCTATGACCAATTCTCCTACAGAATGGATTGAGTTTAATTTGATGGGGCCACGTAACATCACCGGTTTTGTGACTAAAGGAGGTCCAGCTGGATGGGTCACAGCCTTTAAAGTCAAATACTCGAGCAATGGAAAGGATTGGAATCCGATTTTGGACGAGCTCAAGACCGAGCGCACATTCTTGGGCAATTACGACGAGAATTCTCCGTTGATCAATAACTTCGATCTACCAATTTTGGCTACTTACGTGAAAATCTTCCCAGTAAAATGGCAAAAGAATATCGCTCTTAGGATCGAATTGCATGGATGTTTTGAACCTTACCGTAAGATAACTCTAAATGAATTAATAAGCTTTTAAATTAAACTGTAATCATTGCAGCAATAATTGAAGAACCAGTGGCAACTGAAGCCCCATCCCCGTGCAATAGCTGTCCAGGAACGACAGAATCTGAATTGGAATTAGCAGCTTGTCGTTGCCCACCACATCTTTGGTTTGACGGAGAAAACTGCGTTTCTCGACCGGAATGCCCATGCGTTATTGGACATATTCCGTAAGACATTTATTTAAATTAAAGTACTTGATGTAATAATATGATATCTTCTTAGTTATTCCATCGGTACGGTATTCGAGAAAGAAGATTGCTCGCAATGCATCTGTAAACTGGGTGGAGTTTCACACTGTACACCTAAAGTTTGCGACAAATGCGATGAAGGTCTTAAGAGTATCGTTACTAGCACTTGCGGATGCGTTTGTTTACCTTGTGACCCAGGCACTGTACTTTGTCCAACCAGTAACATTTGCATTAATCAAACGTCTTGGTGCGATGGAATCCAAGATTGCCCCGACGATGAGGTGAATTGTAAAACAACCGAAGTACCAACTACCACCATTGAGCCTTTAATTGGAACTACCAAAGTTAGCGAATGTAAATATTATTTTTATATCTATAAGATCCTTATTTAACATATTTTGTTATTTTTTCAGCAATGACCAAGGCATGTCCAAAAGTGGAATGCCCTCCAGGTTATAAAGTCATTCAAAAGAAGCCTGCGAGGTCACAACGATTGAATTCGTATTACTGGACAATGTTCTCGACTCAAGCACAGAAAGTCCCTAAGAAAACCAATTACCTACCAAAGAAGACCAAAGGAGGTACTAAAGGCGGAATCAAGGATGGTTCCCAAGTATCCCAGGTTCCAGCAAAATCTGATAAGACAATGCTCGCTGATAAATCAGTTTGTCCCGAATATAAATGCGTCTCGAATCGACCACCACCAGAATTCATACCTGGAAAACCCTGCCCACCGGCAAGATGTCCTCCAGGTTACAATTTGGAGTTCAACGAGGAAGATGTTAAGGATAGATCAAAGCTTTGTCCAAGATACGATTGCTCTCCTCCGCCTGCACCGGACGCAATTTGCAATGTTACCGGAAGGACGTTTAATACTTTTGATGACACTGAATACAAATATGATATTTGTGATCATATCCTAGTTAGGGATTTGGATAAAATGGAATGGACCATTGGACGTACGTTAATTATTATTATTAATTTTTTTTACTTATATAAATTCTATTCTCTTCTCATTTTCAGTAAAGAAAATATGCAATGAGAAATACTGTACGAAAAGTTTGATCGTAAACCACGACGACCATGTCTTCAAGTTCAATCCAGATTTGAGCGTTGAATATGATGGTTTCACTTACAGCGTTACCCAGACGAAGAAAATCGGAAGTCAATCACAATCTTTCACTATATCTCGCATCGGTCAAACTCTATTATTCGTTTCAAACCACTACGGATTCTGGGTGATCTGGGATACGCAGAGCAACGTGAAAGTTGGAGTTTCTAGTAAACTGCTCGGCAAAGTCGATGGATTGTGTGGATTCTACAATGACAATGGAGCTGACGATAAAAGAAAACCCGCAGGGGAAGAGGCTAGAACAACTGCCGAATTTGGAGACAGCTGGGGCTATGACAAAGAGAAATGCGAACCGAAGACTTGTCCAATTCATATACAGAACAAGGCATGGGATATGTGCAATCAAGTGAAGAGTCAAGTGCTCAGTCCGTGCAGCAAAGTTATCGTTGTTGATACCTTCATTTCACGATGCCTGGAATCAACATGTGCTTGCTTGCAGAACGCTGTTGATAATTCAACAGCTGAAGACCAATGTCGTTGCAAAGCTCTGGAAACGTTCGTTGTTGATTGCATGACCGCTGACAACGACATAGAACTCACCGATTGGAGAATGTTGCACGAATGCCGTAAGTTACTTTAATTTAAATTTGAATTAATATTACATATAAATAATTTTAGCTGTTGAATGTGAGGCTCCTTTGGTCCATCACGATTGCTACAGAAGACGTTGCGAACCTACATGTGAAACTATTTCGGATCCTAATATCTGTCCGAAACTTCCCAACGTTTGCTTCCCAGGATGCTATTGCCCGCCAGGTTTGGTTCGTAAAGGAGATTCTTGTATCAAAGCGTCTACCTGCAAAGATTGCGAATGCAACGTCCTACCTCACTTGCAGTATGTAACATATGATGATACAAATTTCACTGTTAACGGAAATTGCGTTTACGTTATGTCACGCGATGTATTGGAAAAATACCATGACGAACATCAATTCCAAGTGCTTGTAACCAATGCTCCGTGCAGAGATAACAAAGATAAAACATGCGTTGGCAAGGTTACTATTTTATACCAAGGGCACAAGATCCACATTCTGTTTGATGGAATCAAGAACAACCTGAAGTTAATCGTGGATGCAGAAAGGATCGATGATTTTACAGTAATCGCGGATTGGGCTAATGTGAGAGAAACCAAGTCTAAGCATCTTAAGATTCTCCTTACAAAGGCGCAAGTAGAGGTTAGCATTTACTTCCCGTCTCTCGGCGTTTCCGTGAAAGCCCCATCGCATCGGTATGGTGGAAAGTTGGAAGGTTTATGCGGAGATTGCAACAAGGATCCTGAAAACGATATGCGAACACCCGAAGGATTGGTAACAACTGATGCCGACGTTCTTGGACCATCGTGGTTTTATGACAAATTACCTGGAATGACGAGGGAGACCTGCTCCAATTTGCCAAAGGAAGAGTGCACCGAAATGGATGTCAATGATGATCCTTGCGTACAATTGGTCGATATTGAAAGATACGCTCAAGTAAGACATTTACTATTTATTTTTACAAGAGACTACATGAAAGCATACATATTACTAATTGATTGTATTTGATGCGAACGGGTCTGGGGGAATTGGTTTTATAACGTCTTCACATGCCAATTCAATATTTGGATAAATATATTGGAATCCCAGTGAGACAGCTTTGTTGGGCATAACTTTTTGTCCTTTCAAAAGCATGTTTGCTCTATCCTCTTGTAGTATTATCTTTAGCATTGAAGCAGGAACTGGGAACCATGATGGCCTATTCATTGCTTTGGCGAACGCTTTAGAAAATTCCTGGTTGGTTATGAGTTGAGGTGCGACCCCATTAACAGCACCATTCATCTTATTATTTTCAATCGAGTAACATATTAGTCTAGCTAAATCTCGCACATGAATCCAAGGTAGTGGTTGATTCCCTGGATTCACAGGTCCTCCAAGCCCTAGGTAGAAGGGCAGGTAAAGGTTCTTCACCATACCACCGTCGTATCCCAGAACAACTCCACTCCTAATCGCGATCTGTCTACAATTTAAATGACCCGAAAGCTTTCCAGCCTGTTCTAATTCCAAACACATCCTCGAAAAAAAGTCGAAATCGTGTACGTGGCTCTTCTCGGCATAGACCATTCCGGGTAACGGTTCATAGATACCAACGCCTGACATCACTGTGAAGGAAGACACTCTCGAATTGCTTCTTTCAATTAATTTAGCTAGTGTATGGGTTGTGCTTATCCTTGAGTTCCATACTACACGTTTGAACTCCTCAGTCCATCTGTGCTTAAAGTCGAGGATATTTTGTCCTGCCAAATTGACTACGGCTGTAGTCTCCGTTGGCAAACCTCTAACCTTGAGCTCCTGCCAACCCATACAGTTCATGTCGGGTCTCCTGGACACAACGGTCACCCCATATCCTTTGTTGCGTAAAACGCGACACAGGTGACGGCCGACGAAGCCGGTACCACCACCGACTACTACGTGCCCTCTGAGACCCGACATTTCTTACAACGAAATTTGGATAATGAAGAACGTTCTATACTCAGTTACAATTATATACTACTGACAGGTTAAACTTCATCTTGACAACAACAACAGCTTCTATTTTTAGAATAGATATAAAAAAACATTAATTACAAAATCATAACTAATGTTGTTAATTACAGAAAACAATAATTTTGTTAGACGCTTGTAAAATATTTTGCATTGATTATGTATTATAACATATGTTATAATGTGTATGCAAACACATATGCACTTATACTATATAATTGTTTTTCTTTTAGTGTCACCCAGTATTAGATCCAGGCATGTTCATAGAATGGTGCAGAAAGGATACGTGCGGTGGTCATCCGGAATTGGCTTGCCAAGCTATAGCCGCGTATGGTCGCGAATGCCAGAGCAATGGTTTTTGCGTTAAATGGAGGTCGGATCTTTGTCCGGCTCCTAAATGCACTGAAGATCAAGAATACAAATCGTGCGGTGGCTGTTTGAAGACCTGCGAATCAATCAAGAACAAAGACAAATCCAAACATTGCATTCAGATACCCACCGACGGTTGCTTCTGTCCAGAAGGAAAGGTCATGATGAACAACACCTGTGTGGAAGAAAAAATGTGCGTTGTATGTGATGATGAAGGACATCATCCAGGTGATGTTTGGCAAAAGGATGCTTGCACTACCTGCGAATGTGTTGGATCTTCCATGAAGTGCGAGACTAAACATTGCCCAGCTGCCGAAACCGTATGCCAGAGGGGACTAATTCCCGTAAAATTGAACAAAAACGAAAACGAATGCTGCGATAAATACATCTGCGGTACATATCATTTTTTTTTATAATAATTTCCAAAATTAATGATTATATTTTCAGTACCCGCGGCGACTGCTGGCCCCACTTGCGAACCACCACACAAGCTAAATTGTGCCCCAGGACAAATAATGAAATTGGAAACCAAATCTGATGGCTGTCAACAGTTCGTATGCGTTTGCAAACCAATCGAAGATTGCGACAAATATGATATGACCTACGACCCAACCCTGGAACCTGGCATGATGAAAGTATTAAATGACGCTGGATGTTGTCCAGTCGTCAATTTGGTTTGCAAAACGGAAAAATGCCCGAAAGCACCGATATGCGAAGAATTCCATAAATTGAAAGAAAATGTGGGTAATGGCAAGTGCTGTCCTGAATGGATCTGCGAACCTCCACAGAAATGTATTGTGAATTTGGGATACATTGCTGCCGAAGACGGTGGTGAAAGGGTGAGGTCCAAATATGAAAAGCAAAAGGTCCTCAAGGAAGTTGATGAAACTTGGCAGGATGGGCCATGCAGAGATTGCAAATGTTACGGTTCCAATAGCACCGGTTATCAATCGGTATGTTCCGAAACCGAATGTCCTGCCATTACTTCTTCGAGTGATTACAACGATTACGAGTTGGTCGCAAATAAAATCTACGGTATATGCTGCTCGGAAATCAAGAGAGAAGCTTGCAAACACGAAGGTAAAGTACGCAAGGTTGGGGAGAAATGGACACCGGAAGGAGATTATTGCACCAAAATGGAATGCGTTAAAAATGATAAATACGGAATTGCAATCTCCACCCAATCGATCAGTTGTGATGAGAAATGCGAGCTTGGATCTGAATACAAACCAGCTACACCTGAAAGCAAAGAATGCTGCGGTTCTTGCAAAGCTGTCGGTTGCGTTGTCGATGGAGTAGTTAAACAGGTTGGAGAGGAATGGTCTTCTGCTGATCACTGCACTAATTACTTCTGCATTAACCTTAATGGAACTGTAAGTGAACTGAAGACTCGATCTTTTGTAATATTAATTTGAAACATTTCATTATTTAAATTTTGTATGATTTACAGATGCAAATTCAATCAGTGATGGTTGTATGCCCGGATATTCCACAAGAGCAACTGAGGGAATACGTTTACGATTTTATTCCAGTTGAAGGTGAATGCTGCAAGAAACACAGGATGACTGCCTGCAAAGCTGGTTACAATGTTTACTCTGTGGGACACACTTGGCCATCACCTGATGGTGATAAATGCAAGACTATTTCGTGCGTTGAATCCAAGTACGGAGAACTTCTTAAACAAGAGAGCGTTCAGAAATGTAACAAAGATTGCGCCAAGGGCTGGGAATACGTCGAGTCTAAGACAGAGTGTTGCGGTGATTGCGTGCAAGTTGCTTGCGTAATCGGTGATGAGCTCAAGTCACCGGGAGAGAATTGGACTTCAGCAGATGGTTGCACAACCTTTAGCTGCGACAAATACTTGGACCAATTTTCAGTAAACAGCCAACACGAGTCTTGCCCGAAAATCTTGGACGATTGTCCAAAGGATCACATTATTGTTAAAGGCTGCTGTAAATATTGCAACATCACGTCTGAGGCACAAAGTCAATGCATGCCTGAAGAAATACCCGCAACTAAATCTGTTGGAATAGTTGTTGCTGAAAGAGCACCGCACGGAATTTGTAAAAATGTTGAAGCTTTGAAAGGATTCACAGAATGCGTGGGTACTTGCCACTCATCCACCGTCTTTAACACAAGTAAATTAACTTTAATTACTTTAGTTCTTAATATTAATATCTACCATTTTTTTTGCAGAGAGCGGAAGTCACGAATCAATTTGCTCGTGTTGTCGCGCCACAAAGTATAGTCCTTTGTTAATAGAGTTAACATGTGAGGATGGATACAAGTTTAAGAAGCAGGTGGCTGTGCCTACTGTTTGCGGTTGCGAGGGATGCTCCGCCAAAGTCATCAATCCCTTTGCAGGTGTTAAATCTCGTTAATAAGTAGTAAATTAAGTTTCGTATTATTTCTTCATTTAATGTATATAAAATGTTTGTTTAATCAAAAATGTTATCCTAACTTAGCTAATTCATTATTTACAGGTATAAATAATATTTTCTGTTAATGATGTTCTTTTCTTTATTAAGATGAAAAATTAATAAAATTTTAAATAGGCTCTAATTCTGGTCTTGATTCTTTAACATTTTCTTATGATTCCTTAATATGACCTAAATTAAATAATAACCTAATGGAAATAATATTTCTAAACAAAAATAATACAACTAAGCCAGTAGCGCATTATGACTTTGTGAGGACGCAACCTGATTTGGAGGCCCCATATTCACCCAACTAAGAAAATCATAACATTGATTTTGCCGATTTGGACGCCGCTTAATTTAAGAGGCGCCTATGCGGTAACCCTCCACTGGTGGCACCCATCTTACGCTATCATCTAAACGAAACAGCGATTTTTAAGAAAATCCTATTTTCCAATTTCTACAGTGTGTATACGACAGCACGAATATGCCAGTAGTTTCGTTGGAAGGATGTATTCAGCTTTAAATTGTGTGGTCGATGATGTAATTCTCTCGCCAAATTGAATTGAGAATTTAATTAAAATGCTTAATTTTGATAACTCATAGTAGATGTACTGAGCAAACCACAATGCCAGAAGTTAGCTCATTGGAAATGTTGTAGTTTTCTCATTAATTTGCGTATTCGATTGTTTAATTATCACGAGTGGTAATCAATTAATTTAAAAAAAAAACGTGAAGGTATTGCATTGCAAAAAATAGTTAAATAGATGATTATATTCATATATATTAGAAAACTTTAATTTACTGTTTTAAAGAATAATTCTTTTGCTTTCGTTTGCTGTAAAATACATTAGTTTTGGTCAATTAATAAGAAAGTTATTAAACTTTAATGAGTAGGCGGTTTTCGCGAATCAAAACACAAGTTCCCCTTGATTCTTGAAAATGCCAGAAAATTTGGATTTGCACCAGGAGACCATGAGTAGCGAGGAGGTATCTGAACTCCTAGCATCGGTCTTTCCTGATTGGTTGTAATTTGAAATTTACGTTTGTTGAGTGAGCGAACCATAGTGACAGTTACTATCACAAGTTAACTTCAAAGGACTTTTTGAGTGGAATTGCTCTTTGTTCTGCAATATTATGAATGCAAACTTAATGAACAACATGCTCCATTGCTTCCTACTTCTATTTCCTTGTATGGAAAACCTTTCTCTGAACTTCACATTTCATTTCGGGCAAGTACCAATGGAACATGTAAACAAGCATTGATCACTAAAGTTCTTTGTCTTCAGAAAACATACAACAGAAACTGCAGCTAACTAGGAACCATTTTAAAAATCTTTTTATAAGAAACATACTGAATCAGTGTCTTTATATAAGAATGTATATTAATAGTTAATAGACATAACGTAAATAGTCAACTTGTAAACAATCATTGGTACAATTATTATTATTTTAGGTGGAGCTGATAACAACATGCCTCTAATATATAGTTGACGACCTTAAGTTCTCCATAAAGTGGAAATCATTCTTTACTAGCAGTTTTCATTTGCAAATAGTGAAAACCTTAACTGCTGAAAGTGACCAAAAATATTACTTCATTAAGAAGATGGATAACAACTATGAACCTTGTAGCATCCATGATTCTATTGTTGCTTCCTACATGATCCTTAGAGACTGGAAAACATTTCTGAATTTCTATATGCATTGAAAATACTGGAAAAACTAAAATGAAATTAAGAAAATCCTATTCACTTTTTTCCAATTTCTAAAACTCGTATCAGGTGATCGATGATGTAATTATCTTGAAGGGTTTCTTTCTCGAGAAATTCACGAAAATCGTAAAAAGAATCGAAAAAAACTTCTTTTCCCTGTTACGTAACGAACATAACGTAACTTTTGTTTCAATAAAAAAAATTGCGTAAGGGTGGCGCTCATGATTTTGTGAGGCCCTAGGCGCAGCCCCATATTGACCCTACTAAGCCAATCATAACTCTTCTTTATGCGATTTGGAGGCCTCTTGGTTGAAGACGTTTTTGGTGCGCGTCTACTGCGCCTGTTTATCTTTACTGCGTCTATATACGAAAATAGAATTCTCAAATAAAGTCTTATACACATTTTATAAATCAAACATGTAATTTTACTTTGAAATAACATATGCTATTCTACTTACAATAACCAAAGCAATTGATCAATTGTTATGCAGCCACTAAATCATTTAATTAGCAAGTGTTTATATAATAACATCCAGACGAATGAGACAGCGAGAAAAACAAAATATCAGATATGTTAGAGCAAAGAAAACATATTTTCATTTAATCATTATAATTAGAAACTGAAATGTAATTTACTTTCGCTTTTATTGTTACACCGTGATTCATAATCGTCGCTCATTTATAACTGGCCGTGGCTCGCTGTCAATAGATAAGATAAGTACATTAATGAAAGTGGAGCCTTAGACATGTTCAAAATGTTCGGAAAATCGAAAAAGGAAAAGAATAGTAAAGGCGAGAAGAAGAAAATTGTTGTCGACGATAACACGTAAGTGCATTAAGTTAATATCTCAAGAAAAGTATACTCAGCAGACGCAGCAGCTTTCTTTGTTGCGCATTACCTTTTGTTCTTGCCTCACCTACCATATTAAACTAGTTTATACCGTCATATATTCACTATACAAAATGAAATAACATTTTTTATCAGATTATTTTATCACATTTAATTAATGTTATTAATAAAAAATTAATTACAATGTTTGTTTATTTATAGATTCATTATATAAATAATAACTATATGAATAATAACATTTTTTTCAGCAATTTTTCATCGTCGATCTCATCGAATTTACAACAAAATGTTACAGTTAAACATTTCGCCACTCGTACAGTTACCACTACATTTTCGTCTTCAGGTAATGAGAAATTATCTTATTTTGTTTAAGATTATTTCTGCTCATCGAATTATAAATTCGAAATTTGTTTCAGGAAATAAAATTACGGAAAGTACGACTAAAAATCTAACATCTCAATTACCTCAGTCCCCATATACATCGCCATTTCGCAGGGATGGACCGTTTTCAATATTTTCAGGATCTCAGCAAAGGGGAAATTCTCTAATTTCCTCGAACAGAAATGCTTTCCAAACAGAATTCGCAGGAACTAATTTACAAGCGGATGCTAGACCTATAATACCCATACAGTATAATACAAAACCAGTAACATTGCCATTGAAGAATGTTGTTCCTACATCGACGTACGTATCTCCGTATAAACAACAAACATACGTATCTCCGTATAGACAAACGGAACCAAAAAAGACTGATTTTAAAGAGTACAATGAACTATCCAATGCTTTAGTAATCAAAGTTAAGAAAGCTAAGACTTTTCACGATCAAAATGGGGGACCGGTGCCAGTGTACTCGACGCACGGATCCCGCAGAGGTAAAGCCTTGCTCATCAATAACATCATGTTCGAGAAGGATCAGAAGAGTTACAGGAAAGGCGCCGAGGTGGACGAAAAGAATATATCGGAGTTGCTCAACCAAATGGGTTTTAAAGTGGAAAAATATCGAGATTTGACAAAGAATGTAAGTTTTTATTGATTGTTCTATTTCCAATTTGCTATTATTTAAAATTTATCTGTTAATAATAATTTTTTTTATGTCGTAGCAAATGGTTAAAAAACTGGTCGATTATGCGTCGAGTTATTCATTGAAAAACGTAGATATAAACGTTGTGGTGATGATGAGCCACGGAATTGGGAATAATGATGGTAACACGCACATTGCTGGCACAGACAACAATCTATTGAGTATTGCGGATATCGTCGAGAAGTTCGACAATTCGAATTGCCCGAACTTGATTGATAAACCAAAGATTTTCATATTCCAATGTTGTCGGTAAGTAATTGTATTGCGAAATGTTGTTGATTAGGTAAAAAGTAAAATAATTGTTTCTGATTTAATTTACAGAGGTGATCAAGATCAAAGGGTGGAACGCGATGCCGCCCAAATAATGAAAGCGAAGAAGAAATATAACGATATGCTTCTTGCATATTCCACCATCCCTGGTTACGTTTCGCACAGGAATCCCGTTTTGGGTACATGGTACATACAGGCCATTTGCAAAGTGTTCATGGAACACGCGTGCGACACTCACGTCGAAGATCTGCTGAAGATCGTTGAGAACATGCTGAATCAGCTGGCAGGAGACTCTGGATACACCCAGACGAGCAGCTACGAGAATAGAGGCTTCAAATTGTGCTACCTCCATCCCAAATAATTTAAAGAATCTTTCACATAAATCAATCCAAATATTTAAATTCGAACCATAACATGACAGAAATAATTTAAGTACGAGTTATTGGATGGAATCAAGAAACAACAACGTATATAATTTATTTTTATATATTAGTGCCTTATATTTATTATTATTCGAATTAGGAAAAGAGTTGAGGAAACAAATCACAAGTATTTACAGAGTTAGCCAAGAGATTGAGAGGACATGGGGGAAACAATGGACAATCAGCTGTAAAAATCACAGATTACAAAAATGGAAATATTTCAATATCGTCAACTTTGAGAAAGTTTCTTCTTGTTTTTCGTCGAGCAAAAAACTTAATATCACAACATGTTTCGTCTCCGCCGAAAATCTCTTTAACCTGTTTCTTCATCATTTTCTTTCTTTTTTTTTTTGGTCCTACGTAAACTTATATGAGATTATAGCAAGCAGTGCTAGGCAGCGCCTTCCTGTCCGATTTCGTCTTCCGTGGTGTTTTGTTCTAAGCCCTTGAGCGTTGCGAAGGCCCTCTCCAAGGGGACCGTCTTGAAGATGGACTTCGAGCCTTGATACGTGTACTTGGCGTTATCGAGCTTGAACTTCATGCCCAGAATAATGTTGAGGGCGGAAGTATCGTAACTGTGACATCCCGAGTATCGATACTGAGGCTTCTTGTCGAATCTGCAACCCCCGGACTGGGCACCTATCGGCACAATGCAGTCGTGCGTGAAGGCACACTGCACCCACGGCAGCATGATTTCTGTATGGACGGCCGCAGAATTCACAACCAGCAGTGTGTCTGCAGATACCATCGGCAGGAACAGGAAGTTATCGGTGTCCGTGTGGAAATAATCGAACATCTTCTTGTGAGTCAAGCTTGAAACGGCATTCTTCGAGACCATCGGCCATGCCACAATCTCATCGTTCTTAACCACTTCCTCGTACATCGACAGCAACTTCTCCGAGGTCACGTGCTTCTGGAACCTCTTGCTTGATTCCATGAAGAAGACTGCACCCACGTTGTTCAAAGCATCCTATTTTAACATTATTATATATTAAACATAACAAATATATATATGAAATTATTAAAAATAAATAAATTATACCTGTATTATGATTGGTCTATAAGCATGAAAATTGTCATCCTGGATATGTGATGGAAACTCATTCAGATTATAAGTAATCACTTGGCATCGGCTATTGTTGCAATAACCCATGAGCTGCATGATGCAAAAAGTATGTTATTTTACCATCATGAGTCACACATACAAATTTAGAACAACTACTCACAGTTCTTAATCCATAGTTCCCTAAACCTAAATTATAAACTAAAACAGTATTGTTCGGTAGCAACTTTCCCACATTGTTAATCAATCCGATGGCCTGGCTCTCTTGTCCCTCCATAACATAAGTAACAATCACAGGCAGTGTGGTGTTGTGCCAAGTGTCATTGGGAAATAGTCGGGAGGGTTTTGTAAAGCCCAGCTTGGCCAGCAGATTCTCATCAGCCACAAAGGTTTTCTTTTCTGCATCTCTGAGTGTATCCTAATCACAATAACACTGATTATTTAAATTAATTCCAATAGGATAGTTACCTTGAAATTTCTTAGCTGCTGATGTGTTGTTGATACAATGTTCTGTATTGCTGTGGGTTTCTGTTGCTGTAAAGCGATGCAGAAGAGACTTACTATGACTAGGAGGCAAAATGCAATTAAGAAGTTTTTAGTCCTCATTTGGATTTGTCTTTTCTGTTACTATTGACTGTTTATTATTTATTATTCCTAGATGCGTTTTAACTTTGGAGAAGATTGAAGAGTAAACAAAAACAAACAAACATAAAAAAACAGAACTATGGCATTTGGAATTGGTTACGTAGTTACATTGTACATCATTAGCATGGCTAAAGAGTGTTTTCGTACAATTTTAAGTGTAGGAATATCCGGTTTTATGGCTAAAACACATCTCGTCCTTTGTAAAATTAGCTAACTATAAAAACAAACATTATGACATTGACGTTGACATTTGACAAGTATTAATTGTAGGCAACTGTATCATCATTGATCCTGCCACCTACTATATTAGTTAGGGATGGTAATTAAATGTGTGATTTACTGTCATTAGTAATATTGCAGTAATAGCATATTAATGGAATGGTTGTGTATTTCAGATTGCTTGTAATTGTAACGAAAGTAGCTAAATTGCAGTTGGTGTCTTTTGAAGGTTTCATGTTGGTAAGGGTTGTAGCAAATGCTATGATTTGATTGGTTGATCATCGTAAAGTGGGGGCAAATTTAGGGTAAAAGAATAGAAGCCAGCGGATAGCAGCGGTTAGTGAAAAGGAAGGAGAAGAGACGATACCGCTACAATTTCGTTGGTTTTGGCGACTTGTTTGTTTTTTTCAGTTTAGAGTTTAACAACTTATTGTGTTTTGCTTTTATGAGTGCGACGAGAAAAGGTAGCCCAGGAACTCGAGTTTGATCTGTTCGTGGTCGTGGTAGTGTTTTCCATCGGTCATGGCATCGGAGGAAGAATTGGATGAATCGTACGCCGGTGAGTGAACAGCAGCACTCGTTAATTTTTGTTATGTTGCGTGCACGAAAAAAAAAAGAGTCCAGCAAAAATGTCAGAGCCGGGATACCTTTGGCCCTCCGTTATTCCCTATCTTTTTAAGCGATTCCTGTGGTTGTTGTGTCTGAATGTATTTTTTTTTGGAATCTCGCGTTTTTTTTTTGTTGCCGAGGGCGCGGGACGCTCGCGGGTGGGGGGACGACCCTTAACAAAATGGAGGACATCAAACAAAAGAGATTGGGATTAGATTAGCGATTATGTAGAAAATTCGCTTTCTAGATTTATCGGTTTTTCTCGAATTTTCCCTCCTAAAATGTTGTTTTGACGTGCATTGGGCACATGCCCTGACCACTGTCCACATGCACAATGCTCAACCTAACCTTCTACATCAAAATATCAGAGAAATTAATTATAAACCATTCTATGACATTCCTGTTACATACACCATTTTCCAAGTTACCTCATGCATTATCATTTGCTGAGACAATCTTTACTTGCTTTATTTACTTACAATTTATGAATTACTTGTTTACTTTTTTCGCATTTAATTATTCCTGTAAATGGTTTATACTAATAGTTTAATTATTTCAAATTCTTTGAATATTTACTAGTTTAATTGCAAAACAAATTAACTTTTCTATAATTTTATTATATAAAAATATTTTTTTTTGCAAAAAGTAAATTATTTCCTTACAGTAATACTAGATGTTTAATAATAATCTCATATGACACTGTTCATACAATATTTATAATTTGTATTTTTGTTTATGTAGGAGATGAAGATGCTGTGGAAGAAGGTGCAACAGAGCAAGTTGAAAATTCACCAGAATCCGATGATAATCAACTAAAAGTTGAGGTAGATTGATTCAATGAATACATTATGTTCACTGTTATTAATAATTTTACTTTTAGGAGGAAGATGATGATTACGAGCCTGAAGATGGTAGAAAGAAGAAGAAAGGCAAGAAGAGAAAAGCCAGAAGTGAAGAAAAGAAGGGCAAAAAGAAGAAGAAGAAGAAAAAGAATGACAGTGGAGATGTAATTTATATACTCATTGTGTGTGATTTTATTGTTAATGTTTTCTTTTTGTGCATAGGAGAGTGACTTTGGTGAAGAAGAGAACGCCGATTCTGACTACGGTAGCAAGAAAGTACGTAAGTCCAGAGGTTCTACGAAACACTCGGCACCAGCTACTCCTGTCCAAGAGACAGCTGCAGCTAGTAGCGCCGGAGGTGTCAGTATGCCGACCATTGAAGAGGTGTGCTCCACCTTTAGTTTGACCGATGTCGATTTAGAGTATAGCGAATCAGATTACGCTAACTTGACTACGTATAAATTATTTCAACAACATGTCAGACCTTTATTGGCTAAAGAAAATCCTAAGGTATGTTATTATTTCTACTTGACTATATACCATACTATATTATTTTTTCATGACAATAATAGGTTCCAATGACAAAGCTGATGATGTTGGTTGCTGCTAAATGGAGGGAATTCTCCACTATGAATCCTCATCTGCAAACTGAAGGAGCGGAATCTAGTCAAGCTGAACCCGAATATTCGAAACCAACAAGAACTCGAGTTTCCAAGGAACCGCCAAAAGATGAAGAAGAAGAGGAAGAAGATGATGACGACGATGATGGAAAGAGTAAACGGAAGCGAGCGTCTAGGGCTAGTAAAAAGGCGGCGAAGAAAGGAAAAGTACCTACGCTGAAAATAAAGTTCGGCAAAAGAAAACGCGGCAGTTCTGAAGATGATGGTGAAGGTAGCGCCAATGGCTCTGATCGTGATTCAGATATGGAATTCGAGCAGATGCTTCAAGAAGGATACGATGGTTCCAGTAAAACCACAAGCACCACAGAAGAAACGCCCTCGCAGCCCACAACCGAAGCGGGCGAGGAGAACCCACCTGTTCCTAGGAAAAAAGCGAAAACTAAGATTGGAAACAAGAGCAAGAAAAAACGAAAAGTGAAGACCACCGGTAAATTCCCTGACGGCGAGGAGCAGTACGAACACCAAGATTACTGCGAGGTCTGCCAGCAAGGCGGTGAGATTATTCTGTGCGATACTTGCCCAAGGGCTTACCATTTGGTTTGCTTGGATCCCGAACTTGAAGATACGCCAGAAGGCAGGTGGAGTTGCCCGCATTGCGAAAATGAAGGACCAGCCGAACAAGATGATGATGAGCATCAAGAATTTTGCAGAGCTTGTAAAGATGGTGGTGAACTGCTTTGTTGCGATTCATGTCCTTCCGCTTATCACACCCATTGTCTGAATCCACCGTTATCCGAAATTCCAGACGGTGACTGGAAATGCCCACGTTGTAGTTGTCAAGCTTTGTTCGGAAAAGTTACGAAGATTTTGACATGGAAATGGGTTGAAATTCCCAACAAAGAAGGTGAAGAAAATAAGAAACCTAAAAGGAAGCGCGAATATTTCGTTAAATGGCACGAGCGTTCTTATTGGCATAGCAGTTGGATTACTGAGCTCCAGCTGGACGTGCACCATCCTTTGATGTTCAGAAACTTTATGCGTAAATACGATATGGAAGAGCCTCCCAAATTGGAGGAGCCTCTAGATGAAAGTGACAGCCGTCACAAACGATTGCAGAACATGGGACAAATCAAAGACGAGGAATTGGAAGAGAAATTCTACAAATACGGAGTTAAACCCGAGTGGCTTATCGTGCATCGTGTTATTAATCACAGAACTATGAGAGATGGCCGTACTCTTTATTTGGTAAAATGGAGAGAATTGCCTTACGATCAAGCGACTTGGGAGGAAGAGAACGATGATATTCCCGGTTTAAAGTTGGCCATGGAGTATTATACGGACTTGAAAGCAGCTTGCCTGAATGAAATCTCGAAGAAGGGCAAGAAAGGTAAAGGAAAGAAGTCTAAAACACGCGAGTTGATTGATGACGATGATAGGATTACTCCTAGACGTTACACGCCACCACCAGAAAAACCCACAAGTGATCTTAAAAAGAAATATGATAAACAACCTGAATATTTCACAGAAACTGGAATGCAACTGCATCCGTATCAGTTGGAGGGCTTAAATTGGTTGCGATATTCTTGGGGCAATGGCACTGACACCATCTTAGCCGACGAAATGGGTTTGGGAAAAACTATTCAAACCATCACATTTTTGTATTCTTTGTACAAAGAAGGTCATTGCAAAGGACCATTCTTAGTCAGTGTCCCGTTGTCCACAATCATCAATTGGGAGAGAGAATTCGAACTCTGGGCTCCTGATTTCTACTGTATTACTTACGTAGGTGACAAAGATTGCAGAGCCGTAATCCGTGAGAACGAAATCAGTTTCGAAGAAGGTTCTTGCAGTAGAGGAACGAAAGCAGGCAAAGTTCGTGCGAGTTCCATCAAGTTTAACGTATTATTAACAAGTTACGAATTAATATCAATCGACGCTGCTTGCTTGGGATCCATCGATTGGGCTGTATTAGTAGTAGACGAAGCTCACAGATTGAAAAGTAACCAATCCAAATTCTTCCGATTACTTGCCGGTTACAATATTTCCTACAAATTGCTGCTAACAGGAACACCGCTTCAAAACAACTTGGAGGAATTGTTCCACTTGCTGAATTTCTTGAACAGCTCCAAATTTAACGATTTGTCAACTTTCCAAAATGAATTTGCGGATATTTCTAAAGAAGATCAAGTGAAGAAGTTGCACGAACTGTTGGGTCCTCACATGCTGCGACGTTTGAAAGCCGACGTATTAAAGAACATGCCATCGAAGTCAGAGTTTATTGTGAGAGTCGAGCTTTCGCCTATGCAAAAGAAATACTACAAATATATATTGACGAGAAACTATGAGGCACTGAATCCAAAGGGCGGTGGCCAATCGGTCTCGTTATTGAACATTATGATGGACTTGAAGAAATGCTGTAACCATCCATACCTGTTCCCTGTGGCTGCAGAAGAAGCACCTTTGGGACCACACGGTAATTACGAGACTCAAAGTTTGATTAAGGCCGCCGGAAAATTGGTCCTTCTGTCGAAAATGTTAAAAATATTGAAAGGTCAAGGCCACAGAGTGTTGATTTTCTCGCAGATGACAAAAATGTTGGACATTTTAGAAGATTATCTAGAAGGCGAAGGTTACAAGTACGAACGTATCGATGGTGCTATCACAGGTTCCCTGAGACAGGAAGCTATTGACAGATTTAATGCACCTGGAGCACCTCAATTCGTCTTTCTGCTATCCACTCGTGCTGGTGGTTTAGGTATCAATTTGGCTACAGCTGATACCGTTATTATTTATGATTCTGATTGGAATCCCCATAATGACATCCAGGCGTTCTCAAGAGCTCACAGAATTGGTCAAGCGAACAAGGTAATGATCTATCGATTCGTGACACGTAACAGTGTAGAGGAAAGGGTTACACAAGTGGCCAAAAGAAAAATGATGTTGACTCATTTGGTCGTTAGGCCTGGAATGGGCGGCAAAGGTGCAAATTTCACTAAGCAGGAATTAGATGACATTTTAAGGTTTGGTACTGAAGAACTCTTCAAAGAAGATGAAGGTAAAGAGGACGAGGCAATCCACTACGATGAAAAGGCTGTTTCGGATCTGTTAGACAGATCCAAAGAGGGTATAGAGCAGAAGGAGAACTGGGCCAACGAATATCTCAGTTCATTCAAGGTCGCCAGTTACGTAACGAAGGAAGGTGATACTGAAGAAGAAGTCGACACAGAAATTATTAAACAGGAGGCGGAGAATACGGATCCTGCTTATTGGATAAAATTGCTCAGGCATCACTATGAACAGCAGCAGGAGGACATTGCCAGGACGTTAGGCAAAGGAAAACGTGTGAGGAAACAAGTCAATTACAATGACGGTGGTATGACCACAGATACACGAGAGGATAGCACGTGGCAAGAAAATCTGTCTGACTATAATAATTCAGATTTCTCTGCCGGTTCTGACGAGGATAAGGAGGATGATGATTTCGATGAAAAGAACGAGGGCGACTTGAACAGAAGAAGAGGACGCTCTATTCGCAAGGATGAGAGAGATCGTCCGCTGCCGCCGCTTCTGGCTAGAGTGGGAGGAAATATCGAAGTTCTCGGATTCAATGCTCGGCAAAGGAAAGCTTTCCTTAATGCTATTATGCGTTACGGTATGCCACCGCAAGATGCATTCAATTCTCAATGGCTTGTGCGCGATTTACGTGGAAAATCTGAGAAGATCTTCAAAGCTTACGTCTCTCTTTTCATGAGACATCTTTGTGAACCAGGTGCTGATAATGCCGAAACATTTGCTGATGGTGTACCACGAGAAGGCCTTAGCCGGCAACATGTTTTAACGAGAATTGGTGTTATGTCATTGATTCGCAAGAAAGTTCAAGAATTCGAACACATTAATGGCGAGTACAGTATGCCAGAGGCTGTACGCAAAGCTCTGGAAGCGAAGAAGGAAGCTAAGGCTGCAGCGGAAGCGGCGGCTGCTGCGGCCGCGGCAGCAGCAGCGGCGGCGACGGCAGCAGCAAATGCTGCTGCTGCAAGTACTGCGACTACTACTGCAGCAACAACTGTAGCGACCAGTACTCCTGCAACGACTGACGATAATAAGAGTACAACAACAAGCACTACAGAAACACCTGGTACTAGCGCGACTGCAAGTCCAGCACCAACAGCAGAACCCGAGAAGGAAAAAGAAGAGGAATCTAAGGAAGAAATTGTTAAAGATGAAACCAAGGAAACTAAACCCGAAGAAACTGAAGTGCCAGTTAAAGCGGAAGCCGAGGTGAAAGAAACTGAGGAAAAACCAGCGGAAACGCCTACGACCGAAGAAATTGTCGATAAGAAACCTGAGGTTGAAAAGGTGGAACCTAAAGAGGAGCCTGTTAAGGAAGAAGTAGATATAAAGAAAGAGGTTAAAGACGACAAAAAAGACGATGAAGATGTAATTGTCGTGGGAGAGGAGAAGAAAGACAAACGGGAAGAGGATGAAGAAGCCAAGAGGAAATTCATGTTCAATATTGCTGATGGAGGTTTCACCGAGTTACACACTCTTTGGTTAAATGAAGAGAAAGCAGCTGCCCCGGGCCGCGAGTATGAAATCTGGCACAGACGGCACGATTATTGGTTGCTTGCAGGTATTGTAACTCATGGTTACGGACGTTGGCAAGATATTCAAGCGGATTCCAGATTCACGATCATTAACGAACCGTTTAAAATGGACGTTGGAAAGGGAAACTTCCTCGAGATCAAGAATAAGTTTCTCGCAAGACGTTTCAAGCTTTTGGAGCAGGCTCTGGTCATTGAGGAGCAGCTCAGGCGGGCTGCTTATTTGAATCTGACTCAAGACCCGAATCATCCAGCCATGTCTCTGAATGCTCGTTTCGCTGAGGTCGAATGTTTGGCCGAATCTCACCAACATCTAAGTAAAGAATCTTTGGCGGGAAACAAACCGGCGAACGCCGTCCTCCACAAAGTATTGAATCAGCTGGAGGAGCTGTTATCCGACATGAAGTCGGACGTTTCCAGACTACCAGCTACATTGGCCAGGATCCCGCCAGTAGCTCAAAGACTTCAGATGTCGGAAAGAAGTATTTTGTCGCGACTGGCAGCCACATCGTCATCCAGCAATCAAACAACTGGTACGTACTTCTACTAAATTAGAATTGCTTCGAATATTAACTTATTTGTTTTTTGTTTTACAGCCCAAGTGATGAGCCAGTTCCCAGCTGGCTTCAACGCTGGAAACTTGCCAGGTTTTGCGGCCGCTGCTGCTAACTTCGCCAACTTCCGGCCGCAGTATTCAGTTCCTGGCCAGCCACCATCCGGGTTCCCCTCCTAGGTAAACAGTTAGACAACTTCAATCCGTAAAGAAACTGGTTTTATTACGTCTTTAATAGATTTAAGCTGAATTTTGATTCTTTTCCATCTTGGCTATCGGTGTCTCCTAGAATTAATTACAATTATTAAATTTAACTAGTTTTAATGTTGTCTAACATTTTATAAATACTTAGATGTTAGGAACTTTACTGTATCTGTCATTCGATTTTATTTTATTTCCCTATACGATGCATATATTAATATTATTATTTTATTTATTTCGAACTGTCGGAGGGCGCAAATTTTCTCGCATTTCAATTTTATTTTTGATAAGTTTTGATTTTTTTTTCTCCTAAGGGCTCCCATATACAAAAATGGCACTCATATATACATATATATATTGCGTTTTTGGCTATGGGACACTTTTCCAAATAATAAAAAAAAATATTAATTTTACACTGCGTAACTTTGAAATGCCAGAATGTAATTTGTTTAAGAAAGAAAGAACACAGTTAAATCAATAATAATATTCCGTGGTAGTGAACAACAATTTAAGTTAGTTTAGAGAAGAATAATACAAAACAAATACATATAAAATAAGAGAAAAATGGATACTTGTTTCGTAAATGAGATCTTTCCACATTTCACATCGGTGGCTGGATTTTTTTCTTTTAATTACATTTTTTATTTGATTCTCTGGTATGTTCATCAGCATTCCGTACAATAAACAAACAAAAACAAATATAGAACAAACAACAATAATGATATCACCTTTGCCATTTCTTTAATTATAACAAATTAGGGTTTTTTTTTTTTTATTTAAACAACACGATACACAGTGTATTTAAGGTAAGTGATATTTTGCTTTGCTTTTATAATCTAAAAATACTTTCGTTGTGCGCTGGCTGAAATGTTTCCTGTATACTCTGATATGTTTGGAATACTCCCGTCGCCTAGGAATCTTTGACGGCCATTGCTGCGCCTTTGGCGGCGTCCCCTCCGCTTGTGAAGACCAGAGGAAGTTCGTACAACTGCTGCACTTCCGTTTGTAAAACTTTGTTGCGAGAGAGGCCGGAGCCGTTGCCGACGATGCGAGAAATGTTCGCCTTGATCAGAATATCTTTGGGCATCATGCTGAAATCGAGAATCCTTCAAACGTTAGAAGCATCGGTATTTCGAGACTGTTGATTTTAAAAACCTGTGCAAGTTCTGCAGAAGTCCGCGGCACAAGGACCGGAAGACCTGTCCTAAACCCAAGTTGCCTATGTTGATGTTGTTGACGCAGCAGTTGCTCTCCGGAAGGAACCTTTCTCCGAGCAGAGTGGGTTGGATTTGAAGCTCAGATACGGCATTATCGTTGATCGCTAAATCGAGCAGCTTTTCCCATACTTTAGCTAAAAATTAATATAATTATTAGTATACTATATGTCGTTAAGCTGAGGACGGACATTGGGGCACCGGGAAGCCTAGTTCCATGCACCATTGTTGGATCATTTTCACGAACGTCGCCAGGGCGTTTCCTCCGTTTAAAGAAGCCGCAACTGCTAAAAATTTTCCATCGAAATAAGGGAAATATTCGATGGGTCTTACGATGGGTTCATCGTTGGTCGGCGTAAAGTCTTGCGCGACGAAAGCCAACTGAGCTGATGTTGATACATTCAGCACAGCATCCAAAGGATTCTCGATAGTGGCAAGTACCGAGCATTGTAAATCACCCATGGCAACACCTAGAAATAACAGTTGGTTGGTGGTTGTTAGTGTAACAAGATAATAGTTACCGATGGGCGTTCCTTTCGGGATCGTGTGCCAGTCATCTGTAAGAGCGGTGACGATGGATCCACTTTTCGCCAATTTCGGTAGAAATTCGATGGGAAAACCTCCGGATTTCAAGGAATCCAGATTCCATTCGTGATCCTTGCAATCGAAGTATCCCCAGCTCGCAGCGCTCTGCGTCGACATCACAGGTTTGTCCAGATTCCCCAGAATCGCGACGGCGAAATCTTGAATTGTACCGGCGCAATTGTATTTGGCAAGTTTGTCGGGCTTGTGTTTGGCCATCCAGAAAAGGGTGGTGATTCCGTAACCGGAGTATGCGGGTAAATGGGAACGGGCTTTGGGCAGAGAGGCTATAAACTCGGCGTCGCATCTATTATCCTGCCACGTGTACAACGCGGAGACCTTCTCTTGAACGACGTCGTACCTAATCAGGCTTCCGTCCCTTTCCACCCTTTCCCATGGTTTCGCGTCCGCCTCGTTCCTCCACAGCATCACGCCGTGCATTTGACCGCAAATACCGATTTTCTTGACCTTCGAATCAACATTTATATATATATAACAAATCGATGGAGAGCGATTCTCATCACGTTCCGAATTCTTAATTAGTACCATTTCAATTAATTTAAAAAGCAGATGCAACATTCAACAAATAAAATTCTCGTTTCATTTAGTTTGCGCTCATTGCAAATAAAATTAAAATAATCGATAATAATTGGAACAAATCATATACAAGTGATTAATATCTATTAATAGAAAGCAAGTTTGTTTTCAGATAGAACACATCAATGCATTTCAATATCATTTTTTTTTTTAAAGTAATAATTAAACAAAAACCAAATTATAGTTACCTGTCTCAGCATGTCTTTGTTCAACTTGGCGACGCAAGTGTTCAAAGCGGAGATGATCTTTGGGACGTTCTGCTTGTTCCCATCCGTACCTTGATCGCTTGGCACATTGGACTGCGTGTCTTTGCTGTGCTTTCCAACGATCTCGTTCGTGTCGACGTTGACGATGACCACCTTCACCGAGGTGGTACCCAAATCGACGCCCAATATCAAGTTCTTGGATGCCATCGCAACGATCTGAAACTAGTCCGTAAACTAACTATCGGATCGCCGGACCACTCCAACCATATACTCCAATGTTTGTATATATTAGTTATATTGATAATAAACACGGCGTTATGAATTGTTTACCTGATACTTGTATGAAACGATAACAAACAATGCCTCTCATCGAAACACACACACACACACAAAAAAAGAGAACAAGGCATTAATAATAAACGCGCGCGCGTAATTAATATTTCGCCAACGCAGGTTTATTTTAAAATTGTTAGTTTATTTTACGCAAAATATGATTATATAAATTACTCGAACTCTGCCAAACTTTGGTAAGTTATTGCATGTTTTTGTTTGAGGGTTGTTAACCCAAGTTGACGCGCCTTTCAATAGAATTATTTACTTGCATGTAATTCCAAGCGGTGTTTGATGCCACAATCTCGAATACTGCTGATAATAATATTTAATGAAATTAAGGAAGTGTGCGATAAAGCGAAATTGCATTAATTTGAAATAATTGGAGGGCCAGTGAACATCACTTCCGTTCCGATCTCGAACGCAAAAACTACAAACTACTCGAAAATCTCAAAGTATTTACCTTTCTTCCAAACACCAATTATTCGAATCCGAAGACTCGCCTTGTCTAAATTGTTTTTTTTTTACGTGCCTTTTGCTTTCAGACTTGGCGACCGGATTTATCGCATTAATCCTATTTGAAATTGTATTTTTAGACCTGAATTGCGAGCATTGTCTGTGCGTATGTCGTTTCCACGGGATACAACGTTTGTCTTACGCAACAACGTACACGAACGGGAATGAAATCCGTAGCCGTAGTCCGTCCTTTGCGTCGGATTTATTCAGCAGAATTCTTTCCCCACGAGTAAAATTCATGCGCACTCTCGCATCCTTAACATTTACACCGAGTGCCGCACGTAGCCGCGATCTTCGCGGGTCACGGGGAAAAGCTAATTTTAATAGGCGAAAATCGTGTTTTCCTTTGTTCCAAAATATTATCGGAGGATCACACGATCCGATCGTGGATTTATTGGACCACAAATCTGGAAACACGACAGTCATAGAGCGATAAATCATTGCGGTTTTATTTATATGTCCTGCACGTGCGATATGTGCGTCCAGTATATATATTAAAGATTTTATTTATGTTAAGGAAAATTGATTTTCCATTTGTTTACGACGAGACGCGCGTTTCCTCCAATCGTGATTTCCTTAAATCAATCGCAATATTGATCATATCATTTACATTCTGCAATTAATGTTTGATTGTTTTGATACAGAATCTTGTCTTATTGTTGTCTTTGTCTTTATAATAATATATTGCAACAATAAATTGCAAAACTTAATACAATAACAAAAATAAAATTCAAATGCTGCAAAAATCTTGTCTCTCTGCCCTAGTTTTTTAATTAAACTTGTTTTAACGTTTCAAATTTTAAAAAATCCAAACAATGCATTATTAACTAAATGATTTATATAATCATAATTGGACTTTGATTATTGAGTTCTTTGACCGTTTCTAATGAATGATTGTAAAATTTCATTTATATATATCCAATTAATACCTTGAAAAATTAAGTATTATTTGAAAATAATTAGTTCATAATTACTTTAACAATCACATAAGCAATGAAAACAATACAATATTAATTGTAGTTCACAGATTTACGTTTAAATTACGTTTAGTTCTTTAATTAATTAAATGAACATTTTTAATAATAGAACTAAAACTATGTTATAATGTTAGATAAGTTTTATTAGTATAGTTTAACAGTTGTTATCATATTCTTCTTAAGAAACAATGTTTGAATTAAGTATGAAGAATTTCTTCTTCTTCGTAAGTATAGAGAATTTCTTGTGCATCTTGAGATGCAGTTATATGCAACCAAACCTGCATAGAATATGATGTCATTTTTTGTAATCACAATGGCAGGTTGAACAACAGTACTTCATTCTTGAATTACCTTTTAGTTGATATTGTCGTCCAAAATGTGTTGCGCTCAAATAAGTGTTTTATCAGTATTTTTCATCTCGTTGCTAGTATCTTTGTTGACTTTGGCAAGTTGCTACAGGGAATGTAAGTATAAAACGCAGTTACATATTTATTAGTCACTGTTTACTATTGCCATCTGATGTTGTTGTATAGTTTCAGTCGAGAGTCCTGATCTGTGCTCCCCAAATAAGAAGAGCTTCATAAAGCTGAGCAATGGTCCAAAGTCGGGCCTCATTGTTGATCAGAAGCGGCTGGGCAACCACAACTTAGACTGGTCAGTGAATTTCCTATGCAAATTTCAAGTGCAGGCACAGCATCCATTCATACATGCAGATAGGAATGGTTTGTTCGTGGTCATCCAGAGCTTATCATTGAGGAAGAACGAAGTGACGGGAGAGTGCATAGATTATGTGCAGTTTAAAAATAAGAAGAATGAGAGAAGCAGGAAGTTCTGCGGAGACATTAAGGCATCTCTGAGTATGAGCATTGGAATGGATTCCAGTGAAGAGACTGGTGATATCAGCAACAACACATTCGTAGATCCTTTTGGTGAAACGGATGTCACCATTTTCGTGGAGAGAACGGCGCTTGTTAATAATGCCGTCACCGATTTTAAAATGGTTTTCACTGTGTACAAGGGTAAGTTCGTTTTTCTTTTGATAGTTTCTGTATAATGTTAAAACTGTATTCTTGCAGCTTGCGAGCGAGCTTCCGAGAGTGACATGCCGTGTCAAAGGATCTTCTATCCAGCTAAATGCATTTACAGGGACTTCATCAACGACGGTTACATCAATTGTCCTTACGCTGGATGCACCGATGAAGATGGATGTTTTACCGTCAAGGATGACTCCAACGTGAAGAAGGAATCTCTTGGCAACAAGGTCTTGATCGGATCCGTTACCTCGCTCCTTCTCACCTTTGGCATCTTCATCTGCTGCATCTATATGTGCAAGAAATACGGGAAACTGTGCTGGTCCGAGGACTTTTCGAACATGCATTCAGGTCCTATAGAGAGCGTCGAGGTTTTCAACGTGCAAGCGACGACAGCCTCCTCCACACAAGCAACAGCTCCGCAGGAGGACAAAGACCTTCCACCCAGCTACGACAGCCTCTTTCCGACCAGGTGAAGAAAGACCTGCGAAACTAGAGTATTCTTTGTAAAAGTTTAGATTTTAAATTTCAATTTCATTCCAAGGGAACTTAGATTAATGACTACAACATACATAACGGAGATTTAACATATTTAGATTTAAGTAAAACGAATAACAAATGTGATTGAAGAATATTTAAAAAAAAAGAAGGGATGCAACAATTTACTACTCGAAACAAAAAATGAATAATACTTGTACTGCGTAATTTATTTTTTTATATATTTATATACAAAAAAAAAACGAAGAAAGAAAGTAAGATGTGTCTGTGTTTAGTGGACCTGTAAATATATCTCGATGTAAATATTTATTTTTCATATTTATATATAAATATTAATATACGAATAATAAAGTAGAAACACAAGTGTAATTGTTTTGCGCGCCTTTTGATCGCGATGGGCGGGACCATCAGCGGAAGACGTGTCTTCCTATTGGCGGAGCCGGACTTTCGGGAAGCCAATGTTCCACCCCTTCGCAACAACTCGCACACTAATTAACGCAGATAGCAACAATCGGATTGTCACATCGGACTGATGAGAGATAGTAGCAATTATTCGGATATTTTTTTTTGGCACGCAGATAGCAAAGATTATGGCAGATTGCGTGCGTCGGTGAGCGAGACAAGTCCGTCTGAGTCCGAGTGTGCATATGTGCTCCATTCGATTATTATTATTATATATATATATATAATACTTTTTTTTTCGGGGAAAATCTAACGGGCAGAAAGTGGAAAAAAGAAGGAATATGTGAATGCGCGCATGCAGAGTGAGACAGGAGACGCGTCACCGGCTTTTTGTGATAATCATGTAACGATCGTAAATTAAACTCGAAACAACCTGCACAGCGAGAGAAAACAAAGTGAAATAAGAAAGAAAGAAAATAAGGAGCGAACAAACAGTACAACTTGCGAGGGAATTAAACTTTGTTGTTGTTGTTTTTTTTTTTTGCCGCGCGAAGAAGTTTCGCTCGCGCCGCAGCAAGGATATAACGATGGAAAGGACGACGATCGCACTTTGTTTTCTGCTGACCGTAGCCGCCTTCGCAACAGGTAAGTCTTAATCCCGGATCTCTATTAATACATTTCGTTAATTAAAAAAACACACCTGTACCTCTGATAAGAGCTTATCGATAATCGCGTTCACTGTGACGATAATAACTATAATTTATAAATATCGAGGAATCCGCGGAACAACGGGTCTGAATCTCGCGCTTCCTTCTTCTTTTTTTTTATTGGCGTGTTTACGCTCCTTTTTTTTTGAATTCAAGTTTCTCAAGGCTTCCAAAGGTCGTTGAGGCCTACCCACTTTCCTCCATCCAAGATACTATTGTTGTTATCAACAATACGTGTCTATTTTGCAACTTGCCGACCGATCGATCCCGTTGTTATCCCTTTTATCTAATCACGTGTCGCGGAAAGAATTTACGGTGAATCTATTTAGTAACTAGAATCTATCCGTAAATTAATTGCATAAAATCTGTTTTGTTTCTATCTGACAATGAATAGAAGGAATTAATTACATTTGGGGAATGTCGTAGGTAGAAAAATCGACGGTAATCGATGTTGTCCTAATGATAATAGCGATATATTTAGAATCGCGGTGGACGCAACTTCCATTATGAAATTCAATGTAACTTCTCTGAATAGAAACATTATTGAAAGTTATAAATATCTATATTATTTATAATAATTAAAAAGCGAGACTGATTCAATGGGAAATATATATATCCGTATTTTTGGAACTGTAAAAATGTTTTATGAAATAATTTTTAGAAAATAAATATATATAAAAGATTCATCTTAATCTCAACTTTAAGTTGATTTAACTACATGTTTTATGTCATCTTTCTTTAGTTAATTGTTACTAACTCGTAACAGTTAAATAGCGATGAATAATAAACGGAATTTGTCACCAAAAAAAAAGGTATGCAGGGAAAGTCGTGAAACGTTTACAGAACGTGTAATTAAAATGAGATTACTAATATACCGTTTCGATGATACTGCATGACCCACCGAAAATTGAATCATGGCACTGGAAATTGTAAAACTAAAAAAAAAATAAACTGCACTTTTTTTCCACTTTCTTTACTTAATATTCTTGCAATCAAGACGTTGGTGCAATTCTTACTTCCACATTCATTTGCGTATGCGGATTGTGCAATCTACTGTAATCACAGCTTATCTGTCTTATCCGAGTAATGCTGTTATCGGGAATCTCTAAGAATTGCATATCACGGATTTTAAGCTTTCGGTGAAAATATTACGTGCACAAAAGCCAGAATCGGAGTTTGAAGTATGATGGAAATTAATGAATATATAATGAGCGATTGTTGCCATAATAACTATTATGTATTGAATAAATAGACTTATTATTTGTTGTCGTTTACTAGGCACGGAAGATGAATTTTCCATTAAGAAAATTCTTCTGGAGATATCGAGTAGTGATTTGGACGTGGAGGAAGGTGAATTCGGCCAAGGTGAGCGACAGTTTATTGTTCGGACGTTATCTGCCCAGATAACGCTCTTATCCGCATTGATAAGGTTGCGCTGTCCAGCGTCGAGGAATTAACATCTTTCGTTTAGTTCCAGGAAGTCATGATGTAGTCAAATCGGTGGCCTTCGACAGTAGCGACAGCAGCGAGGAACAACACGTGAACAACAATGATTTTGGTAATTGCATTTTATGCTGCTGATTGTACATAATTTTTGAATTAAATTCATATTTTAGGTGATAATATACCGTGGTCCATAACGTGGTACGTAGCAAGCTTCAGCGGCTTGATTGTATTCTTCGTGCTCATCTCCTGCTCGGAGTGGTGCTGCAGGAAGAGATCGCGTTCACCCACGAGAGCGCAGAACATCAGGACCGCAGCTGCTTCGCTGTCTTCGAGCCAGATGACCACGCAAACGAATTCCTTTCAGGAGACGACGCCACCACCTGCTTACGACCTCTTCGCGCCGCCCAGTTACGATAGTCTAGCTGCGGCGGCTGCTGCAAACAGCGGCAACAGTTCTTTGGAGAAGAGCGAATACGATGTCTACGTGGTTCCAGTCCATGCCATTTCCAACGTCTTCGAAGCGGAAGGCGCTGTTGCAACCAACGTGGACATCGACGATCCCCCGAGTTATAACACACTGAGCACACCAATCGATACTAATCTTGAAGAGAATCTGAATGCTAACATTGCCAGGCATTTGAACGTTTCGTAACGATACCGCAAGACGTTGGTCTTTTATTTTCTTCTACTGCTTGTGATAGAATCCACTTGTGATAAGAATTAAGTGCCATATTTAACAATACATCAATCAATTCGTTGCAAATTCAAATTTTATATATCCACTATAGAAACAAGAAAACATTTATTTAGGACATAAACAAATTAGTGTATTGTAAATATTTGTACAAGTCAGTCAAATATGGTTATTAAATCTATACATACATATATAAACATATAAGTATAAAAATTAAATTAAAATGATTGTATGTTAAGAAAAATAAATATATAGTTTATAATAAGTAACTTATATAATAATCATTTAATTCCTATCATGTTGTCCGTCAATTAATATTACTCACTAGTTTAGAAATTAGTGCAATTGTCGAGTAATTAAATGAAACGTGAAGATAAAAAAAAAATCAAAATTTGAAATCATTGAAAAATCACCATATTTCTGTCAATAATAATTGTTCATTGACGTAACTAGATGTCTCTTAATGATTATCATCGGTATTATCAATGGATAAGAAACTAATAATATACAAAGTTTTAATGATGTTTTCACATACAATTCAAATATTTATTAAAAATTAAAGGTGTAAAGTTAAGAAGAAATCTAGATTTATTTAGCGTATTTCTTAATATTAGTTATATAATCTAATATAATGTTAATTAATCTCTTAATACGTGATTAGTAAAGAATGGCTTGTAATAAAACGAAATTATAATATATCTTTATAAAATATGTTACCTTGTTTTCTTTATATTTTCGGGTTCATAGATAAGTAATTGTGATAGGACGTATGGAATTGAGCGCGCAGACCGTTCTTTAGAAGACTTGACTGACTGATAGCGTTGAAATTTATTGAAATGAGCCAGTTGTTGCTCGTATTGCTAGCGAGTCGGTTTGTTTGTGACTTTGTTGTTAGTTTTTTTTTTTTTGGTTAATTATTAATAATAATAATCCATCAATCGGAAATTTGGAAAATGCCATCGCACACAGCGATCAGTAAAACAGGATACAGAGTTTAATACTTTCGCGACATGGTACTGTACATCGCATTGAAGATTTTCATCCTGTTGGATTTTGTTGCGTGCTTCAAGAACGACTGTGAGTGTTCATTATTTATAGATTACGACGATCTCTTCTCCCATCCCCCAAAACGAAACGTGCAAAATCTTCTTCTCGGTACTTTTCGCTCCTTTCCGAAGATTCTGGGTCAAATGGTCAAGAAATTAAATCAAATCAAATTCAATTTTGTTGACGGCGCGACCGCAAAGTCTTTCCCGACTGTAGAATCTCGTTTCATTTGCGCCATATTCACTCGTTTTTCAGATGAATTCTCCTATGCAACTGAAGAATACGAAACATTATATTTTTTTTCTCTATATCTCAACAAATTCCTGTTATTTTTATTATTTGTCTCTACGAAGTTCAATGTCCACATGAAGATGTTCTCTGTATATTTTTTTTTTCTTAATTCTCAATTACGCGATAAGCTCAACATTGCTCGTGATTATGTGAACAGTTTTCAGTTTATTATAAATTATGCATTTCCATTCCATTTCACTTCGATAAGATAATCAATTTATAATCAATTAAAAGAGCAAAGTTGATTTTTTTGCGCATTAACTCTTAATAAGCAGAAGAATTTTATATATTTTTTAATCGATCCATTACCAGTTTGTTTTCGTTTTGTCCATCTTCACAATTGAACTTATCAATTAGCTAATTATAGAATAAAACTTATGACTCAATTATCTGTAAGGCTGATTGGGCTATAAAAGTTATAACAATCTCTGCGCATTACACGTACAATTGTTATTTTTGTCTTTGCGCTGCGGCAATACTCAATTATTGTGCAAATAATGTTTAGAAAATATAATCAACATATTGGAAGAGTAGTCACAGTTGAACTTTAACCGGCAAGATTCGTTGTCAATAATATTGTACGTATTAAGTTAATTATTTTCAATGATTCTTTAACAATTAATCGATTACCTACATTTATTACATTGATTTGGAATTGCGTTTGAAGCATTTTTTTGGGTCGAAATTGTGAATCAGCTGAATGCGACCGGTTTACTTAAAAATGCTCTCAATTTCGTTCAGCAATAATGTCAGAGAACGTCAGTTTGTTTGCACACCCCAATTACACGTATTTTCCATCAAACATAATTAATGTATTAAGAGAAAACAGCGTTAAGCAATTTACTGCTATATTTTAATCATTTTATTGTGCGAATGATAGCGAGAGGTCAAGAATCCTCACCTATATTTTTCTTCGTATTCTTTGCTTTTTTTTTATAACATATTGAGATGGTAAAGTTGTTCTGACAGTAGTAAAAGTTGTAGTAACAACTTGTGTTAAGCATTTTGATTAATAATTTAATTTTTATAGAATTGTTAATGTTTGCAATGAAAATTAATGTGTATTCTTTATGTGTTTAACAGTTGAGGCGAATGTGGAGATATGCGGATCAGAGAATGAACTAGTTTTGTATGACGGTGGTCCGATGTCTTCGGCGGTGATTACGCTGGAGCCGGGTCGTGAAAATCGTTGTAACTTAACAGTCAAAGCGCCAGCATCGCATCTGGTCCACGTGCAGTTTCACGAGGTCGACCTCGAGCTGCACAGAACCATCATCAATAAACCCATACATCCCTCGTGCAATCTAGACATAGTAAGTGGTAATGCGTCGAAGGTAAAGGAAAAGTTTTTGTAACAGTTCTGTTTTGCAGTATCTGCCGGACAATCGGGAGATTCCCGTGTGGTCAGGTGATTTGTGCAGCGTGGATCCTTTGCGAAAAGTTGACCTGTTAAATTCCGACATCAAGATGACTTGGAATTCGGCTATTAATCCGCTGTTCACTAAAGGAAGGAAGGTCATCCTCACCGCCATCGGACAAAGTGAATACCGCACCGCTCGTATTTAATGATTTAGTGTATGCTAAACGTTTTTTTTTTGATATCTTCAGATGATGTTTGCAACAGGAATGATCAGCATATATGCATGAGAATTGGATGGATGCCGACGAAGTGCATCTCCAAACATCTGGCCTGTAACGGTCACATGAACTGTCCGCAAGGATCGACGACGAGCGACGAAGATGAGACACTCTGCCACACGCAGATGAAGTTCAAGGAGTTCGTGGACTTTTTCAAGAAGCAGATCAATCCGAACGGAATTGTGCAACCCAGCCCGAACATATCCACGGAAATCAAGAACATCATCATGCCTAAATGGAAGGAAATCATGCGCGTTGAAAGTTAGTTTCGATAATTTGAAATTGAAAATTTTAAACATTAACTCTTGCAGCGTCGACGAGGCAGTCGCCCAAACTTCCTTACATGGAAGACGAAGAAGAAAACCTTTTAAGTATAGGAAACATTCCATGGCTCGTTAGCATCATTGGTATCATTGCAATATGCTTATTGGCGATTTTGTTCTACATCGTTAAGAAGTCGAAGCATTCTCACGACCACGAAGATCCAACGACCCAGAATGACACAACTGGAATGGGATTTTCGCATGGTCATAGATTATCCGATTCGGAGCCGCCAAATTATGATGATCTCGATCAACCGCCGTCGTATCATTCCCTATTCCCGACGAAAACGGATGACACCCCTCACGAAGAGATTCCTATGGAACGTATTAATAACCAAAGCGAAAGTTAATCAACAAGAAAACTAATGACTGACACACTTTTTATTTTATTACTTTTTTTCTCATAACTGGACAGACTGATAACATGTAAATAAAAAGCACTTTTATCTAGTTTACATTTCATTTGCAATTACATAATCAAATTTAAAGTAAAAATTGGACATTGTCATGTGAATGTGCTGTTCCTAAGTTTTACTTTTAGATACACAAAATTGACCTCAAACAATCTCTAATTTTCGCTGAACTGGTAGATAATAGCTAAATACGTAGCAATTGTTCCAAACATCTGAAAAATAATTTAGAAATTAATTTGTAATATGTTTTTTTTTTCTTTGTAATATAGTTATTACGGATATTAAGAAAATGGGCTCGATTTTAAACCATCTATGGTACGCCCAGAAATCGACGTGGCGATTTAAAGTTTGCATTGATATCTCGAAGTTTACAGTAAGTTGTCTTCCGATCCTTTCCGCTTGCTTGACGCACTTTGGTGGCGCTATCAAAATTATTATCAATTTGAATGTATGCAACCAAAACCACGGAAATGATCGGATGAATGATTTCCACGTCTTGTTGGATTCGTTGAGGAGGACGTTGAAAAACATGTAGGCATCGAAGGTGGTCCATAGAAAGACGAAACCGATCACAGCTGAGATATTCAATCTGTGAAGAAGATCAATGTCTCTGCACAAATCGCACAGAATCAAATAATTCTTATCAATTTTCTGCATCCTCTTGAATCCAACATAAGCTAGATACACGTGATTGAAGTAGAAGAAGGCGTCGAGGAATGAGACTGCTTCGATTAGGGTTTCATTCAAAGCGTTTGCCATCATCGTAAAAGATCTTTTCTCGTGGACGATCATGTTGATGGCAAACAAAATCGCGAAGATTGCAAACAAGAACACGCACTGAAACAATCGTAGACGACGCAATAATTTCATTTCATCCTTCCCTTGAAAACGCATCAACTTGCTTAAAACACTTTTCACTTTACGCTTCTGCCTTTGCCTCGACAAGATTTGCACGCAAATGATGAAGATCGTCAAAGTGGCGTTGCCTAAATAAATGTAATTCGTCAAAGACAACTTTCCGTTTTCCGCAAGAAAGTTGAGAATCGAGGTGTATATACGTACGTACCCGGAGAAGAAAACGAAGGATGTTAATATAATTAACATGTAAATTTGATCGTTCTTCTCGAGTGGTTGTACGCAGAATATCTTTGAGATTATTTGCAGAGCGTCGTCGAACATTTCGGGTGCAATGAAGAAGTTGAAGATTTGAAAAATAATATTATATTTATTTGCTTACAAACTAAGTTTACGAAGCATCGCAATTTCCGGTGCGTAACGGAAATTGGATTTTCAAATACGCTCGCTTATCCATAATACAGTGGTATAAATAATAAATAGTACAAAAAAAAATAAAATAATAATCGATCACAATTAGTTTGCCGTTTGGGCGACTTCCCTGGGGAAGATCTTGGTGATGTTCAGCTCGAGTTTGCGGGCGATCACATCGATGAATTCGTTCGTGGTGATCGTGTCCGATTCCTTGTATCCATCCGCTCCGTAAACGCTGTAAGCCAAGTCTCTGGTCAAATTGCCCTCCTCGACGACCGCGATGGAACACTGCTCCAGAAGCTCAGCGAATTCCAGAAGGTTGTAGTTGCAATCAAGCTTGGCGCGATGATGAAGACCGCGGCTCCAAGCGAAGATCGAAGATATCGGATTCGTGGAAGTCTGTTTACCTTTCAAGTGTCTCCTGAAGATCATATAGAAATTAATTGCAATTCATTTAAGAGTAGTTTCGTTATATTACTTGTAGTGTTTGGTGACGCTTCCGTGCGCTGGTTCTGTTAGAATCGTCTTTCCGTCGTGCGATTTTAAGCTGTGCATCATCATAGCCATGGAACCGAAACCTTGACCGACGACGTCGGAGAGGATGTCACCGTCGTAACTCTTCAGAGCCCACACGAATCCTCCGGAAGATTTGATGGCGCAAGCAGCCATATCGTCGATTAATCGGTGTTCGTAAGTTAAGTTGGCCTTATCCATCAACCTCTTGTATTTGCTGAAATTATGATGTTTAAGGTAAACGCTTGTGGCTTGGATTGATGCGCTTTCTCACCTCAAGTATAAGTCTTGGAAGACGCTGTAGAACATCGCGTCGTACTGCTTCAAGTGCGTGTACTTTGAAGAGAAGATTAGCGGCAATTCGCGCTCCAAGGCCATTTGGAAGCAGGCCTCGGCGAACGACTGAATACTGTCCAGAGTGTTGTACGTGAGCATCGCGACTCCTTTACCATCGAAATCCTTAACATCGTAATTGTGATGCTCCCCAGTTCTAGTAGTGTAAACTAACGAGACCTGAAAACGTTAACAATACCATTTAGTAACGTACATTTAAATCTCTTTTTATCATTACCCTTCCGGGTTTATCGATGACTATATCCTTGCCGGCGTACTGATCCCCGAACGTGTGTCTGCAGATGATGATCGGTTTCGTCCATTTCGGCACGAACTTGTTCACGTTGCTGCAGATGATCGACTCCCTGAACTGGGTGCCGTTCAGGGCGTTCCTGATCATCGTGTTCGGACTGGGCCAGATCTGCTTCAGCTTGTATTCTGCAAACGTAAAATGGAATCAATAAAACAGCGAATGCTGCGGAACGGGTTCCGGCCGTTCGTTGATCCTTTACACGCGCAAGAAGAGAAGTAAGAGAAGAAGAAGAAGGAGGAAGATAAACGCAAACGCGATTCACCAAAGTATAACAAGTCGTCTCTGGGTGGTGTTGTTGATGGTTACGTGCACAAAAGCACACGGCATAGGAAAACCCTTGACACACATCAACGCTCATACAAAAGGAATATGCGTTCACACTTCTCTCTTTCTCTGTGTTTCGCTCTTTCGGAAGAGGCTACGGGCTTCGAGTCACGTAACCCAGCCGAAAACAATAAATAGAAGCGGAGGAGCTTTCAGTTCACGGACTCATATTAGTTCAGTACCTTTCGATTTTTCCTCATCTGGTGTTATTGTCGAACACTTTATGCCCACGTTGTACTTGAGGATCGCAGCCGTCGCTTCCGCCACAACCTCGTTTCCTGTTGCATTTCTAACAGAACAACAAAACAACAACAATCAATTAAATGTCTCAATAATCTAAACGCTATTATAAATTACCTGTTTGCCAAGCTGCAGTCGTAATAGTCTCTCTCCAGATTCACATAAGGAATGATCAGTTTCTGCTTAATCTTGTCGAAGACGATCTTCGACATCTCATCTCCTCCTATCTCCACTATCGGCTTCTGCACAATTATCTTCGATTTCGTCGTATCTACATCAAACGATAAAAAAAAATAATCAATTTCTTTATGCAATTTCTAACACAATATTTCACTTCGTTATTAATGATAATTTAACAAGTTTATGTAATTGTTAACATTCATTATTCATTGATGTTGTAATAAAAACAATACATTTCTTGATCAATGATTTTCACTACTATTCTAATTGGAACAAAACACTTATTACGACTCATTAAACAGCAAAAGAATTTAAAGAGAGAGAAAAAAACGCACATTCTTTACAGTACATTCTATCCTCCAAGATATGTTATTAAATCCTAAAATTAATTATTTTCTTTTCGTACTTTCTAATTAATATAATTATTACATAAAAAAAACAACAATTTTATTCTGTCCTAAATATGACGTGTTTTATTTTTATATTTATTTAACAATTCAATTTTAAAAGTAAATTTTAGTTTTCACATCAAATTTAAAATTTTTGAAAATTTTGTAAAAAATTATTTAATTTCAAACATTGTTTTATTAATAAAACAATTCAATTAATTGATTACAAATTATTTGTTGTGATCTTTCATTATGAACCATGCGTTTTTTTTTAATAATTTAACAATATTGTTGATCAATAATGATTGTTTTCCAATTATTTCAAAAACAATTACCAGTATCAAATTATCTAATAATTGCATATTCTTCGCAGCATGAAAAGCATATAATTAAAAACACGTTCGTTCTATCGAAGATATTATCATTATTAACATAAATCAATGTAAAAAATAATTCAATTAAATATTATTTTTTGTTGTTTTCGGACTTTCTAAAAACTATTGCGTTTCATTTATTATTTAAATTATAATACAAATTGTTTATTTTCTTTTTCTGCATGTAATTTATAATAAGAATATTTACGAATAATTTGTCTAAAGTTCAGTTGTTTTTAATTGCATGATTTTTTTTTTAATTATATAAGTTGTTTTTTTTTTGTACAATGTATTTTATAAAAATTGTGTTAGAAATTTTTATTTTCGTAAAATAAAACTTTGTGAAAACAAACTTATTAATTCTATTGAAAATCGACGAAGTGAAGAAGTAAAACAGTGTGCATTTATTAATTATTTGTTAAATCTATAGAAATGTATTGAATTATAGTAAAAAAAATTGTAAAATTGTAATGGAAAAACTTACATTTTCTGTTGAATGTCGGCGAAATGGAGACCAGGATCTTAGTTTGTCTCTTGGAGATGCTTGTAACGTGCACGTTCAAACGTGCCAAACTCTTGGACATCAGCATTCTTTCGGTTATTTTCCGTTAATTACAGAAGTGAGAAGAAAAACCAAGTACGAATTTGATCCAATTGAAGAAACAATTTGCTTCAATCAGTAGCAATATACTTTTGTGTGTGTATGTGTGTTTTCTCTGAGTGCTCGGGTGCAGCGATGCGCGTCTGCTCGGAACGGGATCTGACTGTGGTCTACTCGATGTGCTCGCTCCTCCGTTCATAAACGAGCGTGGAAAAGAGGCGAATGCGATGGAACTACTAACAAAACAAACAACAACAAACAAAACAACATCAACAACAAAAGCGACACCACGAGATCATCACGTTGCGGGAGAACCTCGTCCTCCTCCTCCTTCTCACCCTTCTTTGTCCAAACGAGAAAACGGGTCAACATTTATAAATAGATTTTGTTAATGTTATTTACTATTCCGCACAGGCCTTATTCCAGACAAATATTGTATTATTTGCTTTAGACATTCTCAGGGAGTTGATCAACTCCCAGCCTACTGCAATTGTCATTCAAATACACACTTGCAATAAATTACAGCCAAGAACAAAGCAACTTGATTATCGATTTTAAAACGCATTATTGTCTACGAATCATTAAAAAAAATTGATAAAATAACATAAATTTCATCAAAAATATTTTAATTATGAAAATTATTAATCAATATTCGAATTATCATATAAAATCTATTTATTTGATTGACTTGAAAATGCGTTCAAATAGTATTTTAAGACTTGAACTTTCTGGTAATCTTAGCAAACACAACCTTCGATCCGCTATTTTTATTTTCCGTGTAGATAAAAAAAAACAAAAATATAGTTGACAAATGAAGTGCAATTAGAATTATTTTTTTTTTTTTGATAATAATTATTTTGAAATCTGATTTTGAAATACACACAAAAAAAAGTTGTTGTTTATCGAAATGTACTTTTAACCTTTACATGACATTGTCAATAGTCAATGCAAATAATAATTTGTTTTAAGCTAAATAAGACATTACAACAACTTGACAATTGTCACACTTTATTATAATGGATATTAATTAATTAATCGATGAACACTGAAAATGTGACAGAAATAGCTTTATAATTATTAAAAAAACAAATTCAATCAATATAAATAATATTTTGTCTTGACTTTTCACACGATAATTAAAAAATGTCAACTAATGTCAACTAATGTCAACTAATTTCAACTAATGTCAACTAATGTCAACTAATGTCAACTAATGTCAACTAATGTCAACTAATGTCAACTAATGTCAACTAATTCAATATAAATAATATTTTGTCTTGACTTTTCACACGATAATTAAAAATGTCAATTAATGTCAACTAATTTCAACTAAAGTCAATTAATGTCAACTAATGTCAATTAATGTCAACTAATGTCAATGAATGTCAACTAATATCAACTAATTTGAACCAATTTCAACTAATTTCAAGTTGAATGTCAACTAATGTCAACTAAAGTTAACTAATGTCAACTAATGTCAACTAATGTCAACTAATGTCAACTAATGTCAACGAATTTCAACTAATGTCAACTAATTTCAACGAAAATTATTATCTATCAATGTGGAAACCATTGAAATAAATTTTGTTATAACCTAAATAAGACATTACAAAAACTTGTCAATTGTGACACATTATTATTGGATATTAATTAATTAATCGATAAGAAAGGTGACAGAAATAGGGTTATAATAATTAAAAAAACAAATTCAATCAATATAAATAATATTTTGTCTTGACTTTTCACACGATAATTAAAAATGTCAATTAATGTCAACTAATTTCAACTAAAGTCAATAATGTCAACTAATGTCAATTAATGTCAACTAATGTCAATGAATGTCAACTAATATCAACTAATTTGAACCAATTTCAACTAATTTCAAGTTGAATGTCAACTAATGTCAACTAAAGTTAACTAATGTTAACTAATGTCAACTAATGTCAATTAATGTCAACTAATGTTAACTAATGTCAACTAATTTCAACGAAAATTATTATCTATCAATGTGTAAACCCTTGAAATAAATTTTGTTATAACCTAAACAAGACATTACAAAAACTTGTCAATTGTCACACATTATTATTGGATATTATTTAATTAATCAATAAGAAAGGTGACAGAAATAGGGTTAAAATTAAAAAAAAGAACAAATATAAATAATATTTCGTTTTGACTTTTCACACGATAATTAAAAAATGTCAACTGTTAAAATTACATCTGAAATGAATTAACGGTAGCTGTCGAAATTGTGCTTGACACAAGCTAAGTGAAGGGAATGGAGGTTTAAAAGAAGAAGAAAAAATGAATCAATTAATGTCAATCAATGCAATTCGTATTTTGTTTAACACTTAAAACGACCTTACAAAAATAATTATCTATAAATATTTCAACATAATTACACTCGAAATATATAAATAAACAAAATTAAAAAAAAACACAATATTCAAGTATACTCGAAATAAATAGTCGATGCAAATAATATTTTGTTTTTAACCAAAACACGTTATCACAAAAATTGACAACATTACGTCAATATTCAATTAATGCAAATAATATGTTGTTATTCAACAAAAAAATGTCATTAGAAAAATTGTCAAACTGTCAGAAATAAATGAATGAATTTAAATGTCAGTCAATGCAAACAATATATTTTGTTTCAAACAAAACACAACAATACAACAATTGTCAACAGAATTACATTCGAAATAAATTTACATTTGATTGAATGCAAATAATATTTGCGAACAGATTTGGACTTTGATCTGACCGAAAAAAATATGGCCTTCTCTGCCTGCGCAATTTCAGCGATAACGGAATTCAAATATAGCTACATTTCCTGCAGACATTCTTGCATTTATCAATAATACCAAAAACAAGAAAAAAATATACAGAATTATTGCTGCGTCCGACAAAATTATATAGTTTGGAAAGTACTTGAATCTGTAAATGTACAAATATGTGAATTTTCTGTGTGAAAAAAATAAAATTATTGACCTTATTCCGTTTAATTATCATCGGATTGATAAAACGGATTGCGTGTCGATTGTTTTAATTCACAAACGCAAGGTCTAACGACCCGTACCCCGTTTCCACGAGATTTCCAAACGAGATTCCAATTGGAAAAAGCAAAAATCCACATGCAACATGTAAACCTTGGAAACGACATGAAATTAATTGTAATTACTTCAGTTCTATCATTGGATTTGTGTAAATAAATATATGTACGAGTCTCATATAATTAAATGTATCTAAAGACTCGATGCAATGCGAACGCCGAGTCCAAAGTGCGAAAAAGCGCTATAGTTTTGTGCGTATAAAGCCGGACGTGTGTTTATTATAAACACAATATGTATATATATATATCTCTTTTGCGGTTACGTCATTTGCGAAACTCAGCGCCGTTGTTCAATTAAAGACAAGAACAACAACAACAACAAAAAGTAATGCCATAATGAGATTGAACAGGAAAACCGAGTGCGCGATAAGAAAATGATCGCAAACCGAATGGGGTTTTCGAACTCGTTGCATAATTGTTGCAGCAAACGTACATACGTACAGATACGCACACTGCGCGGTATTCAATTATTTTTCAGGTTGTGCAACCTCCAGTGTATCCCAATCTTGCATCACCGATCAAAGTTTCATATTTTAAACAAAAGGAAGATTTTTCCCAATTCGAACAACAGAAAAATTTCAAAACTAAATTTAGAAGAAAAAAAACAACAATTTTTTTTATACACTATGTTATCTCGCAGTTATTTAATATACATTTTTTGTTTTATCAATGCAAAGACGTCATAGAAACGTTAACGTAAACAAATTTTTTTAAAGACTTTTACTCTCTTTTGTTTTTCAATTTGTTCTCAATTGTTTCACTAGAAAAGAAAGACTAAACCTAAAGACAGCGGTGATCACATCTTCTGCTGCATCTGGTAGGAGTCGTAATAGCTCTTCAGTTGGTCCCAGAAGACCAGTGTTAGGACCGTGTGAGGACCTAACCGGAAGTAGCATGCGCCCAAACCTTTGTAGAAACCTAGGAAACCTTCGGATCTTTGGATTTTCAGAACGCAATCCAGATAATTGTTGTACAACAATCCCTTTCCCTTTGCGTCTACACCTAAACAAAACAAAAATAGAATCAAAATTAGTTAATAATTACTTAATTACTACTGTAAATTTGATTTAGTTAAAATGAATTTGCTTTATAAAGCAGACCGCATGTTTCGCACTTTACAAACGATTTTATTGGATTGATGAAAACAGAAAAAAAAATGAATTTCTTTGAAATTCTAAATCGATAGACTGGTTTTACGGTAAAAGAATAAAAAAAATACATCCCATTCGATTGGCAATAACATTATACCTGTCTGAAGAATAATAATATATTGTTTTAAAATACGCTTTGATGAATTTCAAATCTTGAAAAGGAATTGACTTTAAGATTAGCTCGGATGTTGGGTAGATACTACAGATTTCGGTTACCAACCGTTCGTTCTTATGCATTTGCAAATTGCGTAATTCTCTCGCTGATTTTATTTTATTTTTTTTATATGTTCACTCGTTTATTTCCTCGTGGTGCTCTCATGTGTTAATGACTTTTTTCCACTTGAGATGACCTTTGCAACAAGAGCAGAGCACATGAAACCATTCTTAATTCGCGCTGGTGTGCACGCACTTAAAACCTGATCGCAGCGTGCATTAAAAAACAAAAGAGCGAACGCCGCAAACAATACACATACACAACAATCAATTATTAATGATTTCCAATTTACAATTCATAACGATGAAATCAATTAACGAAGCGCCGCGGTCATTTAAATTTCCTATTTTATCGTTGTTTTCCTTTAATGTCTTGTTCTGCTGCTTCTAGACTGTGCGTAATTGCAGAATAATTTTGCTTAGAAAGCTGCGCAAATCTTTGTTTCCTTTTCTTTTGTTTTTTTTTTCTTTCGTACCTTGATTGTAGAGTCTGGTTGAGATCAGATCGAAGGGCGTCATGACGACGGCGACGACAATGCCTCCGACCATGCTCGCGGCGAAGGTCGAGGACAAGGGTTTGCCCTTAAAGAAGTCGTAGTTTGCGAGCCAAACCTTGCAGTAGTTGAACGAGGTCAGTTGAGCCGTCGACCCGAAGAAAGCTCTCGGAATCGCGGCGGACGCCCCCCTGAACAAACCTGTAACCTGCGGAAAACAAAAACAAATAACAAACTCATTAACAAGTATAATTAATAATACCGCTTCCTCCTCACAGAAATAGCGCAGTTCTTAAGAAACTTATATTGTGTTATAGGCAACCAAACTAGCATTAATTTAAATTCAAAAATCTTAATTTAAATTATGTATTAGTATGCTACATAATAGAACTTACACCATGACTCTTGAAGATATTAGCGAATCCTTGAACCATGCCTCCATGTTGGTGTTGGTGTCCAAAAGCGATTTCTTTGGCAGCGTTCGCTTGCAGATGCGTCTTGATGAGGTAAAGAGGACTTCCGATGATGGCGCCGACGCCACCGCAGACGCCACCAGCAATCACAGTCCTGTAGAATACGATCTTGCCCTTTTCGTCGGTCATGAAACCGCGATTTGCTAACGTTTGATAGGAACCTAAACGGAAACCGTTGAGGAAGAGCTGGAACCAGAGGGCAGGAACCAATCCAGCCTGCAGTGCCAAAATGCCATCGTGCTTCGCTATTACGTAACCAGCGTGAAAGACGTTTCTGTAATGCACGGCGTGTTTACCGCGCGCGTTCAACTCTCCCTGCAACTGCATCCGCACTTTCATCACTTCCAAAGGATTCGTGAAGAAACCCGCACAGACTGCAGCTAAACCACCAACTCCGAATTCCATTATCTGAAAATTAATAAATGCTCTTTAAAAACTCCAATTCGTACAAGATTCAAAGTGGATTTCCTTTAAATACAACCTTCGAAAAGCAACATCTTCAAATTGCCTTCAATAATTAGCAAGGACAATACAAAATTTAAATACGAAGGTAATATTATTTACTTAAAATATAAAAAAAAATCTTGTTATTCATAAAACTCTAATTGGATTATCTTTAAGTAAATATCGAATTGAAGGTTTTCATGACACATAAAAGAAATTCCTAAATTATTATTTCTTTGATTAATGTCAACATTGTTTGGATTAGTTTGAACTTTATTTGATTCGAATTCAGGTCAAATCTAATTAGTTTATCTCTAAGCAAACATTAAAATCATATAATTGAATTAATTAAACTTTGATTAATTTAAATCTATATTGTACATTATGTTGCCTATGTTATTAGAACACGTGCCTTGGCATTGATCTTGAATGCATAAAATAGTACGTTAATTCGAATAGATTAGAAACGTCACAATTGCTAAACAAAAGATAAACTTGATTAAAAAATAATAATAATCAATACGCCATAATCTCTGTATATTACACAATTAAAACTATACAAAATTACTTACGTTTTTTTATTGATATTCTTTCAGGAGGCACCAGCAACTATATGATTCTTTCAATTTGTTTGAAATGAATGCATGAACTATGTCTTCAGATTGCAAGATGACATTTTGTAAACTTTATTTTACTAATTTTTTTGTGTGCTAAACAGAATTGTAGCGTTTCTGTTTCAGTTAGGAGCGCGAATGTAGCGGACCAAAATAAAATTGTATAACTACTATGTTTCTGACGTAATTCGCTGTCTCGTGTAGTCATTCATTCATCCCGTAAAACTGATTGAGACGATTCCGTTACGATTGTTACCGTCGATATGAGAAACACGAACTGAACTCTTTTATTCACGCCAAAAAAAAAAATAATATTTTTGTTACAGAATTGCCGCACTTGAGTTGAATTTTATTTTACTTGCGTGCGTACTCCGCCAAGGACGACATCGTTTTCGAAATTAAATAATGAGCCCGTTTTCCTCTCCGATTTAATCCGATTTCAACGGCGACCCTGCTCTTCCCAAATCCGCTTATTATTGCTTATTATCAGTTTGCTAATGATATTAAGAATACGTTCTGTGCAAATACAGCGTATTTGCTTAGCTCTGCACCTCGATTACCGAGCTTAGTTAACTAAATTGCTATTCACGTGCATTTGCATTGTAATTTTTATAAATGATGTAATCGCATATTCTAGAATAATTAATTAGTATTGAAACCAGTTCAAAGATTATTATTACTTATCAATTACTTAAGTATAATCAATAGTCATTTGTAGTAAGTAGTTAGCTATAAGTAATAATTCAAAAGCCTTTAGAATTTCGATTAATTATGCAATATTTACTAAATTATTCACAGTTAATTTAACTAAAGTAAACAATGATTGTTTACAAATCAAACATTCGTTGGAATTGCTCGTTCTTGTCATTATTTCAAATTTGAATTTTGACGCATTGAAAATGACAGCATCTGTCGCAAGAAATTCAAAAATTCGTATTTCCATTACTCTTTAAATGAAATAATCCGCGATTCATGCAGATGCGAATAAATAAACTCAAGTAATTGCATAATTAAGGCACATTAAGATCAGGTTAATTAAAGAATTACAACGATTGTTTGCAAATCAAGCAATCTTTGATATTGTTTGTTGTCATTATTTCAAATTTGAATAGTTATGAGAATTTTGTTTTTCTTCTGACGCGTGGAAAATGTCAGCCTGTCTCGCAAGAAATCAAGAAATTCGTAGTCCCTTTCCGGTTTAAATCAATAATCCGCGTTTCCCGCACCAAAAAAAAATAAACAAATAAACGCAATTGAACAAGAAATACGCACGCACCAGTAAATCCAAGGAATCGCGCCTAGTGTAATTTTGCAAGTTAATTGTAATTGAGAAGTGAACTGAAACATGTCAAAATTCAACAAGAAAATGAGGTACGGCAGTGAGGTGAGTTAAATTCAAAATTTCACCTATTTCAGTGTGTTGATGATTTTTTTTTTGTAGCACGGGACTCACCGTGAGATTCTTCGCAACATGGGATACACACTTGGGAAGACTATCGGGGAAGGGACTTACAGCAAGGTGTGCGTGGCTAACCTCTTCACGGAGGAAATCAACGCGAAGGTGGCTTGCAAGATCATTCACAAGAAGATGGCAGGAAGCGAATTCATCAAAAAGTTTCTGCCACGAGAACTCAGGTTTTTGTTTAACAATTAAACTCATTTCGATAGTTCTAAATGATTATTGTTTAGAATTATAAAAAATCTGCAACATCCGAACATCGTGCGCGTCTTCAACATCATCGACCTGCACGACGCTATATACATAATCATGGATTATTGTCGCAACGGGGATCTTCTGGAGTTCATACGAGAGTCGGGGCCGTTGGATGAAGAGCTTTCTCGTATTTTCTTTAGGTTCTCAATGGTATTCATTGATGGAAACAAGCAATAATCTTATATTTTCCATCAGGCAAATCGTAGATGCAGTTGATTATTTGCACGACTTGGAGATAGCACATCGCGATTTAAAGTGCGAGAACATCTTAATCTCCAACAACAACGTGATCAAATTGGGTGACTTTGGTTTCGCAAGATGCTGCGTAGATGGGAACGGAGATTGCCTTCTCTCTGATACTTTCTGCGGATCCGCAGCTTATGCAGCGCCCGAAATCATTCAAGTGAAATTGCTTCACAACCGAAAGTAATGAAATGATTACTAAACTCTTTGTTTTAGGGTATACCTTATTATCCAAAGATGTACGACATCTGGGCTTTGGGTTGTATCCTTTACATAATGATATCTGCAACCATGCCTTTCGATGATTCCAACGTTAAAAAGATGCTTCGGATCCAGCTGAACCGATCGCTGTGCATGGCCGCCTTTAAAAACTGGAAGAAACACTGCATCCATTTGAAGAATCTCATCGCGTAATTTTTCGTAAATCTCACATGAACCCAAATAATCCTATTTGTAAATGTTTATTAGGTGTCTTTTGGAGCCGGACGTTGCTCGGAGAGCAACGATAAGGCAGGTGGTAAATTGCATGTGGCTGCAGGAGAAGTGCAACAAGCTGACCCATCCTTGCGATTACTAGTATTCCTTTAACTTTGTCTGTGTTCGTTACTCTGTGATAGTTTGTACCAAGCGAAAAAATAAATAAAAATGCAATGATTATATGCTCAGCGCGCTCAGATTTTTGTGGCGGTTTATCGATGAGCGAGCGCACTTGTTATCGTTATCTCGGAAGTGAAAATATTTTTATTAAAAATACGAAAACCGAAAGGTGGTGATAATATTTAGTAAATACTTTGACCGAGTCCACTTGCGTAACGCCCGTTTTGTGGGCGAAATAAAAAAAAAACATGTTCGGGCTGTACGAAATTGTTGTGTTGTTTTCATCGATTTTAACTGTGATTCTTGTCAAGAAGTTTACGGAAGAGAAGTCGCCGTCCATCTGCAATGTCTACAAGAGATGCGACGCCTTTTACTGGCCCAAATTCGTCATCTTCTACTGCATTTTCACGCTACTCAAGGTAATTACATATATAAATATATATATAAACGTTTAATTTATATTAACTACTTTTTAGTTAATAAATTTCCAAAAGCAATACAAGCATTTCGACAAAGCTCAACGGTTACCAAAGACTTCAAAAGTAAGCTTAAACTTAAATAGTTATGTTTTTTTAGTAATTGTGATTTCTTAGGCATTCGATGAGGTTTCTTTTAGTTGTTCCAATAATTCTGGTGAATTCATCGTGTGCGATGTATCTAGAAGGGGTGATTCTTCTGTTGATGGAATGATGGCAATTAAATTGAAAAATTCGCGTTTACTTCGAACCAACTTGAAAAGTGCTTCATCTAACGATAGTTTCAAGGTTGAAGGTATCAAAGTGTGCCCAGTGGAGCAGGGAAAGAAGTGGAAAATTATATACGATGGTCAGATGAAAGATGATGCAGGAAAAATGCTTCCTTGCAAAATAGATTTGGATTATTCATCGGATTATCCCTTGTTTAGCTACGAGAAACATGCTAACAGTGTATTGTTTGCGGATTCATTGGCCCGAGAAGACTGGAGCTTGAATTACTTTAAGAACTTGCAATTGTACGTATTTAATTGTTTTATTCGTTAAAGACTTAAGTCTATTTTAAATTGTTTAATTAATTTAATAGTAATTGAAATTTAATTAACACATTTAATTAATTTTAGTTTGCATCAGACGCACTACGAACAGCATGGTGATGTTAGAGGTGTAATTAGGATCGGCGATAAAACAGAGAACGTCTCTCTTAACGCGTTAAGAGATCACAGTTTCGGAAAACAAAGAGATTGGAGCCAATTCCACCGTTACGTTTTGCATTACATAAACGTTGATAACGGTGACAAGATTTCTGTTGGCTCAATTTCCATGCCGATTGCCTTTTCCAAGTAAATACTTAAAGAATAATTGAGTATCAATTATAATCATTAATCATTTTTAGCTTAAGCGTGGGTCACGTCTTTGAAGCTAAAACTGGTAAGATGCAGTCCATATCCAAAAGCGATTTCAAGTTGTACCAACACGGAGAAGACGGTGTCCCACCAAAGGATTACGCTTTCACTATCAAACTTGGTTCGTGAAGAGGAATTATTTGTGTAATGAGATTTAATAATTGTTTGTTTTTCTTTAGGAAAAGTCACTTATGTAATCGAAGTGGAAGTGGAGGAAGGATTTGAGTATTATAGAGGTAACAATGAGGTGAAGATGATTGAGAACTCGTGCAAATTCAGAGTGAATGGAAGACGGGCATGGGGTTCCATCGAGTGGCTTTACAGACATGTAGAATAAAATAGTTTTACGTAAACTTTTATTTTATTTCGGATACAAATCGAAGATTTTAACATCAAATAGGATTTTCCTGCCGTTCGAACTCTGGATCAAATGTCGCTTTGGTGCGGTTATCTTTTTAAGCTGTTTAGTGAAGGTCAACATCACGGAACAATCTTTAACGATTTTTCCGAGCACTTTACAAATGATCGGACAATTTAATTTGTAGCTTTCGAGATCCAAGCAGTTCTCATTGAAGTCCTTCAGGCATTTCCCGACGTAATCGAAGTTATCTGGCACGTTTCCAGCGTTAGTCAGATAATAGGACTGGTATTTCAGTATCTTCTTTAGTACGCATCCCTTTGGAAGGCCATCCGATGAGTCTATTGATTCTTGGACATCTTCCAGATTAGCAAGCAGCATCTGGCAGATTGCGTTCTTGAAATCTTCGCGGTTTTGGAATGTTTCGTTAATGACACTATCGAACGCTATAATCTCGTGGTTCTCTGAATACACAAGTTGTCCGTTTTTGTAGACTTGAAAATTGTTCTGCGGATTTTCGATTAGGTCCTCGATGGATTCCAACATTAGTTTAAACTCTCTATAAAAAAAAGAGCAATATTTGCTAAGTTAATATTATGGATCTTTGGAAAGTCACCTTACCCGGAGAATATTTTTTTCGGGCAATAATTCGTAGGACTTTTGATATTTCCTTGGTTCAGCTGAAATTTCTCATCTGTCTATCTGTTCATTGTATAACTTTGCCTGGTTTTTTTTTGTATACCTTTAATATCTGTTTTTGACAAAACAAGCAGTTCTCTTCGCTCTGCACTCCGAACTTGGGTTTGATCTCGACGGCATATACATCGTCATCATCCACGAATCTGTCTAAGCCCTCTTCGAAACAGGTGTAGTCCTGACATAGGATCGCATTGTGGCTTAATGTTTTGTGCATCCGATGAGCTGCAAGCAAAACGAGAGGAAAATCTGAAAGAGTTTTAACGCTATTTATATATTTTATCATAAATTTTAGACGGACACAATAAGCGAAACAGAATTTAAAATAAGGAACAATAATTTTGTCTATACGGCTGACGATGGTAGATGTCTTCGACACTTCTCCAGACGTTTCATTTTCACGCACAGCTCCTTCTTGAAGTTCTTAACGCACATCTCCGCACTGCGTTTCTCCTCCTTCAGCTTATTAATCTCGTCCCGAATCTTGTTCTGGCACTCTCTGACCGCTTGCTCCTGGACCAACCGTTCAATGTCCTTCTCGCTCTCCTCTATCTTCTGATCGATGCACGTTATCTCTCCTAAATACTTCTCCACCACCTTCTCCAGACGCACCTTCATCTCCTCCAAACATATCAACCTCTTCGACGCCTTCTCCAGCTTCTTTTCCATTATGCGTCTTCACACAAAAGATAAATGCAATAAAGAAAAAACCTTGAGCAGCATCATCTAAACAAAAAAACTTACTGTGCCAAGCATAGAAAGATGGTGCATTTTAATACATTTATACAGTGTTACAATTTTGGTATCCGCTTCAAATGAAATATATCAAAATTTTGAGTGACATCTATATTTATAAAATAAGTGAGAATCACCAAGGCCAAGTTTAATAAATGAACAAATGCTAAAATTACCTGGCCTCAATCCATCCAGTTGACTCTTGAAACTCATCAGATCATCTAAGAATTCAACCCTCTCAATGCGTGTTACATAAATGCCAAACAAGTGTTTCATTATCTTATTTTGAAACGCTATTGACTTCAGGAAGCTTTCAGAAGCATCTCCTGCTTCCTGTGGATTCTGCTTTTTAAATATCAAAACCTTCCTTAAACTGGGTAAAGACAATGCAAGATGAGCATTCCCTTCTCCACGATATAACCAATTCTCGCTATATTTAATACCATCGCATTCAAAATTTAATTTTTCCATTGTACATATAAGTAACAAAAATAATAATCAAGAGATAGCCTAAAACTCTTAAACGTCAAACTGACAGTGGTAGATTACATATGAGTGTATTGTTGGTTGCCAATATTATGTATTAGTTCGAGCTTTTTGGCGCTGATTCTCAAATTGTACATAAGGTTGCATATAGACCGCAACGAAATGTGAATTAGGCATTTACGTAAAAATCTTATAATAATTAAAAGACCATTTATATATCCTATTATTAACCTATCCACATGTCTTTATTTTATCATTCGAATTGAACCACGTTTTGTGAGATAAACACATATAAAGTTTGACAACTGTAGACAAAAACTAAGGATTACATAATCGATAATTAAAGTCACAAGTAAGTTGAACCTTTGGGCGCGGAGCGAAAGCCCCAATTCCGAAGATAACAACCATTATTATTAGCCCATATATAAAGTCATCTAGTCTAGTAAGTGGAATCGATCAGGTTGGAGTTTTTTTCAGATTATAGATCAGTGTGCGGCGCAAATTTGACGTCTGTGCTAAAGCTAAAATTATCTACGACTTATTTTATGCGTTTTACATTTGGAAAAGTACTATTAATAACGTGAGAAAAAGCAAAGAATCGTCTTATAGAATCCGGTGAGTTTTATGGACGAAATACGAAATTGCATCTAAAACGTATTGAAGTAGACCAACAAAAGAAAATATCTGTTGTTTGTTTTTGAGGTTAGATCTGCAGATGCATAGCAGGAATGAGTCTTCGAAACGAGCAGGTTTCTTTATTAGTTATTAAAAATCACAGAGAACCCCAAGCCTACGAACATTAAGCTTTAGATATACATTCTCCTTAGTGCCTGCTTCATTTATTTATTTATTATTTTTGTTGTGTGTATTTGTATATTATTTATTTACTTTCATATTTGTTTCAGTTTATTCCTCACTTTTGTTGAGCTGCATGTGCACTAGAGGCTAGTATTGATGTGATTGCTAGTGAGAGAGCAAGTTGATAGATTGAAAGGAATTGTGTGAGAGGAGGGTGTGTGATGGCTGCTTTCATGAATCGCACCATGTCAATGATGGCAGGCGATGGCCCCCATAACCGTGGCCCGATGTCGTTGGCAGATCACCGACAGATGGGAGGTCGTGGGGCCGGCGCACCTGAGAACTCGCCTTTGCAGATTTTCGTCAAGGCCAAGAAGAAAATCAATGACATCTTCGTGGAGATCGAGGATTACGTTAAGGATGCCGTCAATTACATGCACGGTTGGTTCATTTGCGTTTCCAACATTTCTATATTTCGATTGATTTGTTGTCGATTTTCTAGAGATTGAAAAGGAGCAGCAGATCCTGGACGAGAAGAGCGTGAGGCAAGCTGAGGAGTTCGTGCAGAAGGTGCACGGGATCAAAGATGTATTGGCCAGGGATCACATGAAGGTCGCCTTTTTCGGGCGCACTTCAAACGGAAAAAGCTCGGTCATCAATGCCATGCTGAGGGACAAAATCTTGCCTAGCGGCATAGGACATACTACAAATTGTTTTTTGCAAGTAAATTGAGCTGCGACGACGATTGGACGCAAATCATCTGCTTCGGTTATTTATAGGTTGAAGGATCTCCATCCGATGAAGCTTATCTTGTGCTGGAAGGTTCTGATCAACATTGCTCTGTTGAATCTGTAGCCTCGTTAGCTCATGCTCTTTGCAAAGAGAAGCTAAAAGAGTCTGAGATGGTGAGGGTATATTGGCCACGAAATAGATGTCTTCTGTTGAGGGATGACGTCGTCTTCGTAGACTCGCCAGGCGTTGATGTCACTCCCAACTTGGACGAATGGATTGATAAGCACTGCTTGGATGCGGATGTTTTTGTTTTGGTCGCCAACGCTGAATCAACTCTGATGGTCACAGTAAGTTTAACAGATATCTTACTTAGACTTGTTACAAATTATGATTGAATTTTAGGAAAAGAATTTCTTCCATAAAGTCTCAACGAAATTATCGAAGCCGAACATTTTCATATTGAACAACCGATGGGATGCGTCCGCATCTGAGCCCGAATTTTTGGATCAAGTGAGTAAATAAAAGGGACAAGAAATCCAAAAAAAAAAAAACATACACATTGGCTTCAATTGCATTTGCATTTCAATTAACTACATTGCTCAATAATTCAAACACACTACTTTGCATTATGCTTCATTCCTAACTTTCCATAAATGATTTTTTGTTTGTCTCATGTTTTTAAAGCAATGCGATGAGCAAGCCGGGGTGAGTTTACGTTGACTATGTTTTAATAATTGTCACGTTAATAATACAACTAGTAAAACATTTTAATTTACAATTATTATCAAAGTAATTGATTGTTTGTATTTCCGATATGAACGTAATGAAAATACATCAAACTCTAAATTGTACTTGATTTGCTAGTTGTTTTATTATTAATGTGATATGTTGATATATAGTATTTGAATAGTTTATTTGTAAAATGTGATTTTTGAATTTGTATTTTTGTTTAATTAGGTCAGGAAGCAACATCAGGAGCGCGCTGTCGATTTCCTCGTGAAGGAGTTGAAGGTTTGTACGCCGGATGAAGCTCGTGAAAGAATATTCTTTATATCGGCTAAGGAAGCTTTACTGGCTAGACTCGCTGAACAAGGTCAAAGTCCAACCGCGACTCTGGCCGAAGGTTTCCAAAGCAGATATTTTGAATTCCAAGATTTTGAAAGAAAATTCGAGGAGTGCATTAGTAAGTCGGCAGTGAAAACCAAATTTGAGCAACACTCGCAACGTGGCAAATATATTGCCAGGTAAAATTTCAAATAAAATTAATCTTGTTATATGTATTTTACATGTTTGCTTTTTATGTTTACAGCGAATTGAGGGATGTACTGGATCGTTTATACTTGGATGCACAACACTTGAGAGATGATAAATTGCTGCAGCGCAAGGAGCTACACGACAAAGTAAACTATACGGAGCAACAGTTGATGGTCATCACGCAGGAGATGAAGCAGAAGATCCATCACATGGTGGAGGATGTGGAGCAGAGAGTATCCAAGGCTTTAAGCGAGGAGATTAGACGTTTAAGTAATTTGGTGGATGAGTTCAATTTGCCTTTCCATCCAGAACCTTTGGTTCTGAACGTATACAAAAAGGAGTTGCATTTGCACGTCGAGGCTGGACTGGGTTCTAACCTGAGAGCGCGCTTATCAACTGCTTTAGCTTTAAACATGGAGGCCAGTCAAAGGGAAATGTGCGTACGTATGGAGGTTTTGATTCCGGAAAACATGAGAACCGGTGCGAATTTCGTATTCCCGCGCAGGCAGCCGTTCGAGATATTGTACAGATTGAATTGTGATAATCTTTGCGCCGATTTCCACGAGGATCTAGAGTTCAGATTTTCATGGGGTATCACTGCAATGATTCAAAGGTTCGGCGGTAGCGGAAACAACTTCTTGGCTTTGAAGAATAAGAGGGAAAGTCCCCAAAACTCTCTACTTCCTACCACGCCTTCGGAGATGGATGGTCGTTTATACTATGGATCTAACGTAGAAGATTGGTCCATTCTAAGCAGGATTGCTATGGCAAGCATCAGTTCGCAAGGCACTATGGGCGGCCTTTTGGTTGCCGGTTTCTTGATGAAGACTGTTGGATGGAGGATCATTGCAGTAACTGGTGCCGTATACTCATGTCTGTATTTGTACGAGCGCCTGACCTGGACAAATAAGGCTAAGGAAAAGAACTTCAAGAAGCAATACGTAAATCACGCGACGCGTAAATTGAAGATGATCGTTGACCTGACGTCGGCGAATTGCAGTCATCAAGTACAACAAGAGTTGAGCGGAACCTTCGCCAGGTTATGCCATTTAGTTGATGAGTCCACCAACGATATGGACAAGAAACTGAAGGAACTTGAAGTACAAGTCGGCAGCCTGGATAACGCGAGCACAAGGGCCAAAGTCCTGAGGAACAAAGCGAATTACTTAACACACGAATTGGAGCTGTTCGAGGACGGCTACCTGAAGATGCATCAATGATGCTACTAGCATGTTTCTTCTTAATTTTCATCTTCTTGCAAATAGTTTATTTTTACTTTTTTTTTTATTGTATATTTATTTGATTTCTTCAATTTTATTTTAGGAATAAAATGTGATGTATAAACTGTTTCCTTTCAAAGTGAAATACGAATGTCTGGCACCGTTATACTTTGTTAGCAACAAAAAAAATAATCAAGATTTTATGATTTAGTTTTACACTTTTGTTCGCGTTGTTAGTCGACATTAGAGGAACTCTATTTGTATGTGTGTACTAACTACTACTGATGAGGGACACGGATTGTAGAAAGATGATTAGAATGATTGGAAATGTAAGAAAATGCGAGAAAAAAAATATGAATACGAAGAAAAGAAAATCATCTCTCTTCTGAATATTAACTACGGTGCATCAGTGGAGATGAAGATTTTTTTTTTGTTAGCTGTAAATAATAATTGTTTATATAAAAAAATATATATAAAAAAGATAACAATAAAAATGTTGGTTTAAAAAAAAAACAAATAAGTTTATTATATAACATTAACGAACTAATAGATTTTAGGTGCTAAGTGTTGATTATTTAAAATCTATTTCTGGTACAATCCACCGGTATTAAGAGAGTGCGTGTCGTAGTAAGAACTATAATTAACAGTTTTAAGATAATAATACAGGTTCAACTGGTTGTCTTTAATTAACTAGCAATTATATTGAACTATTTTGCACATAGTATATCCTGAATTTCTTGTAAACTTTTCCCCGAAGTTTCCGGCAAGTACTTGTAAACGAATATAATTGATAAGAAGCAAAAACCGGAGAACAGCCAGAACGAGGGACCAATTCCTATGACCTCCATGACGGGATCGAAGAATTTCAGGAGCATCCAACCCAGGATCCAGCAGCCGGAAGCTGTGAACGTGGACGAAATGGATTTGACGTTGCTCGGAAACAATTCTCCCATTATCGCCCATGGTAGAGGTCCGAATCCCAAGCAGTAGAAAATGATGTATGTAATTAGGCAACCGACAGGAAGATAGGTGTAATTATCGAGATTCCACGATCCTTTGTGGTAATAGAAGTACGTGCCAAGCAAAGCCTGCGACAATCCCATCAGCAAACCGGACATGATCAACAGGAATCGCTTTCCACTTTTCTCCACAAAGAACGGCGTCATTAAGCTGGATCCAACTTGTACCGCGCTGATTATAATCGCAGCAATTTCCGGTTCAATGGCACCCGCTGCTTCATCGAAGATACTTTGAGCGCAAAACAGGACAATGTTGATACCGCTTAACTGCTGAAAAGCTACCAAACCAACAGATAAAATAAGAGCCTTTCGCAGATTTGGTTTCTGGAAAAGCTCCTTAAAGCTGCCTTCATCCTTCAACGAATTCTCGACCGAATTTTGAATGCCGTTCAACTCTACAGAAACGTCTTCCATCATTCGCAGCTTTTTCAAAGATTCGTTGGCTTTGCACATGTTGCCCTTCGCGATGTAATAATGAGGCGTCTCTGGAATGATCAGATACAAAGCGAACAAGAACATGAGCGGTATTACCGTCGAATACAAGTTGAAAGTGGAGATCTCCACGTAAGGTCCCACGCAATACGCAAACAGAAGACCCAAAGTGATGAATAGTTGCATGAACGAACCCAACGGTCCACGATCTTCATCAGTGGAAATTTCACCAATGTATATTGGTAGAACAGTGAAAATTCCGCCAATTGAAAGGCCGCACATGAAGCGAGCCAAATAGAAAAACCAAATATTAGTTGCGAATGCGGATATCACGAACGCGAACGTGATTGGCAAAGTTGTCGAGAATAGCGTTAATTTACGACCAACTTTATCCGCTGAAATTCCCGCGAACCATGGCCCTATAGCAGCTCCTAGTGGAAGAAGCGATGCAATCCACGAAGACTGTTCGGTGGTGATTGGTTCGCCAAGCGGATTTCCGGAAGTACCTTTGAGTTTCGGCGTTATTGGAGAAGTCCAGCCCAGAGCTATACCGCACGCAAAGGCGGTCAAATTAACTACAAACATATACAAGAAATATAAAGATATAAAAAAAAAGATTCCAAGAAGTCGGACAGGTAAATACGGTCAGGAGGGAGAGAGAAACAAATCTTTTATTATAATTTTTTTTACCTGTGCAAGCTGCAATGTAAAGGAACCGTTTTCGGCCACCCTCCGGCCCTTTTTCCGTATCCACATCGAACCGTTTCACGGTCTTATAGCCCTCCATTATTTTTTCCCACGCGTAGAAGATGGGAAAAAAATAAATAAATACAGAATCTAATATTCCGAATACGCCTCCTTTACTTCTCTGAGAAAAATATATCGAAATCAGAGCATCTAGCTTTATAATGCTTTAAGCTAGGCGAACCAATTCGAACTAATAATTTATTATTTTCTATATATACAGGTCACTGATAATTGATAAGCCAAAACTTCAACGCACACAAGCAAATTTTAAACATATTTTACTGATTAAATGTATGTAATCAGCCTGATGCACATGTTTCCACATAAATAAAAAATAAAAAACATGACAAATAAATATTAGTGTGTAATTGGTTCTTTCGCCGATAATTGCAAATGCATATAATTGCATGCATTTTTAATTGGGCAGAGTATACACAACAACCTTGAGATTTACTTATTATTTTTTTTAACAAGATTATGTTGAAATAATTTGTTCATAGAGATAATCGTAATCTTATAATTCATTACCATTGCACAAATACAGAAATGATTTCTATTATTATCTAAACTTGTATCCATAGGCAAGATAAATCAATTTAATATTATTGTTTCTTCATTAAAAGTTATATTTTCGAAAATCAAATTAGAACATTTTGAAATATTTTCATTTTGTTCACTGTTACTTTAATTACCTAATAGGATAAGTTATAAACATTTTTGAGTTATATAACTAGTTTTTAAATATTTTGAAAATTTCAGTTGATTTATCAATTGGAAATTGCATGTATTTTATTACATAATTGTAACGATGTTGGATTTAGATTGTTTGTACGATCATCGAACCAAAAGTTTCTTTTGGTACAAGAAGAAGGAAGGGAAAATTGTACACCCTGTAGATGATGATCACGTGGTTGGAAGGATGGTAGGGATGGATGGGCATGCGCCATCCATGATCCAGGTGGGCGCGAAACCCGCCATAACTGTTCATTTGTTTTCACGAGTGCTGCATACGCGTCCCTCCGGCTCCACCATTTTAGTTTCGTCCGCCTCCGGAAAAACACGTGGTTCGAGGAAGAACCCATTGGGTCCACGGTACACCCATGGAATTCCCGCGTAACTAAGACGACCGACCTCTCTGTTAGTCTGCCGATGCGGGCCAGTGTTCAATCTATTTGCACTGCAATTGTAAGAAACCTGTGACTAGATGGAACACTCGCCTCCAACGGCCAGACCAAAAAAAAAAAACGGTTTCTTCTTCCCCCCTTTTGTATCCGGCGAGGGGCCACCCAGCGACGACCGCACAGGACAAAACAAAACTTGTTTCGCAAGGCTAAGCAGATTGTCGGACATATTCTTCTTTGGTGATCTAGTTGTATGAGTATTTATACAATTCATAAAGCTGGTTCAGCAAAGCAGAATGTTTTCGACTGCCCGTCGAGGGATTGATTGAAGAAAAAGGGATAACATCAACAACCACCATGCACCAGGACGCTGCTGAACAACAGGACAGGAATTAGTAGCAACCGCAACCAACGTATACAGGGTATCTGGTTTGAAGGAACTCCTGGTGTGATATGTACGTTATTATATTCATATCACAGCCAGTAGTTACCTACGAAATGGGTCGCCCTTTTCGACGTACGCGCTATAAATTTGTTTGTAATCATACCCTTGTTTTTTTTTTGTTTACACCTCGACGAACGCAACGGTAACTATACACAACCATCACTCTTTATTTAGATCCTCACAGGTACTAGCTTCGTCCGGATTAAAGAAGTTAATCAAACTGTCGTCATCCACCGGAGTAGTGCTGGCGATTAGTACGCTGACCTGAGATTGGAAGGTCGTGCACGAGATGATCTCCATTGGTTCAGCTGTGCCGATCATGGCTCTACCGCAACCACACAACGAATTCGCGCTCCTTTTCAAGGGAGAGCAAGTGCAAGACGACGCAGCGGAATTAAGACACTTCAACATCTTTCCCTCGTTTTCCACGTCCAGACAAGAGCAGCAAACGCTTCCATCGCACATTGCGAACTCCTGTAATATTATACTGCACAAACAGTTGTTATCGTTCTTGCAGTTACAGAACAGCTTCACTTTTAGTATGCTTTCAACGTCGACTTTTCCATCGATGCAGTCGCATTTGATATCGTAATTCATCATGTTGATCTCCCTAAGGATTTTCGAGAGCTTGCTGCACAGACAGAAGGATTGGCCGCAGCTGCAGACGCACTTGTTTTTACGTCCGATCGGTAAATTCAAAATGGACTCATCTTGGATTGCCTCGTTCTGGAAGATGCAGCGGCAATCGTCTTCGCAAGTGCACGTGTGATCAAACGAGTGCACAGAGGGATACATTTCTAGAGAAAAAAACAAATATTTTATACCTGCGTTCGACGAAATTTCGGGACTTTACCTGCTAGCTGGGCCATCAAGTCATCAATCTCTTTACATTTCTCCAAAATTTTACCTAAAACACTGTGTTCAGATAAAAAAAAAACAATTAAGATACCGATAATTGCACCTCTTTTCTCCTCTTCAGGGTCTAAGAAAGAAGTCATAGTTCCAATATCTACAATGAAAGAAATGATTAGATATGTTGCATGCAGCAATTACCAGCAGAAAATACCGCAAGTTAGGATTGGATCGGTCATAATGCCGATGGTAGTGAAATACTTCTTTTGCGGATCAAAGCTCGTCAAGTCGGACAATTTAAATTCATCGTCGTTGTATTGACCCTCAATGTTTTGTCCTTCGAACATGCACATCTTGCAATTAGCTGCATTACTACCGGTTGATTTCTGAAAAAGTAATATTCTAATTAGTGCATGTTTTTCGCGCCAAAATCAATAATCCATTGAGAATTTATCCTTGCACTATAATTAAAAAAAAATAATAATAACAAATGTTTGATTTATATTCTAATTAGGTTAATTAAGTATTAAGTTTCAAGGTGCTAAGTTTTAATTTTAACCCAAATAAATATTTATTTTGACAAAAAAAAAGAATGTAACTTATCTCTATTTTCAAGCAAACAATCCTTCCTTTATAATAAATTCCATAATAATCTTTTGTAATTACGAAAAATGAAAATGTTTCACAATCAAATACAAATTCTGTATAATCACCGATATTGAATCCAGTTTGTAGAGTTTCAGTAGTTTGTAAGCGTCGCTCCATTTGAAATCTGTCTGCTGCGTTTCCGGAAGCTCTTCGCCGGAAATGACGTCATTATCTCTCACTGGAAACGCCGGCTCCAGGTCGATGGAATTCATGAATCTCCAGAATTCCACGCATTTATCAACGGCCCTGCTGTCCTTCTTCGCTGGATCGAAGCTCAAAATCTTAACAAATATACAAGCTTACTAAACCTTTTATTATGTTTTATCGTAGTTACTTTGAATTTGGATTCTCCGGACTTAACGGATTCGTCGATGCCTTGCACATTATTGATGGAATTGTAATTCGTGCTGCTCGTATCATCCGAGTCGCTCATTGTATATTTTTTGACAACAAATGATCATGGCAATTAAAAAAGGATTATCAATGATTGAATGATATAGAAACATGATACAAATTTTTTTTTTTTCAATATTAATCAATATTTCATCCTTATGTAATATTGCCTTAGATCACATTAATAGGACCTACATGAACGTAATTAAATGAGACAAATCAAATTTTCTTTCGATAATAATTTCAAATTGATTTTCCGCCATCTACCTTCCTATGTCTGCAGTTCTCCTCCAGTTAAACATAACCTTACATAATTCTGTCAATAACCTCAAAGATGTTCTCTATTACAAGAGGTTTGAGTAGGCTAAAAGGTGAATTCTCAATTAACTTTGTACTTGCGAAAACATAATATTGCTTCTGTTACAGTATCTGTACCAAATGTCTGCAGATTATTGGGAACTAATGCCCAACAAGTGAATGTACCAAGCCCCGCAGTATGCTCTTCAATTATAAATAATGCAATTGAAAACCCATGGATCTACAGGCAACCTGATCATATAAAGAATCCAATAAATGGGATCAAACCAATAAAGCTTCCAAATGATCTGTTCTGGGTGCCACTCAGTAAAGAGGATAAGATAAGCAATGTAACAATAGAAGCTCCCTCGTTGAACATTCAAGAAAAATTAGCAGCCAGATTGATTGTGATTCGTAGGAAGAAAATGAAGAAGCACAAGTTGAAGAAATTGCGCAAGAGGATGAAGTACGAGTATGCTAAGGTTATTCGTCTTAAAATGATATTGCTTTGACATCAATTAAAAGTTGTTTTTTTTTTTTGAATTGTAGATCAGGCAAAGGAGAGAATTGAAGAAGGAGAAGGCTTTCCAAGCAGTGCTGATCCAACAGTGCAAAGAGGCGGAGCTTTTCAACGCCAAAAAGTATGTGGATGAGAAGCTGGAGAAGTTACACGAAATCGTTATTCCTAGGTATTGGAAGGGCAAGAGGATGCCAGAGTTCCTGGTCAGACAGAAAATGGGGCTACCGCCAAAGGAGAATTGATTGTTTCTTTTTATTTAAACTATAAATTAAATTTACATGTAGATATTATTACACTTGGTCTAGCTTGAATTTCTCCATTGCCGCATTCCCATCGTTACGGTTTAAAGCTTCCAAGAGTTTCGATATCACTCGATTGACTGCAGCTTCGGTCATTACAAGAGTGTCGTACTTGAGCATCGAGTGGACGTTCAAACTGTATGCCGGCATCAAGTTCATATGCTTGATCTCATCTGTAGCTACAGTTATATTCCTTGGCATGATATCCACTCTAAACCATGAATGAAAACAATACTTTTAGCTGTAGTTATAGGAAAATCAATAGGAAAAACATACTCATCAACAAAGAGTACTGAAGGTCCCCAATTCCTGCTTTTGACTAATTCCTGCATGAAACTGGATTCTTCTGTGGGTATATCCAAGTTCTTCACTATATGCAAATCATCTTGAGCCAACTTAACTGACAAAGTGCTTGTTAAACCAAGCACCCTTGTGTAAAATGGTAGCATGTAGAAGTGGCTTGTGGGAGACCTGGGGCCATGGATAATACCACCACCTCTCCACATTGGACTCCTGATAGAACTGTGCCTTGACTTACCCATACCTATATCATACATAATTTAATTATTAATAAATTTTAAGAAATAATGTAATTAAGACCTTTTTGTGGCCAGGGCTTCCTTCCACCACCTCTGACTTCAGACCTCACTTTAGTATGTGCAAAGCTCACATAGCGGTATAAGGATTGCCACCTGACATTCTGGTGGATGATGTCTATACGTGGATTTGCAGCAAATACATCTGGATGCAGATCAATGAGACCAAGTTTCTTCTCATCGATGGTATCCAAATTCTCAATCCATACCTGTCTTGGTTTTAGGTAATGCTTCTGGCCTTCAACTGCAGCCACATTAGAGTAGGACTTCAAGCAATTGCTTAGTTGCTTCAAGTTTGACTTGAGCAAATTGGAACACAACATTTTTAGTTACTAATATTCAATACAAAATTAATATTTAATTAAACAAGGTTATGATATAAGTATGAGCGTATCTTTATAAAACTTTCGTTACATACACAGGTGCTATGTTGGTTGCGGTGAATGAGTATTTTGGATTTTTTTATTTAAATTTATATTTTCTATAATGTTTTGAAGGTAGTAAATAATGTAAAACTAGTAGTTACGCTAATAATTAGTTTTTAAAGTTAATTAATTTATCTGTTATTAATAAAAACATATTATAATTTCAAAAATTTGTTAAGTTCCAAGAGAGGTTGGTAGTGAATGTTCTCGGCGGTTGAAAAGCTCTGCAGTGAGGCCAACTGTTTTTGCGTACTTCAGTCGAATGTGTCGTTCATTGAGCATACATTCATTTTGGTTTTTGCGCTTATTTGTGGTTTACTGACTGAGAGTGTAGTGATTGGGTGGCTGTTTGGTGTAAACGGGAGTTGAAGTACGTGAGTAGTTTTAGAATAATTTTGCTGAATTTTGGAGAAGCTGCTCTATGGTAAAATTTTTGTAGCGTCGTGCGCCAATGCGAGGACCGAAGGGTACCAAAAATTTGTAACGGCCGAATTGTCATTGCATACACACATTTCTGGTCCTCGTCGAAGTACATAGCAATACACTGTCCTCTCTCTATATATACCCTGTCAACAATTTCACCCCCCGTTGAGTTTTGTTTTTGAAATACCGTAGGGCTCCACAGATGCTAACCTTCCACTATGAACGTGTAGTGGTGAAGCACGAAACCCTTCGCCTTTGTAGCCGTCTTTTACCACGACCATCATCATCATCGGCTCGCGGCTTTTATTTTTAGTTTGTTGCCTCCAGTTTGTTAGGTTAGGTTGAGGTGCTAGCCTCTCAATTACGTCGTTACTTAAAACACTACGAATACCTCGCGTTTTGCATACTGACAATATCAAACTCTTAACCTTAATACTGGAACAAAACAAAGTTCTACAGCACACTTTGATTTACTTTGCTAGTCCACCTAAAACATGCTTTTCATCACAGCACTAATGGTTCTTCCATCATTCTTAGATTTCAAAGGTCTTCGCTCAATTATAAATTTTGTATGTTACATTCAAAGTCAAATAACTGAATAATCATTATACTCTATTTAATGATTACAACCCTATTTCTGCCACCAAATAGTGCTTATCAATAATTAGTATTCTTTAAATATCTTAAATGTATATTATCAATTCAAATCTATAATATATTTAATTTTTTAAGTAATTTATATTTGGTATATGATTTGATAATCTTTATATTATTTTCATATCCACATTATATCTAAACATTATTGTTTGTTTTATAATTTTCTAAACTTTCTGTTTCTATTTGTTTCAGTGCAAGCAACTGTAATGTGTGAATTGAGGGTGTAGGAAGAAAGTTATTTTTATAAGCGAGACACAGCGAGGGTTTTTTTTTAAACATAAACAAGTGTTTTCACGTAGAGGACGAGGGAGAGAACGCGTGCTTGGGTGCGAGCGCGTTTTTTTCATTTTTTTTTTGTTTATTTTCCGTTGCCTTATTATTTCTTCTTCATTGGTTGCACTTAGTGCCTAACAAAATCTAATAAGATGGCCACACAGTTTCCAATGGAGGCCGCGGATCTCTTGGATTTCACCCAAAAGTTGGACATTGGTCTGTTGGACCGTGTGGTTGTGAGCATGTACTCTGGAGGTGGAGAGGCGCAAAGGGTCGCACAGAAAGTCCTGACAACCCTTAAAGAACATCCAGATGCATGGACGCGTGTTGACACCATTCTAGAATATTCTTCTAATCAACAAACTAAGTACTACGCGCTGCAGATCCTCGAGCAGGTTATCAAGACTAGGTGGAAAGTGTTACCCCGCAACCAGTGCGAGGGTATCAAGAAGTACATCGTTGCACTGATAATCAAGACCAGCTCCGATCATCATACTCTCGAAGCGAACAAAACATATTTGAACAAACTGAATATGATTCTGGTACAGGTTCTGAAGAGGGAATGGCCTAAGAATTGGGAAACTTTTATCCCAGATATTGTGGGCGCCAGCAAAACCAACGAGTCCCTCTGTCAGAATAACATGATCATTCTGCAGCTTCTTAGCGAGGAACTGTTTGATTTCTCCTCGGGTCAGGTTACCCAAGCCAAAGCAAAACACCTCAAGGATAATATGTGCCAGGAGTTCTCGGCAATTTTCCATCTATGCCAGTTCGTCCTAGAGAACTCCCAGAATCCACCGCTGGTGAATGTTACACTTGAGACACTACTCAGATTCTTAAATTGGATTCCGCTTGGCTATATTTTTGAGACGAAGCTGGTCGAAACATTGATCAGCAAGTTCTTGCCGGTGCCTATGTTCAGGAACGTCACATTGAAATGCCTAACCGACATCGCTGTCCTCAGCGTAAGCAACTATGATAGCATCTTCATAGATCTCTTCAATGAGACAATGAAGCAACTTGAGATCATGTTGCCGCTGCAAACCGATATTCGTCATGCGTATTCGTGTGGTTCAGACCAGGAGCAGAATTTCATCCAGAATCTCGCGATGTTCCTTTGCACTTTCCTGAAGGAACATGGAAACCTGGCTGAAAAGAATCCAGTTTCACATCGGAACAGTCTACACTATCTACTATTAATATCCGAGGTCGATGAAGTGGAGATTTTCAAGATTTGCTTAGAGTATTGGAATGCATTGACATCGGAATTATATAAGGATGGCTCTTACATTCCTGGACCGTCCCTATACATCTCTGCAAGGCTCGGAGTGTACAATGAGGTTTGTTACTAAAATCATCTTGATCCATGATCGATTATTTATATGTTCTTTTTTTAATGTTTCTAGGTTTTACAAAAAGTACGATACATTATGATCTCCAGAATGGCGAAGCCAGAGGAAGTATTGGTTGTGGAGAATGACAATGGCGAGGTTGTCCGCGAATTTATGAAAGACACTGATGCTATAAACCTTTATAGAAACATGCGTGAGACCCTCGTCTACTTGACGCATTTGGACGCCGTGGACACCGAAGCCATAATGACGGAAAAGTTGCAGAAGCAGGTGAACGGTGCGGAATGGTCCTGGAAAAATCTGAACACACTCTGTTGGGCCATCGGAAGTATATCCGGTGCGATGCAGGAAGAAGACGAGAAGAGATTTTTGGTAACTGTGATTAAGGAGCTGCTTGGACTTTGCGAACAGAAGCGTGGAAAAGACAATAAAGCTATAATTGCTTCGAACATTATGTACGTTGTTGGCCAGTATCCGCGCTTCCTTAGGGCTCATTGGAAGTTCTTGAAGACTGTCGTCAATAAGTTGTTCGAATTCATGCACGAGACCCACGATGGTGTACAAGACATGGCCTGCGATACGTTCATCAAGATCGCACAGAAATGTCGGCGTCATTTTGTATCTTTGCAGAGTGGAGAATCGACGCCCTTCATTGACGAAATTTTGACGTCGATATCATCTATCATCGGCGATCTTGAGACTCAGCAGGTTCATACGTTTTACGAAGCTGTTGGTTACATGATTGCGGCACAGGTGGATTCCACAGTGCAAGAGAATTTGGTCGAGAAATACATGTCGCTACCAAATCAAGTAAGTCATCTTTTTTCTTCTCGAAAATCGGAAATCTAAATGTTTTCGTTCTAGGTATGGGATGACATCATAAGTCAGGCGAGTAAAAATGTTGATGTTCTTAAGGAACTTGACATTGTTAAGCAGTTGGCAAATATCCTGAAGACTAATGTTCGTGCCTGCAAAGCTTTAAATCATGCCTATGTTGTGCAATTGGGTAGAATCTACTTGGATATGTTGAATGTCTATAAAGTGATGTCCGAAAATATATCGAATGCAATCACCTGCAACGGAGTGGTGGTTACCAAGCAGCCTTTGATTAAGGCAATGCGAGTGGTGAAGAAGGAAACGCTGAAATTGATCGCCGATTGGATAAGCACCTCGAACGATCACATTATGGTCATGCAAAACTTTATACCGCATCTCTTGGATGCAGTACTATTAGATTACCAAAGGACATCGGTGCCTGCAGCTAGGGAACCCGAAGTGCTTAGCGCTATGGCAACTATTGTTAATAAACTAGAGAATCATTTAACTTCACATGTAAGTTTTGCTTTGTAAAAGAGTTTTTTTGGGAAATCGACTTTCAGACGCCACACTTGTGTTCCGTTGGACACATTATATGTTGATGTTTCTTGTTTTTATAGATTCCTTCTATATTCGATGCAGTGTTCGAATGCACTTTGGATATGATTAACAAGGATTTCGAAGAGTATCCTGAGCATAGGACATATTTCTTCCTCCTGTTGCAAGCTGTTAACAACCACTGCTTCGCTGCTTTCCTGAGCATACCACCAGCACAATTCAAGCTCGTTCTGGACAGTGTAATCTGGGCATTCAAGCACACCATGCGGAACGTTGCCGACACCGGCTTACAGATCTTGCTGAAGCTTCTGCAGAACATCGAGTGCAACAAACAGGCCGCGCCCAGCTTCTATCAGACTTATCTCACTGACATACTGCAACACATCTTCTCAGTGATGACCGACACTTCGCATTCCGCCGGTCTAGCCATGCATGCTACCATCCTGGCCTACATCTTCTCGCTGGTAGAAACTAACAGTCTCCATTGCCAGTTAGGACCGACGCCCAACAATGTCATCTACATCCAAGATTTCACCGCGACGCTGCTCAAATCCGCGTTCCCTCATCTAACCGATAACCAGATCAAGATCACCGTCCAAGGAATGTTCAACCTTAACCAGGACGTGTCCGCCTTCAAAGAGCACATACGTGATTTCCTCGTCCAGATTAGGGTAAGATTCTAATACCACAATAATCTCGAATCGATATGAATTAATTATTTCTTCTTCTTCTTAAAATCTAGGAGTACACGGGCGAAGACGATTCCGATTTGTATTTGGAAGAGCGCGAGAAGGCGCTGCAGCTGGCGCAAGCGGAGAAACTGAAAGTGCAAATGTCTGTGCCGGGAATTTTGAATCCGCACGAGGTTCCCGAAGAGATGCAAGACTAGCCCTAATTTCAGTAAGATAATTATATAATTAAAAAAAAAAACAAAGATATAAAGAGAAAACAAATGATAAAAAAATGAATAATAATAATTGAACACAACCAACAGATTCGATAACATACAAGAAAATTAATAATAATAATATGCGTTTCTTCATTTTTGTTCTTGTTTTTACTTACTAGATTACATAATATTATTAATATATTTTCTTATTTTCGATGACGAAAATTCGATTCAAAATGTTTTCTTATTACATACATACATACAAAATACTACACACACTTATATATATATATAAATGATTATTATAATTATTTTTTTTGTAATATTTTTATTTTTTGATTATTATTATTTTATTTTCGATGATTTTTTTATTTGTTTCACGAATGAAAGTTTCTGGCGAAAAAGGCGTTTATATAAATGGGAGGAAAGAAAAAAAAAAGATGCGTTTGTTGTTGTTATGTATAAAAAGAATAATAATATGCTGCGTGTGGATTATTATTATTATTCGAATACGAGTTTATTTTATTTTTAATATTACTATTTCATTTCCTATTGTTTATTATTTTTTTCTCCCTTCTGGCGAAAGCGTATACATACATACATACATACATATATATATAAATAATGCATTATCTGAGAATCGAAATGTGGGCATTTCTTTTTGTTTCAGAATACCCAGGGTAACAAGTATATTAACGAACTGTAAATTAGTTTGTTGTTTTTCTTTTTTTAATTTTTCCCATTTAATTACAATATATACATACAAACAAAACAAACAAAAAAGAGAAAGAAAATGAAGTTATGTCTTTCCACTGAAACATGTTTTCTTGATGATTGACAATTGAAAATATTTTGTTACGAATAGTGTGATTGTGCTACGAAGATGAAGAAAAACAAAAAAAAAAAGTAATGTTTCGTTGTTGTTTCAATGCTAGACGAGGCACTCTCTGTAAATGACCTGAAAGCATCAAATGCCTTCCTTCGATCGTATGTTTGTGAAACACAATGTAGCTTATATCTACAGGGTGTGTCAATTCTCATGTATATTTAGAAAAGAAGCAAGCTGTGTGTGTCGTTTTTCTTTTGTCGTCTTCTTTTTTTTATATATATATATAAAATAATTTAAACGAAAGAACATGTCTGAGCGAATCATCACGTGTACGTGGAAGAGAAATTGTAATTTAAGTGAACGAGGAGGAAAAAAAGAGCAAATAACGAAAGAGAAATCCCAGTGAGAAAGATATATGGTTCGGATCTTCATATTCAGAACACATGATTATTTTGCATTTAATAATAATAATAATCGATAACCAAAATTCTCAATTAATTTGTAAATAATAAATTTAAAAAAAAAATATATATTTATCACTCTTCTATGAAACACATCCATCCTCCCATCCCAAACACCATCCAAACGTGTGTCTCCTTCGACGCCCCCCCCAATTTCTGTTTAGTTTCTTTCTCTAGACTAATTATTAATAACATTGTACAAATAGCTTATACAACTTTTTTTTTCAATTGCTTTATATAACGAGTTTATATATTATATATATTTTAGAAAATATAAATATTGTATACAAAAAGAAAAGAAGAAACAATGTCAAAAAAAAGAGGAATTTAAAATCTGATTGAGAAACCCTTGAATTCAGGTTTGGCTAGGTTGGCCCAATTTTTCAGCTCGCATCTGTCGATCTTGCTGCCCGGTGATCCCTTGTTCGATAACCAGATCACCCTGGAAACCAAAAACAATTGATTGTTGTTATTCATCCTGTAGTTATGTCGTTTGTTTCTCTTACATCATTTCGACGTTGGCTTTGGCGCCCTGGATGATCCCGTAGAGCGTTCCCTTCTTGGTGTTCTTCACCCATCCGGACACCGACAGCTCCTCGCATTGCTCCTTCAGATATTTCGTGAAGTAGCAACCTTGAAATAGCCAACATGCCGAGTCGCACTATAATAGTTTGTGAAAGCGCGCGCTCACAGAAGACGGTGTATTTTTAAAATTTGTTTTTAATTCCCGAATTTATTTTACGGTTTCGGACTAGATTCAAAAATAATCTACTTTTGTATAACATTCCAATTAGAAATTTCGTCATATAATTTAAAGAAATTAGTGTTTTCAATTACATTACCGCATTGCATTTGGATTCAAAGCATTTAAACTATACTTTAAATCATTTCTGAATCGGTTAGCAAGCAAATAATTTAAATTATGTGATGTAATTGGTTTTTAAAAAAGTTGTTAAGTCTACTAATTAAAAAAAGTTTAGGATTCTTGTGGGTTGGATGGAATGATTATTATTCAGGTGATTGTAACTTGCCTTGAACTTGTCCAAAAACTTCGAACTCGACGGAGGCGATTGGACCACTTCCGGGCACCGCGACGCCCGCCATTTTCGCACTATCTGATAGTGGCGGCGATGTGATTGAACGGCGAGAGGCGTCGCATGGAGCGAATATCTATTTTTACGCGTTTGGATTGCGCTTTCGGCCTTTGGTTGTTTCTTTTTTTTTTATTTTTTTGTTATCGTTTTTCTACGGTTTTATTTATTTCCTTCGCTCCTCCCGCATTGTTGGCAGTTATATTTAAAGAGACGCTGCAGGAGGCGCGCTTTTCGAATTTCGGTGGGAAGAAAAATTATGCGCGCACTTCCGCCAATTACGTCTGCGCACCGCAAAACCAGCAGCTCTCCTTTTTTTTTCTTCTGTTTCTTCGCTTAGTTAAGCAGCTGTTTTACGTGCGCGACGAGTTTTCGTGAAGATCGTCCTGCATCCGGTAGCAAACGACCGGAAAATCGCAACAGGTAAGTCACTTCCGGGCGCTCGATTTTCTCACGTCAGATGGCGCCCTTGACGCCTCTAATTGGATCTATTTGAATGTTTATACAAGTTAAGGTTACTTTTTTACTCAAGTAGGCGTGGTTATACAAAAAAAAAAGAAATGCATATTTATTTTAAGAACGTATAAATAATGTTAAGTGTTTCTGCGGTTTTTGAGGAGATGAGAATATTTGTGCTTTTTGTTCTCTCTAAAACTTCTGTCTGCATCGGTTCGCTCTGTCGCGCTGACTTCCGGGTGGGCAGTTTCCGGGCACCTGGAGGAGGGCCAATGGGCTCGAGCCAATCAGACAGTCGAGCTCGAGCGTGGAGGAGTTGACGCCGAAGATACCGCCCCCTTCGAGTATCGGTTTGCAGGGTTTGCCGGGCTCGTTCAATTTGTAGCACGCGTTTTCGTACCTGAAATTTTGAATCGAAAATTGAAATCCCGCCCTTTCGTGATCAACAAGTTGCCTACTCACCACACCAGTCCGTCGTCCTTGCACGGATTCGGCACGCAAATAGGATTGAATTCACCTTTTTTCAATATCAGATACTCGCTCTGTTTGCAAGGACCTTGCCTGTACGTTGGGAAGCAACGATCTTCCGTTGGGAAATACACGTGCGCTGCAAAACAAACAAAACATTGTTGCATAATACAAATCATTTAAAAAAATTAATTTATAGATATTATTGAATTATAGAATAATTAGAAAGTTAATTTAAATTTTTACAATTTACTGTTATTATTTGTCTATTCTGTTAAAAAAGAATTCATCTTAAAAGTAATTTCTATTTATAATTTTAAAACTTTTTAAAAAGTTTCCAAAAATCAATTAGTCGTTGAACGTATTAAAAAAAAACTATGTTTTATAAAATAACAGTAACCTGTGACCAAACAACAGAAGGTCGAATAGTTAATGAATCGAGAGTTACGTCAATTACGATTTGTATTAAAATCTAATTGAAATCATCGCATTACCAGTTGCATTCTAGACCGCAATGATGCATAGATTCCACGAAGATCACGAGTTTCATTCATAATTCAAGCACTGTTTAAAGGTACGTTCAAAAAATTATCATAATAATTATATCTGTTTCTCGTATAAATGGAAAGCACTGTGGATATTTTTAATGACGTCAATTAATGTCAATCGACGCGGGGAATTTTATCTCAATATATTCAATATACAGTGAAACCTCGCTTAACGAGTTTAATCCGTTCCAAAATTTCCGCATTTTTACTCGTATAGTGAAACATATTCAAAAAGAAACATAATATGTGCACACGAGTTTTAAAAATGATGTAGCAGGTGTTCTCATTGTCACTCGTTATGCGAAATGTCGCTCGTTAAGCAAGGTTCCACTGTATTCATTTGTTTTTTTTTTTAAATAAAAGTGGATAAAACAGTTAAGAGAATAATATAATGTTATTTTTGATTTATTAATGAATTTATTATCATTGTTTGTCTGGTATTTCCCTTTATGCGTTTCAATATAATTTCGATAAACGGTTGCGTGCGATTTGGAAATACCAGATTTTTGCTGCATTTTAATACATGTAAAAAAATTAAACATTTAATCTTAAATCTAGATTAGAAAGAATTTAAATTTAGTAGTTTAACAGTTTATTTAAGATATTTGAAATAAGATATTTTTTTTGACAATTTACTTGTAAAATATTGTAAATCTGACATTATATAGAAAGATCGAAGATAGTTCATGTATTTTAGCCGTGATCAATTGCGACTAGAATCTTCAACAAGTTTTGAATAACAATTATTCAAGGTTCGAAATCAAAACGCTATCTCGATCCTTGTGCGTTTCTAAACATCGAATGAAGAAATAACAAATTAACCTACTTTATCGTACATTTTCATACTCTTTTTTTTTAATTTTTGTATAGAAAATACGATAGCTCGATTATGCTACAACAGTTATGAATGGTTGTATCCTTGAGGAATTAATAATTAAAATTAATTTTGTGTTTAAATAATTTCATTGTAAGTTATTTTGAAAATAATTATGTTTATATTATATTCCAGTTTTAGTTTGAAAACTACATCATAAGAATTTATATAGAATCATATTTAAAGACGTTTATTTAGATTAATTAAAATCTAAATAAACGTCTTTTTTTGTCTGAAACTGATTTTGTCGTAATGATTAGGGTTGTTTTTGTCTGGACTTACATGGTTGGCAGTCGCAGATCCAATCGTTGTTCTGGTAACCAGGGTAGAGAAGCTGATTTTCTGGGCACATTCCAGGGATGTAAAGCGGGACTCGTGCCTAATGAAAAGTATAAAGAAATAGTGCTGAGTCTCGTAATAACGTCGTCGAGAAATGACTTACGCTTTTGTCATGATGATCGCCTTTTTCCAGCTCAGGAAAGCCCACGTCGGATTCGCTTATGACCTGACAATTGGTTTGGATAATCGCCAGAGCGATGAGAAGGATCGCGAAAGCCGTCGTCGTCATCATCGTCGTCGTCGTCGTCGGTGTATTGCTGGAAATGAATTCGATTCGCACGCGAAATTGGAACAGGATTGTCGTGTTCGTGCACGGAGCGAGAGAAAGAGATTAGTTTGCCGTTTTATTTCTCAACTCGACTTAGATAAGAGGAACGCGAGTCGGGTGCGATGAGCTCAGTGAATGCGCCATGAACTTGCTTGAAAAACGAGTTCGATGATTCCCTCTTCGGAGGTCCTCTCAGTTCTCTCTCGTTCCATTCAATCTTGACTTTGTCGTGCAAAACACTGCATTCGCGCGAACCGACTGAGAGCGGAAAGAGGAAAAGCCAGCAGCAGGGAATAATAACAACACACGAATAACACGAATAAAAAAAAAGTTAAAATAGAAGAGAAACAATACATAAACAACTTGTGAACCTTGCTTGGACAGGTCGCCAGGGAATCCCAGAAGTTGGCTTTTGCTCTTTTTCTTCCTCTATTATCCTCGTTTGTTCTTTTTCTCTCTTCTCTTTTTTTTTTTTTTCGCTACTCGTTCTTCCTTCTCCTACCGACCACGCCTCCTCCACTTGTGTGTGTGTTTGAGCGGACGCACCAATCGTCGGTTATCTTCGTCTTTGTCGTGTCCGGCAGATTTGACGGAGTACGTGTGGTCATGACGGCGGGATTCGATTATCCGAATTAATGACATCCTGACCCAGATGCACAATAAATGTTTTCGTAAAATATAATTTGCTTGATTGCGGACGTCAATTTACTAATTACCGTACCAGAAATAAAAAATAACACAAACTCTAACCGAGTTAAGTGCAATTAATCAAAAAAAAAAATGGAGTAATAATTCAAGGTCTGGACGCACACACCGCGTTGCGTTTACTACGACGACCTGCGCTTTCTATGCTTTGTTTGTATTATCATTATTATTTTCCCCAGTACTTTTCCAAACTAGAAAATCACAGCATTTTATAATTACAAATACGACAAATTTTTACTGATAATATAGTATCAGACATTTATTTTTTTGCCAATTTTCAAAATTTATTGTTTTTTTCGACCATTGACCGAAATCTTTCTGTGCAATTTTCCAAACTTTAAACGAAAATTTTTTAAAATACATTTTATTCAATAGAATTTTATCACAGAAAAAAATGAACTTCAACATTAAACTAAACCTATTAACATTTATACTAATAACTACTAAGTTACTTATTTTTGTATCTTTTGTACTTATAGATTAGTGTTAAAGCCTGCACTTGTCCCAAACGTCTAATTGAAGCAATTTATTGCTAACGTTTTAGTATATAAAATGGTTAATTCCATTTTTTGGTATTTTATTTAATAGAATATTTTTTCTAAAACTTTCGGTTTTAAGTTTATTTGGTTTATTTGGAATTATGTGTACGTTACTTGTTTGTATGAGTGCGAATTAAGAGCGTTTTGAAAAATTAAAAATATTTTTTTATTCACGTTTTACATATACGTTTTAATTTAAAACCACGCTAAAAATATATATGTTTTATATATAAATTATATAATCGCTAAAAAATAGTGCTCCTCTGCGTTTCGTATAAAAAAATAATAATTTCTGTTGATAATCGATGCGGATTGTCATCGTCGTCATATGTGATTCGATTCCATGTTGATCGATATTTGCTTGACGTCGTTACCATCTGCATACTTGGCGTCGATCTCCTGCTTCCTCTTGGACATCGATTCGAGCTGCACGGTGCTGCTGCTTCCGTTCTTCTTCTCCCTGGCCTGCTGAAAGATCAACCTCAGGTAGTAGCAGGGAAAGACGACGCACTTTCCTGCCGGTTCTTCGGCGTCGATGTAGACGCCGCGCACGAGCAGCGAGTTGGAACAGCCGAGGAGGATCAGCAGGATCAGGCTCACCCAATGCGTGATCCAGCAGCTCAACTCCAGGTTATCTGATGGCGAAGAATGCTGTTGTTTTACTACCATTTCGATGCGATGAATCGACTTATTTTTTTGATACCTGGTAGGAAGTAGATGTTGAGCAGGTTCCAGATTCCTCGCCACACGTTCAGGGTGCCAAAGAGGGAGAACAGGAGGAAAACGTCGGCGGCGAAGAGCCTCGCCGCACCGTTGATCCTGTCGCACAACCACCTCATGGCCGGTTGCATCAGGAAGGCCACGGCCACGGACATGTAACCCAGCACCTGCATTCGCAATCGTTACGTAACCTTTCTTCGCGACAATTTAATTAAGAAAATTGATATTTTTTTTTTATATTATCATTAATATTGTGCAAACTTTTGTGCACTTCAACATCGACTTATCGCATCGATCAATTATATTCTCGTGCAAATAACAAACACACTTGCCCCAATTAAAATAACATCAAATTACAGTAATTGATTGAAAATCTATTAGAATTTTATTGAAACAAAATTATTTTTTTTTCGCGAAAATAAAAATTTACCGCATGTTTGCGTAACGGTTTATCGCCATGAAGATAAACAACATTGCGGTACTTCGATCATCGATCGGATTTAATTAGTGCAGTAAAAAGTAATTGAATTGAAATAGAAAAAAGCCAATTATTTCATAACATTATGGCTGATTTATATTAATTATCTTTGTTTGTTCAATGCGGTTTCATTGTTTAACAAAGAGTTTGGACTTTAACGTACGTCAATTTGACAGATTTTTAAGCTGTATTTGTCATTATTTTTTTTAAATTATTTACGTACGTTCAGAATTAAGAATAAATGTTTGGACTTACCAGACTTGCCCATGCCGACCAATCCGCCATCTCCGGAAACAGATATATGTCGATGAGGACCCAGGCTCCTCGCCAAACGAACACAACCAAAGTTCCGACGATCAGAACGGAAAATAAGCAGTCCAGGATGTACAGCGAAGTCCTCTGGACCATCTGAAAGAAAGTGAACCATCATAAAAAGTAAAATTTAATTGGTACAGTTCTTTTTGACATGTTGTTGTCATTTTGACGCAATATAGTAATATTTTCTGTTGTCATTTTTGACACTAGAGGTTTTGACAAGTTACTTGTCATAATAGATGACATGTTGTGATTTTGCTACAGATTTTAATATAAAGCAACCAACAAAAGATGTATATCATTGACATAATATTTTCTGTTGTCATTTTTGACACTAGAGGTTTTGACAAGTTACACGTCATAATAGATGACATGTTGTCATTTTGCTACAGATTTTAATATAAAGCAACCAACAAAAGATGTATATCATTGACATAATATTTCCTGTTGTCATTTTTGACACTAGAGGTTCCGGTTGTCTTTTTGATACAATATAGTAATTTCTTGCATTGCTACAGATTTTAACATGATGTAAGTAACAACAAACGTATATCATTGACATAATATTTCTTGTAGTCATTTTTTACACTACAGATATTAACAACCTGCACGTAACAATAGATGACATTATTACATGATATTTGCGGTTGTCATTTTGACACAGTATCGTAGTTTCTAACATTTCTACAAATTATAACATAAAACAAACAATGAATATAAATATTTGACATTTTCGACTTTCATAAAATCTTTAAACGATCTGATAATGATGTAATACATGGAAGTATCACGATATTCGTTAATCTAATGCTTGTTTTTATTTTACTTTAAATATACAATTATCATTTTGTTTGCGTTAATTTTGTTCAATTAAAATACTATTAGTATTGAGATCAAAATATTATGATTAGCGAATAGTTGTTGTTGTTTTTGTTTGGGAAAGTTCAGTAACATTAATTGGGATAATTTAATTTTTCTTTTAATTCTTGGATTTCTACTTCAAACGTTGCTAATTATATGTTATTATAGTTGTGTTAAAAATAAAACGACAACAATAATAATAACATTTACTTTTTCCTAATACAATTAGAGTGGATCATAGTAATTGCGGCGAAGCTAATTGGATCTACTTAGCGCCTATTTCTAACCGAGATCCTTCTTCGGGATAATACAAAAAAAAAACTTGTGTTTTGAAGTGCAAACGGTCATATGGAAGGAACGATTTCTGTTTTTGGCCATGTCGCGCGTTTTACAATTCGTACGAAGGTCGGCCGGCGATAATCGACATACAAATCATCCAATCAAATCCCTCGGAAGATTCTGTTCTTTTGTGTGACCAGAGATTTCGACGATTCTTTTCACATGCTAAGCGAATTACCGAAACGACAATCGGACAATTGCGCGACGATTCAAGAGAGGTGTACCTACTACACACATACACATATATAATAAATGTATACACATAAATAATACACGTAGAACGTGCACGCATTCCTTCAAACAATACAGATTGTCGCATTATTTCGTAACTTATCAAAAATAATTTTCTTTCTCTACTTAATTATCGTGATTCATTGCTGTTTTGAACGGAAACGCGTGTACGAAATTATCACGGTACATCAATTTCTGTTTTGTTTGTACAACTTTTCTGTGAAGTTTTTAAGAAACTAAACTTCTTGCAGTAATAGATGCTATTATTACATGGTATTTTCTGATGTCATTTTGACACAATATAGTAATTTCAGCTGTACGTAACAATAGATGACATTATTACATGGTATTTTCGGTTGTCATTTTGACACAATATAGTAATTTATTGCATTTCTACAGATTTTAACATGATGCAAGTAATAACAGATGTACATCATTGACATAATATTTCCTGTACTCATTTTTGACAATACAGATTTTAACAACAGATGACATTATAACATGGTATTTCCTGTTGTCATTTTGACACAACATAGTAATTTCAGCTGCACGTAACAATAGATGACATTATTACATGGTTTTTCGGTTGTCATTTTGATATAATACAGTAATTTCTTACATTGCTACAGATTTTAACATGATGTAAGTAATAACAGATGTAAATCATTGACATAAAATTTCCTGTACTCATTTTTGACAATACAGATTTTAACAAGGTGCACGTATCAACACATGACATAGTATTTCCTGTTGTCATTTTGACATAATATAGAAATTTCTTGCGTTGCGACAGATCTTAAATTAAATAAAGTAAATTTAAAAAAAAAAACTCTTGGATTTTAACATATTTTCAGATAATGAGGTTAAATAAGTAATGTTAGCAATAAAAACAATTTACAAATGTCAATAAGAAAAATAGATATGTTATATAAATATATAAAAGGAGAGAGAGATAATAATATTTATTTGCAATAAAAATACGCAAAAAGAGCAATGTGCGAAGTCTTATATCTAAATAAATATGTATATGTGACAATTTACGAAAATTATTAACAGATTTTTTTTTCATTTGATTAGATAAATTAGTCACGAAATTCCACTTCTATTGATAGACTTGTCATAACAATAACAAATGTTGATGATCAAATGTTTTTGTTTTTAATTATAACGTCTGCTACGGTCATTATTTGGACTGACATTTGCATTAATGTATTCATCGTTTTTGTCTTTATTCTTCATATTGTTATTAAGCATTGAAAAGTGTATTAATTGAAGGAAAAATATATATTTTGCTAATGGCAATTAATAATTTTGAATTTTTTATTCCTTCAAAATTAAAAAAATATTTCGTTTTTGAATATTTAAATAATGTTCTTTTAGTATTTGATACATACTTTTAAGATAACATTTTTGTTTTGCAAATATTATCAGAAAACAAATTGTTGTCGAAAAACAAACTGTTAATTATCAATTATCTCACCTTGAAATTAATGTTAATTGTTAGAAAATTATATGTGTTTTGGAAATGTCTTAATCAATATAATTTTAAATTTCTCCAAGTAATTATTAAATATTATATTGTTAATTGGTACAAGGTGTATATTTTTTTTTAATGTAACGTCATTAGTTTATTGTTTGAAAGTTATATTTCAAAAATTATTTAAAAAGTAATATTAATAATAATTTAAAATTTAAGATTGTTATTAGAAAATGTATACTATTAGCCGAATGATTAAGTCGCTCTATCCACGATTCCGTGGGCGCCGGTTCGAATCCTGGTCAAGCCAGGCCCTTTGTGAGCCCTCTCGGTGCTTGCAGCAATAGGGCCATCGTTCATCATGAATAGACAGTGAAATGAATGAGGTTCAGCATATGGACCTTCAGCCAATTCGATGGACAATGACAGTGTTAAGGATAGCAGCAGATACACATACAAATGGAATAGAAGTTAACTGAAGAAGTATACTGAAGTTAACTCAATATACTCTAAGCCAAACAACAAATTACAGAAGAATATAATGGTCAAAACTTCCATTGGAAAGTTTACCAAAAAAGCAAATAATAAAAAAAATAATTGTTTTTTTTTAATCTGATTTAGAAATGTATTGATTAATGTATTTCAATTTGTTACATATCACAATGAATCGCTTTCGTTAAATGTAATTCACTACTTAAAGATTATGTAATTGAGTATATTTTTTCTATAAATTGAATTTCTAAAACTTTTTGCAAGTAATATTACATTATTAATTTTAATGTTTAGATATAATTTATAGAAGATATATCTAATTTGGTAATAACTTTTTTTCTGTTTAAAAGCAAAATTTTGGTAGCAAGGAACGTCGAGTTATGTTACATTATTATTTTAAATATACATTTAAAATGTGTACAATTTGGAAAACTATGTTAATTGTTTTATTATGTTTTTGTAAATTTGAGTAATGAATGTTTCAAATGAATCATCAAATTGAGTATTTAAGAAAGTGTGATGGCAATGTCGATTTAATTTAGAATCTTTTTGACTTTCAGCAGACTCGTCTGTTGTCTCTCAGACGCAATTGCTGTAAATGATGATAGTCTGTTAAATCTACTTACTGGGACTCTGAACATAGTGACCACCTCGAAGTAGCCCTTGACATAGTCGGTGACGATGGCGCAGGGCGGCGCGGAGACGTTGCGGAGGGCGCGTATCGAAGCGAGCGCAACGACGCCGAGGGCCGTCGGCACGACGACGCTCGTCAGGTTGGGCTGCGTGTAAATGTCCAGAAGGGACCACGGGCCCCTCCATCCGTTCACGCAGACGAACGCGAAGCACACGGTGTAGACGCGCGACACCAGGTAGTAGACCATCCGGTTCTTGTCCGGATGGAAGTACTCGAAGGCGTGCTGCGAAAGGGCGAACATCAGATGACCGAGCACCCCGATGATCGTGGATGTGATCGCGCTGTACAGCGAGTTGTTGGGGTAGACGTAGAGACCCATCAGCTCCCAGACGCTTCGCCAGAAGGCGACGACCGCCGGCGTCACGACCGCGGCCGAGAAGACGCTGTCCAAGAAGCTGAGGAAGGCGTAATGCGTTGCGCTCTCGCCCTTCATCGTGTCGGGCTCGAGCCCTGCGGTGCTTCCCCTCATCTCTATCTCTTCTCTGATCAATACTCTCTCTCTCTGTTAAGATTTAAGACTCTACTCTCGCGACTGCCACTTCAAGACTCACTCCGGGCTCATCCTCGTAGGATGACTGCACACCTAGTATTTTCGCGTCCGCATATTATTATCTATTCAATCGCGAGCAACAAGTGGCGATGGCGAACGCCGAAAACCCTTCAGCAAATCGCCGTTTTTCAGCACACGGAGAGGGGAACGACACGTGATAAAACCGACCGTAACACTCTTTATACAAAGCACACCGAACAGAAAAATACAACACTCGAACGAAAGAGAAAGAGAGAAACAATAATAATCATAATAATAATGACAACATACAACAACAATCAAATAATCAGCTCATTGCATGTCCAACGTTTGTTGGCCAAACGCACGCTCCATCTCTGCCACACATACACACACACACACATTAGACTGATTCACTTGAAGCACGAATTACTTATTGTCAGGATCCGCTCTTTCTCGCTCTCCTCCGAATGGTTCTTCATCATCGACAGCACGAGTGATAACCTTCTATAAATATATTTTTTTTTTCGGCACATTCATTATTTGCATGTACGAAATGTAAGTAGTAAACAACCTCAATCATCAAAAAAAACGAGACACCTAGAAGCCAATTAAACGTCCACAGATTAAGGTCATATCGAATCATTGCAAGCACCAGACTTTCAAAAAACATCTAACCAATCAAGTCCAAAAATGTTGATCTTCTCAAATTAATTTCATTCACATTTCCAATTTTATCAATGTAATGCGAATTCCAAAAACAATCAATGATTCATTTTGGTGTAAATTCTACTAATTACAAAACATCAACAAACTTTTGCTAATAATTACTGTTTTTGAAATATTTTCATATCTCCATAATTTACTTTGTTAATCTTTGACTTTAAAGAAATATGACGAAGAAATACGTATTTTCAAAACGGTGACAATCGCAAGCCCGACAACCGAAATCCCGACTACCATAATCCCGACTATATCGAAATCCCGACAGTGTCTTTTAATATTATAAATTTCTATAATAACATTTTTATAGTGGTCGGGATTTCGATATAGCCGGGATTTTGACATAGTCGGGATTTCGAACGTCGGGATTCTGTTGTCGGGCTTGCGATATAGACCCTTTTCAAAACTGTTAATGATAAAGAAAATTTACTGAAATCCTTCTGACTAAAATTTCCGTTTGCTTTATTTTTAATATATATTTACTTTCATTCTAAAATAAAGAAATTTATTGAAATAACACATTGTTTTTAAAAATATTTTTCTATTATTTCTCTGAAAAAAAAAAATACTGAAATTCCTGAAGAACATTTCTTTTCACTCCTTCAATTCACACGACTATGAAATTCCGTCTATCGGAATCCCGGCTGGCACAAAATCCCGACTACCATAGTCCCGACTATATCGAAATCCCGACAGTGTCTTTTAATATTATAAATTTCTATATTAACATTTTTATAGTGGTCGAGATTTCGATATAGTCGGGATTATTGTAATCGGGATTTTGACATAGTCGGGATTTCGAACGTCGGGATTTCAATAGACGGTCTTTCTGTTGTCGGGCTTGCGATATAGACCCTTTTCAAAACTGTTAATGATAAAGAATATTTACTGAAATCTTTCTGACTAAAATTTCCGTTTGCTTTATTTTTAATACATATTTACTTTCATTCTAAAATAAAGAAATTTATTGAAATAACACCTTGTTTTTAAAAATATTTTACTATTATTTCTCTGAAAAAAAAAATACTGAAATTCCTGAAGAACATTTCTTTTCACTCCTTCAATTCACACGACTATGAAATTCCTTGTTCTAAAATGTTTTTTTTTTACTATGAATTTGTTATTTCTTTGTTCATTATTTGAATAAGACTGTTTCGGATAATTTCGAAAATATGTGAAATAGTTTCTCAGCACGCACTCAAATATTTTAAACGCCTGCTTCTCTAATCACGGAAATAAATTTGAATTCTCCATTGTTTTCATGAACACAAAACAAAAATCGATTACTCAGCAGAAATCGTTACCTATATTACTGATATCAATAAATTTATGTAATTGACTTGAATTTATTTGATAATCGATTGGATTCATAATTTGATCTAAATTTATACACTTTAATCGAGTTTCCATTATCATTGAAATTATTCAAAACTTGTTTTCATTTTTCGCGTGTAATTGTAGCTACGACTTCCACAAACAACAATAAATATTTGAAATTGTTTCTAATTGTTTTCTTTGTACACAATTACAAAAAATGATAGTTTTCTAACAATAAAAAGTGAAATTTTGAATATTTTATTAATAGAAAACTATTTTTATTTGTATAGCAATTAATTTTTGAATAATTTAAAATTTTGATGACCTTCTATATTCAATTTTGCCTACATCATTCTTAAAAAACCGCTGCTGCTTTTATCTTTAACAGAAGAAACGCTTACGTGGATTAATTAAATCTCGGATTGAAACAGTCGTTGAATCGCAGTAGTGTTTCGAGTTTGCTGTCTTCTAAACCCGAAACTAGTTACGTAAGTATTCGAATAAATTGTTATTACATCATCAATACGAAAGCGTTTAGCAAAAATTATCTTATACTACATAAATATTAATGGATTCCCGTTAAGCAATATCAAAATTAATGAGTCTTATTTTCTTGAATACTAAAATTGCGATAATGTTAAAATGTTTCTGTTTTATTTCTTCTTAGCGCATTAGTTTTGGCTCGTTGTCCGTTATGTAACGTGTATTAGACGGAATTTATAAGCGAAACAACGAGACGAGCAAACAACACAATTTTCGTAAATGATGATTACGATGATCGACTATAAATACTTAGCGTTCGGACGATAACTCTATTACGTTATAGGATTACCATTGTCATAAAAACAATTACTGTGATTATGAACGGATGGAATGTCTACATTCGGAACTGAACACAAAAAATGTGTTACGTAAAAGTAAACTACACCGTGTTTCCTCTTGATGAGGTACAAAAAAAAATGTGTTCGGAAAAAAATAACATTAACGGCCTTAATATATCCTCTATATTAAGGCCGACTAATTGCCTTGTGACAAATGTGCACTTATCTATGACATTGCACGCTTCTGGGACTTCAATTAAAAAGCATCGCCACATTTGCATTTCTTGCGGTTTCTGTATTGAAAAATGAATTTTTAAATATCGTTATTCACCATTTTTCTTGCTTATAATTTATAAATAGATAATTCACTGCTTCGGAGGAGGTGGCATCAGGATGTCCTGCAGACCTTCCCAATTTCCGATCCTGATCTTCCTCTGAATCTCCTCCTCGCTCTCCTCCGTGTACACGTTGAGGTGGATGACCATCTTTCGCGGACGCATCTGTCTCTTCGTCGATTCATTCTCGATCACGTGCGCAAATTTGGCGCGATTCTGACTGGCGAAACCGAAGAAATGGCCATCTTCGTCATTGGGCATCGGGAATATGTTCAGTGTTAACTCTATGGGTTTCTTCGGTTTCGGCAATTCGTAGTTGGGCTTGTAAAGGGTCGGGGATGGCATCAAAGGGTTGGTCTTGATGTCCTTCCAGATTGGCGGCGCGAAACGTAGATTTGCCGTTGCTAAAAGATTGATGTCGCTCGGATCCTTCGGTTTGTAGGGATAGAACGGATCGTGATGGAACTGAGGTCTCTTCGGCTTCGGTTTTTCTGGAGTTATGTAGTTGATGATCTCCTGAATGTTCCTGGGATAATGCGGAGCCGAGTAACCTTGAAGTTGGGCGAAATTCTTGTCGGAAGTCGGAGAGAAACTTGCAGGCGGTGGACCTCTGAAGTTGTTGAGGAACGGATGTGGGTATTGCCGACCAATCAACTTATCAGTGTACACTTCTTCGATATCGCTCGAATCACCGAACGCCTCTTCGTGCGTCGAATTATCAGAAACGCACTCACGTTTCTTGCTATCGAAACCCAAGAGTATTACCAAGTAAATTCCCTAAAGTCAATGTGATTAATCAAAGGAAGGAATCAACTATAATCTTGCACTTACTATGAAGATGGTTAACCCAAGCACAGTGGACACTATCAACAGTTTAGAGGCTAACGAGTCTTTGGTCTTAATCATGTTGATGAGTCGGAGCACTTTTTATTACTGCGAAGATTCGCAAAAGACATTTCATGCCTCGATTGTCGCGCGCGTCACGGATAAAGGAAAATCTTGCTCCGCATTTTGAACATAGAAAATACAGTTTCTTACCTGGATCCGAAAGCGCATGGGAAATCTGAAAGTCGACTCGTGGTCATCCAGAGTGATCACGAATGGTGGACCGGAAATATTCCTCAAGCACTTGAAGATGGCCAAAACAATTATCGAGCCCAAGATGAACCACAAGAATCTCGTCCAGTTGATGCCCTCCTCTTGGGCCACCTTCTGGACATCGATTACACCGCAAAAATCGTCCATGATAATCCACAGAGCGCGCCATTGCATATTGCACAAGATGTTATAAACGTAAATAAAGAAAACGGCGAAGGTTCTCTTCAAAATTGCTGTTTTATCTTCCAAGAAATCCCCAATCAATTCCCGTCCGAGAGTGCAAACCACCTGCATTCCAGATGAGAACACGAACGAGGTGTACGTTGGAAAATAGTCTTTGTACATGTCCATCAGATCCCAAGTGCCGCGCCAATTGGCGACGACAAGGGCGGAAACGACGAATAACGAGACGAGTGTGTCGCACGCGAAGATCGCGACCCTCGCCGTTTCGCTTTTCAGGCTCTTCTCCTCGTGCTCACGAAAGTAATAGGTCTTTCCCGTCTCCACGATCGAGACGATCTTCGTTTTCGGATTTTGCAGTAACGGCACCGACATCATTTGCAATTTACTTCAGACTAAGTCATAGACACTTCAAATTATTGACTTTATATTATTAGCTGCAGCAGATGCAAAAATTAATTAGCGCTAGAAAATTTTCCAAACAAATATTATGCCAGATCGTTAAGGCGACGCAATTGATTTTCATTACACGTTTGCATTTTGCTTCAATGAAACCGACAACTCTTAATTATTTTCCTCTTATACTTAATCATGTTATTCATAATCAATAAACCATCAAAATATGATAATTATATTATAATAATGGCTTATTTCTCAATTGAGCAACGTAAGTGTCCATAAGTAACGAATCAAGGTAGCATTAATCAATTAAAACAAATGATCCATCATTTTGTTGACTAACGTCAAATAAAAATTTAGTATTTATATTGTTACCATAACGACTTATATTAAATTTCTTTAAATTGTTATAATTCTTGTAGTTTTGAACGTTGTTATTTTTACTTATTTAAATGCTTTATGTCGATTATATTTTGGTCTGCTTCGATGAAAAACGGAAATTTCATATGAAATTATTATGGTAAGTTCCAATTAATTTGTATGTTAACCAACAATTAGAATTTTTGTTTTAATTATAAGTCAAAATATTTTGTATCAGAATTTAAGTTCTTCGTCTAATTTGGTCTGTGTTTCTATTAACACTATTTCGCCAGTCATTTATATTTGGCATCGATTAAGTTGTTATTGCGTATATTTAAACTAATAATGTGTATTTAAAGAGTGTATTAGTAAAAAAAAATCGCACGAGCTGATCTCAAAAATAGCTTTGGGAAGCTTAATTAGCGCCTTTCGGATTGGAGCCTCGCGTCATTAGGACTTCAATATTTGGCGTCGAAATTATCACGAAATTAGAGACTCACCTCCACGCGGAATCTGGTTGGAAACAGAAAGCTCTCTTCGTCGTCGAGGAAGATGAACATCGGACAACCCATGGTATTCCTTACAGCTTTCATTCCGACAAGCGCGATGATGCAGAAGAGCGTGATGATCGCTACAGGACCTGAACTGCTCTCGCTGCTCGCCCTTCCATCATCCAAGCAGAAGACGTCCGTCCATTCGTCCATGATTATCCAAGCCGCCCTCCAATGCATGTTGCAGATCACCGTGAAGATGTAGATGTAGACGCGTCGGGCGATCTTCCATTTCAACGTTTTCCCGACAATCTTCTTCTCGTGCTGCGACCAGTGCAGAACGTCTTTGATGAGGGCGCATCCGAAGTGGAGCATCAGGGCGAAGCAGAAGGTCTCGTAGGGTGGAAAGAGTCTGGCGTGGACGTCCATGACGACCCAGATTCCTCTCCAGCAGGCTATCACCAATGGAGCAACGACGAACAGCGACAAGAGCACGTCCATCGAGGCGAGGACCTTCTTTTTCTTCTCGTTGGGTTGGATCCTTGCGACGAGGTCATCTTTGACTCTGGATATTAGGATCTTGAACTTGTAGTTGGGTTTGTACAGTGGTTCCGTGCACTCGTCCGACATCTTCGAAGTGGCGCCTTGGACTACGCTCTCAGGAAGAGCCAAGCTTCCCCCTCGTGTGCTCAACGAATTAACAATTAATGCTTTTAAATCCAATTCACACCGCGGAAAGGACGCGTTATCGGTGCGGATTTACATGAAGCGATAATAAAATCAACAATAACGCCTCTATAAATAATCTATGGGCACTAACCAATTCATTATTGATGGCTGATAATTATTTATTTATGGCCGCGAACCGTGCAGTTACCATAATAGTTTTGACATCAAAGTCTTACACAAAGAAAGCAGCAACAATAAATTTTAAAAAAATCAAATAAATTAATAATATAATTACGCATTATTATCCAATTAAAATATTATATAATTATTACATAATTTATTCACTGAGAATCATATTCTTTAGAAATTTGATATTTGTTTTGGACACTTTTTGCTCAACTTTCTGTAAAATATGATTTTATTAATTTAAATTTATTTTAATTAAAAAAAAGTGGATATTGGATAAGCAATAAAAAAAGAAGGCCAGGTATCATTTCAATGTTTATTTTTTTTTTGTAATGACAATAATAATACTTTCTTTTCATATATATATATATATATTTCTTAATACTTTTTCTTTTAACTTTGATTATATAACTCTGTTCAATCTCGTTTTTTTTTCTCTTAATATATATAATTCTCACCTATAAGTCGGAAAAAAAAATAGAAGAAGTAAACATCGTTCTCGATTGAAGAACGTAACGTTTTTCCTTACAGTAAAGTATAAGAATAAGTTTGCGCTCAATCACAGATCTTTTTTTTGTCGTCCTCGTATAGTCAAAGTCAATAAGTATAAAACATGATAATAATAATAATAAAAACTAGTCGTCAACAAATTATTTATATGAATAAATATAAGTTTTGGTGTTTTTTTTTCTTCTTCTTTCAGATTAGCTTCAAGATTCAACTTCTTCGTTCCTTAACCGGATTTTCGTTATTCGTCCACGTCCTCGCGATTCAGCGAAAGGCACGACGCGGTGTAACTTGGCACGCACTGAAACAGAGCAGAGAAATAGAGGGTAGAATTTGCTGGTGGATGCGTTTTGGGTACGTGCGTCGCGTACATCTGAGACACAAACCCTTTTGGAGAGGAGGGTCTGTTCTGGGTAAATCCACGGTTTGTACTGAGGATTGCACTGGCTCCGCTTCCAGATCTCGTAGCCTTCGGCAGCCTTCTCCAACTTCTTCACAACCTTCGGGGCGAACTTCTGGGTAAGCTTGTTGATCAGCCACGAAGGCAGTTTGCCTTTAGGATCTGTCTGGGTTATGTAGCCTAGGAAGCAACCCCGTTCCAAGGGTCTAATTACAAAACCAGTCAGTAGAGAATCACCCCTGAAATTTAATAACTTTCAATTAACATTTAATAATATAACTGCTATTATAAAATTATTAAATATCACTAAATATTTATAAAGATTGTAAATTATATTGGTGTTGTTATTATGTTCTTTTCATTTCTTTCAATAACAACTATAATAAACTGCTATTACCTGATGTATCCTTTTTTAGGTGGATAAGACTTATGATCGACGGAATGGTTAAATATTAGTTTTTCCGTGCCGAAATCTAGCCAGGATCGTTGGAGGACGAAGTCTCGATTCTTAACTGGGGAAGGGCAGGAAACTGGAAGAGAAAAAGGGTAAGCATGATTTCTCTACTTTTTTTTTTAGTTTTCTTTGGCAGGGTCTCACGTGCATAGTAGCCGATGTCGTTGTTCGGATTCAAGTAGCCAATCTCGATCGAAGAGATCATATGCTCGTCCCATTCCTTCCTGTACTCAGGATCGTGCAGAACGTCGAACATCGTGTTGGGAGAGACGTTCGGGAAGACAGTGTGCACCTTGACCATTTTGAAGTTGCTATTAACCGTCATCTTCGTCCATACCTGTAAAAACCGAAATCATCATCAGATCCATGCTAATAAAAAAATGCTATAGAGAGAGAGAGAGAGTAACGTACCTTAGTAGCACCATCTTTGTTGTTGTACTCTAGTTTCCAATTGGAGTTGTCATCGACGAGCTGCTTCAGTAGGCCGAAATCGCTGTCCTCGGCGATTTTTACCTGTCCAATATTCATCCTTACCAGAGAACTAGGTCCGCAGAAACTAGATTTTAATTACTTAAGTACGTTATATATTACAGAAAGGCACTTTTTGTGGATTGTGGCTGTTTCCCTTTGTCTTTTTTTGTGTGTACTCCTTTTTTTTTTTTTTGGGGTTTGTCTCGTCTTGGGTTTGATTTTCGCGTTTGCAGGTTATTTGGAGGGCTGCAGGGTTTCGCGCGCGCACCCTTCTCGAAGCACCGAAACGGAAAAATCAATAGACCGGACTCTCCCAACGCGATAACCCAGATCGCCTCCGACGTGCACCTTTTTCCAACACTCAGGGTATTTATTGAAAGCCGAAACCTCTCTCCGATAACAGCCTTGTTTTTCTCTCTGTCTCTCTCACTCTCTCTCTCTCTATCTTTCCTTCTATCCCTTTCCCAATATAAATATAACTCGTTCGCTCTGGTGTCCCGTATATGTTTAGTTCGGTGTATGTAATTTTTCTGTTTGTATCCAACTTATCTCCGGCGTATGTTTAATCAACAGCTGAGTTGGAGTGTGATAAGCGGTTTCATTGCACGCCACTTTCCTGGGCGACGTCGGCAGCTGCAGTCTCCTCTGAGCAAGTGCACGCTTCACTGCATATCATCAACCGAGTTCCGATCCCAACAGGAATTTTGTCACTTTTGACAACATGACATCAAATATCCCAGACGAGGAGTTGGCCTTGAAAGTCAAGGAATGGATGGAATGGGACCAGAACTGTACCACCAAAGCTGAAATCCAGCAGCTCGTCGATCAGAAAAAATACGAATACCTTAAGCAGGTGCTGTGTCAGAGGATGTCCTTTGGAACGGCAGGCCTCAGGGGAAAGATGTGCGCCGGTTATGCCCGCATGAACGATCTGGTTATCGTGCAGACAGCTCAAGGACTCCTCAAACACCTGGAGAACCAATACTCGGAGGCTCTGAACAAGAACGGTCTGGTATTGGGCTACGACGCTCGCCACAACAGCGAAAGGTTGTTGTGCTTACTTAACGTGCTTAATCAATACAAATAAACATATCTTATCTAATTGCACTAATTTTAGATTCGCCCAACTTACTGCACAAGTATTTTTGAGTCAAGGTTATAAGGTCAGGCTATTCTCTAAAACCGTACCGACGCCGTTCGTACCTTTCGCCGTTTGGAAATATAAGACAGCTGCAGGTGTCATGGTTACAGCTTCTCACAATCCAAAGGACGATAACGGCTACAAAGTATAAAGTATATAGTTTTATAGAGCATGATATAATTATTTTATTATTACAGGTTTACGGATCGAATGGTTGTCAAATAATACCTCCAGATGATAAGAACATCCAGAAAGAAATACTAAACAACTTGAAGCCATGGGATAAATCCTGGGACTTATCCCTACTCAAATCTCCTAATTTAATTGATCCTCTGGCGGAGACGAGCAAGGATTATTACAAGATCTTGTCCGACTCTATTCTGCCCGAGTACAAATCGAACTCCGGCAATCTGAAGATCGCTTATTCCGCAATGCACGGCGTAGGCTATCCTTATATATTAGACGCAATGAAAATAGCCGGCATCGATGTGGTTCCAGTTAAAGAACAAGTTATGCCCGATCCGGACTTTCCAACTGTCACGTAACTATAAATGTTTCGCACTTAATACATTTATGTATTAATTACAACAATAATTTTAGTTATCCCAATCCCGAGGAAGGTAATTCAATGGAATATTCGATCAAAACCGCGGATGCCGAAGGATGCGATTTGATCTTGGCCAATGATCCGGATGCAGATCGTTTAGCGATTGCGGTGCGCATCGATTCCGGTGAATGGAGGAAGTTGACTGGTAACGAAATCGGCGTTCTTCTGGGATGGTGGTTGTTGAGTAATTTCGAGAAGAGATTCCCGGATGTAAATTTAGACAACGTTTACATGCTGGCGAGTACCGTCAGCTCGAAATTCCTTAGGGGGATGGCAGAAAAGAAGGGTTTCCATTTCATCGAGACGTTGACAGGATTCAAGTGGATGGGCAACGAAGCTTTCGATTTGATACATAATGAAGGTAAGAAGGTGGTGTTTGCTTACGAGGAAGCCATTGGTTACATGTGCGGAGATGGTGTCCTCGATAAAGATGGAGTATCGGCAGCTCTTCATTTTGCCACGATGGCCATGGAACTCCATCGAAATGGTCTAAGAGTTGATCAACAGTTGAACGAACTCTTCACCGAGTACGGTTATCACATTACCAATAATTCGTATTACTTCTGCCACGATCCTCCAACGATCACGAAGATTTTCGAGAGGCTCAGAAATTTCAATGGTCCACAATCAGTAAGTCTTTATTATCATCTAAATAACTCTGCTTTTACATACATTTCATGTTATTCATTATTTATATACAATTTCAGTATCCTAATAGTATTATGAATGGGGTTTGTAACGTAACTTCCGTGAGGGATTTAACTGTCGGTTACGATAATTCTCAGCCCAATAACAAGCCAATTCTTCCGGTATCCAAAGGATCCCAGATGATTACCTTCGAGTTCGACAACGGACTTATTTGTACTCTGAGGACTAGCGGAACCGAACCGAAGATCAAGTATTACACGGAGCTTTGCGATTCCTCCAAAGATGCGTAAGTGTTTTATACATTGACATAATATTAAATGATCTGTAATAATTTTTATTTGCCTTTCGCAGGAGTTACTTAAAAGTCGGAGAAAATTTGAAAATGTTGGTGGATGGGTTGACCACGGAGTTACTTGAGCCGAAGAAAAACAATCTAGCTCCAAGCGAGTGATCTCGTTCATAGGTTTCTTCCGGCCAGGATGTCGTCTCGCAATTTGAACTTCTGTATCTTTCCCGACGTTGTCTTTGGGAAGCTCTTCATCACGTGAACGACGGATGGGATCTTGTAGTGCGCGAGTTTACCATCGCAGAACTTCTGCACGTCCTTTTGCGTTATCGCTTTTCCATCTTCGATCCTCAGACAGGCGCAAACTATTTCGCCCATCCTCTCGTCGGGAAGTCCCACCACCTGCGACTCGACAATATCCGGATGCCCGTCCAAGAAACCTTCGATTTCCTTCGGATAAATGTTCTCACCACCCCTAATAATCATGTCTTTCAATCGCCCAACGATTTGGCCGTAGCCATCTTCGTGCAAAACAAATTTATCTCTAAGCAACAAAAAAAAAAAAATTATTAAGCAAGTGTATTTTTTTTTTATAATTAATTAGTAGTAAGCTTATTTTATTGTAAAAATATATTTTAAATCTTACCCGGTTCTAAGCCATCCTTTATCATCGATTGTCTCTTTGGTTTTCTTCTCGTCACCCCAATACCCAAGCATCGTTGAGTATCCTCTCACGCAAAGCTCACCGGCCTCACCAAAAGGCACAAGGTTATCGCGAGCATCGACGACTTTGGCCTCAACGTGATCCGAGATTTTACCAACGTAGTCGTATAATTTAACGTCTTCGGTATGGAGATTACCGTGAAAAACAACGCACGTTGTTTCGGTCAACCCGTAAATCGACTAACGAAAAGATTAACTTTTAATACAATTTTCCGAAGCATTTTAAACTTACCACAATGTTTTTAATATTAAGGATTCTTCTCATGTCTTCGATGAGCTTCGGAGATGATGGCGAACCTCCAATTACGGCGACGAAAGCTTTCAGTTCTAATTTCATGTCTTTCTGCGCGTTTATCAAATCCACGTACATCGTTGGCGTTCCAAATATTACGTTGCATCTAAGAAGTGTTACGTGATGATGATGTTAATTTAGTAATTATTAAAATCTACCCTTGTTCTATCGTTTTTAATGCTGCTTTAGGGTTGTATGTGCTGTCAGGAAGGACTATAGTGTTTCCGTGATGCAAGGAACCAACCACTCCAACTGTCGTTCCAAACGTGTGGAAGAAAGGAACTTGGAAGCAGATTTTCTGCTCTACATTAGGATCGTGCTTCATCATGGATGTCATGTTCGAGTTATTCACGACTTGGAAATGACTCAAGAGAGCTGCCTTCGGTTGACCCGTCGACCCGGAAGTGAACTGTATATTAAACCCGTCGTCGAATTTCACGTTATCCTGACCACGAAAAACTTTCCTCGCCTCTTCAACACTAGAATCTTCCAATAAATCTCCGTAATTATAAACTCCTCTAAAACGAAACGAAAAAACTAAGCGACTAAAATACTAATAATAATAATAAATAAACGATACTTGTGCTTGTTTTCTGAGATCAAAATGATGTGTTTCAAACTGGGCATCGTTCTCAAATTGAGCCTATCCTTATCGAAACTTCCTATATTCTCGAGCTCGTTCAATATGCTGAAGAACTCGATCTTTTTCACCTTTTCAGGACAAACGATCGCTTTCATCTCCACCTTGTTCACGCAATACTCGATCTCTTGGGCTTTGTACGCGGGATTCAGCTGAACCAGAATCACTCCGATTCTGCTGCACGCCATGCACGTTACCTCCCATTCAAGAATGTTCGGAGCCCAGATCCCCAATCTGTCTCCTCTCCTCAGACCCAGCTTCATCAAACCCGCTCCCAACCGATCGGCCTTCTCCAGAAGATTGAAGAATGTCATCGATTCGTTTTGGCTCTGCACCGCTACCTTTTCGGGAAACCTTTCAGCAGCGTTCTTCAGCAAATCTCCGACGGTCTTTCCGATCAACGGTTTCCTTCCAACGGCATGTTTGTAGCTTAGATTTGACATTGATCGGAACCTAAATTTACACACACACATACACACTTTATTCTTTGAGGCTCGTGCACAGAAAACAAACAGTTCCGTTTGTTTTTCTTTCGTACTCCTTTTCTGGTACACACTTACTTGTCTACATTACTATGCAGTCTCCTACACAGGCTATTCATCATGTTGAAAGTTTTATTTTTAAAATATTAATAATACAATGACGACGAGGACGACGAAGTATTTAACATAAACACGCCGCGGAACGTCCGAACGTGTATTTATAAGGTTCTTATCTTGTTGACTATGTTATGTTTTTTCTTTTTATTTTCTAAATCTCATGTATAAACATAAATATTTATAACGAATCAACCGCAATGATATAGAGATTACATGCATATATACTTCAGTTCTCTGATCTAATAACAAATCTCATAAAAGACGCATTTGTGATTTGTAATAAATTCATTTTTATCACATTTATTATAATCATTTTTAATTGAAAAAAAAAAATCTACATTTCCATTGCGTATATCAACTAAAAGATTTCAAAACCTATTCATGAGTATTTTTCCACTTTATTTAAATTTTTGATTTTAAACATATACAAATTGTTTGTGTTAAGTTTGTGATTTTTTTAACTAATGTTGAACATTTTCGTTGAAAACAATGTATTTAAGTAGGAAATTACAATTGTTATGAAAATACCCAAAAATAGCAGAAACATATATAGAAATAGAAGTATATATTTTCTATATGAAATATGCAACAATTGTTTTAGAATCAGCAGAAATTTGGCAGGTTTTAAAGTTTTCTTTGTTATTATATTTTACTTAATAATTAATGAAAGTGATTTTGATTTAGTGGAAATTTCTATAACTATGTTCAAATATAAACAAAGGATTTTCAAACAAAATATGAAAAATCAACTTTGTGATTAGTTTATGTACAAACTAATCAAACTTTTGAAAAAAACCAATTATGGAATATTGTAGAATAAAAGTTAAATGTCTTTATATCGATCAGATTACTCACCGCAAAGTAAAAAACAAAGTGGTAATCGCGGTGAGAAAATCTGAGAAAATGTATAAATAAAATCAGATTTCCCACTAAAGATGTCGAGAATCGATTTTCACGAAATGCCAAACGCGAAAAGACCCCAAAAATACAACAAATTATTGTCGAAGCACATCCGGATGTTGCGTGGGTTGATTCTGTCGAAAAAATAAAAGCAAAAAGAAATTATTGTTGGCTGTGAATTTTTTTTTCGTCGTTTCCTGATTGGCTGAGACATTGCTAGGTGTGTTCGCGGGGGTGAGGATCAGGTGAAGTTGCGAGGGGGGGTTGGATGTATGCAAATGCTATTGGCCGCAAGGGGAACTTCGCGTGTTTCAAGAATAAATCCTTTTCCCTCTACGCGGTTTTCCACAGTTGACTCGAACGATCCGCAACGGAGAGTCCGTGATTTCCTTTCAGGCCAACTTTCCCCTCCCATCAAACGCGCGAGTTTTTTTTTTGGGGAAAATGTTGAAGAGCTGAGACGAAGCTTAAGTAGTGAGGAGAGTGCGAGAGATATAAAGAGAGGATGTCTCAACCGCAGAAGAAGGGTGCCTCTGGAGCGGGGAAAGGTCCTCCGAAGGGCGGAGGCGCCGGTGACGCTAACGGTAATAAAGAGGACGGCAAAGAGAAGAAGACGAAGGATAAGGAGGTGAAAGAGGCGAAGGATAAGGATGAGGTGGGAAGCGTCGTTGATGAAGAAGCTGCTGCAGCTGCGGCCGTCGTTCCGAAGCCCCAGAGCGCCGGGGCTACCGTCCGCGATGCCGCCCAGAAGGTGCTGGCTCTCTGCCAGAAGGGAGAATGGGGTCCCGTCGATCAGGTCATCAAGTCCATGGAGAAGGCCATGGCCAATGCGGGCGAAGACGCCAACACGATGCCCCTCTTGGGAATCGCCGATCCAGTGAGTTCTTTTTAACATGCAAATCCAAGAATTTAACATTCAATCACTACAACAAATAAAGAACATATTTAAGCAAAAATATTTTCCTTTACATTTTTTTTTTGTAAAAAGATAAACAAGTTGGTCTAGCTGCAATTCATCAAATCCAATATTAAACTTGAATTCTCAACCTTCAATCTTTATGGAAGTCGTAACTCGTGTGCTCTTTTAACATGTAAATCCAAGTATTTAACATAAAATCACTACAAAAAATGAACATTTATTTCTAAGTCTTAATCATTTCTCCATTAACGAATCGATAAGTTAATAGCAACGATTATCATAAAAAGCTCATGACAATTTTAATTAAATGATGAAAATAACGTTAATTACTTTCAAAACATTTTCATTTACATTTTTTTCGTTAAAGAAACATAAGTTGACGTAGCTGCAATTCATCAAATCCAATATTAAACTTGAATTCTCAACCTTCAAACTTTATGGATGTCGTAACTCCAAAATTAGGACTTTTACGCACTATATTTTCTTTACGCAACACCAATTCAAAATTCTTCAGAATGAAAACATATTCATTACAATGTTTATAACTTCAACATCAAATGCTTCAGACATAAAACTTAATAATTTTTAATTCGAACCTAGTTTTAAGTATTTGATGTATCTTTAATTAGATTATGTAATATATTTGTTAAGATTAAGGTAATTACATCATAAATCTGTTTTTAATAATTAATATGATCCATTTATAAAGTCACATTCAAGTTTCATAGTTTCATGTTGGAACGTTATTCTGAAGAGCGTTCAACATCAAGATAATTAAACTTCCAAACAAGTGTAACTGTGAAAATGTAATTAAAAGTGAAGATAACGTGCCCATAATATTTCATCTTTAAAAGTGGTCACAGGTGGTTTTTATTACATTATTTTTATTCTCTCACATCTTTATGTAATAACTAATCTATTATTTATTTCTTGTTATCTATATGCATTATTAAAAAAAACATGTATATGTGAGAAGATTAATTAGTGATGCATTTAAACGTTTATCTCTCCAAGTCACGTTGGTATTGAAAGATCAGAATGTTGCTGAATCATTTATTATAGATTATGAATTATCAATGTAAATAAATGGATTATTTCTTCTATTTTTGTTAGAATCATAGTGTAATTTCTGTTATTTCTTTAAATTTATAGTATTTTCTTTAGTTTTCTTTTTGTTGGAATAAATATATTTTTTAATGTATATACAGTGGTACCTCGATATACGAGTGCACTAATATACCAGTGTTTTGAGATACGAGCCGCCGAGCGAGCGATATTTTGCTTTGAGATCTGTGTGCTTGTTTCCCTCGTTTTCGAAGCATTTTTGATAAGTTGGATTAATGGCATTTCAATTAATTTCAATGGGGAAAATTGCTTTGATATACGAGCAAGGTTACGAAACGAATTAAACTCGTATGTAGAACAGAGGTGTCCAAACTACGGCCCACGTGCCAAACTCGTAATTTAGACATGTTTGTTTAGTATTGTTATATCTGTAATTTACTATAAAAAATAAAATTCAATGCTGCTTTACTTGTAAAAAGGTTTTTTAATTCGCATATTTATAATGCTTGGCCCCTGCTAATGAATTTAAATACCAAACTGGAAAAAAATAAATACTGAACATAAGATTTTAGTCCTGAAATAAGTACACATCTTTCTTACATGTTCGAACATTTAAAGAATTTAGTAGAAAATTAAAGATTTTAACAATTTCTCAACAATATTTGCAAAGATTTAATAATAATAATAAATTAGTCACCAATTGTAACAAAAGGGCTAAGATTTATATAAAATTCATTACTTAATATAAAATTGTTTTTGTTTTTAGGAAAAGTAAACAATATTTCATACATGGTTACACAATTAATATTTGATAATATTAAATATGCAAATACAGTGGAACCTCGCTTAACGAGCACTTCGCATAACGAGTAAAATAAATTATAAGAAAAATGACTCGCTTAACGAGCAACTTGTGTACACATATTATGTGTATTTTTGTATATGTTTCACTATACGAGTAAAAATCCGGAAATTTTTGAATGGATTAAACTCGCTAAGCGAGGTTCCACTGTATGTGAATTGATGAAGTGAGTTATCTTGAGGAAGAAAATTGATGATTGAAAATATTTTGTTAATAATAAGATGAAGTTTTCTTCTGATAGAAAGAAAACAAATAATTGTGTATCATAAATTTTGATAATGGAAAGTATCAAAACTCAATCTACCGTCATCAATAAATATGTAATGGAACTATTCTATCAGTTTACCCATTTCCTTTTTTTTTTCGAAAACTAAAGAGATATCTCCTTTGGTAACCAGTTATTAAAGAATTCCGATACGATTCCACGTGTATAAAATTTCCAGAGACCTAAAGTAGACATGAAACGCAAATCAATTCCATTGTCATCATGTTCAATATTTTCTCCTGTCTCTCTCTCTTACTCTCGCTCACACGCATATCCATCTAGTAGTGTATGTGTTGTTGCTGTTGTTTTTTTTTTGACATTCGGCTTTCAGTTTTTCGATTATTGACCAAACTTCTTGTGCGTTTCCAGGCGACGGGGATGACACCGCTGATGTACGCGGTCAAAGACAATCGGACCTCAATTCTGGATCGACTCATCGAGCTCGGATCCGACGTCGGAGCCAGGAACAATGTAAATCAACGAATTTCTCTACACATTTTTTTTATATTGTACTCGCAGAATTGCACACACACACACACACACGATCAAAGGAAGTCCATCAAATCAAGGGAAGGGAAGAACGCGCCCTCGAAGTAAAAAAAACAAAGAAAATCGGTTTTCCAATTTGGAAAGGCCCGGAAGCTTCGCCTTCCCGATTTCCGATAAATTCATTAATTTTCTAATTCACTTTCGCTCCACATGCAAAAAAAAATAATTTATTAAGATATTAGATTTTCGCCACGGGCGAATCGATTTGGTGCCCCCCTTTTTGCCAAGTAGTTAGTTAGTTGCTCGGATCGAATCGATCGCAGTTCTTCCCGAAATAGAAACGATTAATAATATACAAATTATGCCGTCGCACCAGCAAAATTAACACTTGAAATAATTAAATGAAACGCCGACGTCGAATGGAAACGTCTTCATACTTTGCGCTCAACTCGATTCCTTCAATTTTTCTTTCTTTTATTTCCTTTTTTTGTGATAATCTGGAAAATCATGAGCGAAAGTAGGCCAGAATGCCTCCGGTTTTTCGCTCACGCAATGCTTACGTTAATCACAATTCACATTCGTGAAAACTGGAGCGATCCCATAGATATATATATATATGTATTTCAGCTTTTCTTTATTATTTCTATCTTAACTTTTGATGATTTTTGTTGTTCAGGATAACTACAATGCGCTGCATATATCCGCAATGCATTCGAGGGAGGACGTCGTCAAGTTGTTGCTCACCAAACGAGGTGTCGATCCGTACTCGACCGGAGGGGTAAAGAGAAAAATAATAATAAGCTTACCTAATTAGACTTACCATTAGGCTTTGCGACGCTTCGAATCGGGTCGAAAGAAATTAACGGCACGCACCTTCACCGAGATTTGCTCAGAACCGGAAAATCAATATTTATATTTGAATGAAATCAGTTTGAAAGCATCTGAATTGTATGACAACCATGACATTTCCCTTTTCAGCTTCCTGCAGTGAACGCCAATTAAGCATACACTTAAATTATACTTTCGTGTTAGCTTTCTTCATATTAGTTACAGAATTTATTTTTTTATTTTGACCTTATTAGTCAAAGTACGAAAAATTTATACAGATTTAGGTTAATTAGGTGAAAAAATTGATTTAGATGATTTATTTAGAACATATTATTTCATATTAGCTTTCTTTATATTACTTACAGAATTTCTTGTATATTTTGACCCTATTAGTAAATATAAATATTGTAAAAAGTCAAAGTACGAAACAAGTTAGACAAATTTAGGTTAATAAGTGACTTAATTACTGTTGTATTTAGAACATTTAATTTGAATATTAGATCATTAGATGCGGATGGTCGAAAATATGATATGAAAAATGAGATTTTCGTGCATTTTAGTTCCATTATTTAAACTGAAATTACTGATTAATTCTAATATTTGATAATATTAATACATTGTGGCATATGTCAGAAATAAATGCAATTTAACCCTTTGACATATAATGACGTGTCCTTTGACATATAATGAAGTGTCCAAGACGTCTAAAGTTTATTTTAGAATGTTCAATAATTACGCGGTAAAAATAATAACTAGTAAAGTTTTAAATCTTTTAACGAAAGTGTAATAGTTCTGTAGTTATATGATAAAAATGTTCGTAAATGAGTAAAACCTTTATCCATAAAAAGAAATTCGTCAAAAAGTATAGAAGAAATTAATTGCATAATACTAATATAAAACCATTTAAAGGTTTCGAAACAAAAAATAGAGTAAAATTAAATAGTTCTATAGTTCTATAGTAAAAGAACAAATAGATATGTAGCAAAGAAAGTAGTATTTTCTATTTCTTCAATTATTTATTAATGAAACAATTCAATACTAAAGGAACATACTGCCTTGATTTAGTGGAAATTTCTATAACTATGTTCTTTTATATAACAAAGGATTTTCAAACAAAATATGAAAAATCCTCACATTTTCACTTTTCAACATTGTGATTAGTTTATGTACAAACTAATCAAACTTTTGGAAAAAAACAATTATGGAATATTGTAGAACAAAAGTTATATGTCTTTATATCGATCAGATTACTCACCGCACAGTAAAAAACAAAGTGGTAATTGCGGTGAGAAAATCTGAGAAAATGTATAAATAAAATCAGATTTCCCACTAAAGACTGATTTATTCTAATATTTGATAATATTAATACATTGTGGCATATGTCAGAAACAAATGCAATTTAACCCTTTGACATATAATGACGTGTCGTTTGACATATAATGAGGTGTCCAAGACGTCTAAAGTATATTTTAGAATATTCAATAATTGCGCGGTAAAAATAATAACCAGTAAAGTTTTAAATCTTTTAACGAAAGTGTAATAGTTCTATAGTTATATCATAAAAATGTTCGTAAATGAGTAAAACCTTTATACATGAGTGATAAAACAAATTCGTCAAAAACTATAGAAGAAATTAATTGCATAATACTAATATAAAGCCATTGAAAGCAATTCGTGGGATTAACGCATTGGTTTCGAATACTTCTTTTTGGATAGTAAAAGAACAAATAGATATGTAGTAAAGAAAGTAGTATTTTCTATTTCTTGAATTATTTATTAATGAAACAATTCAATACTAAAGGAACGTACTGCCTTTTTTCTTACATAACATATTTTTTATTCGTTTGTCAAAGAGTTAAATGCAAATGTATTTGTTTTAATAATAACTCAACATAATATTAATACATTAATAACAATTGTTATTTTTTTTTTGACATTGACATTTATTTCAATTGTTTGGATTTTTGTTTGCGGTTTTAGCATACACATTTATGATTCGCTTTATAGAAATAACCGTGAGTGAATGGTGACTATACACATTACATCAAAATGTCGTTGTTATATATTATTGGCGCGGTCTAATTTTAGTTGTTATCGTGCACGGAGAGGCATTTATTTAATCAGCCCTAAAAACACCAAATAATCGAGGCCATTAAAAACGGCGGAAAAACAATGAAAAAAGGAGCTAAGAAGAAGATCGCGGCGTCGCGACGCCTTCGACGTGGGGTGCGTGTCGGTCGCAATAATTCGGTGACAATAAAACAATTTCGCGAACGGCGGTGAGAGTGTGCCACTCTCGTGCATGAAGAAACAATTGTTACGTGGTTTCCAGGACGACGTGCCTCATTTATCGCCGTTTTTTTTTTCTTCTGTTGTCTTGTTGCATGGATTGATGATGGAAACAGAGCAGGCAGCAGACGGCCGTGCATTTGGTGGCATCGCGACAGACGGGCACAGCGACTGCAATCCTTCGAGCTCTTCTGGCCTCTGCGGGAAAGGATATTAGGTTGAAGCCGGACGGGGTAAATATTTTACTTAAGTCATCCATATGTGTCATTAATATTTTTTGTTAACTGTCAGAGGGGAAAAATACCGTTGCTGTTGGCTGTGGAAGCAGGGAATCAATCAATGTGCAGGGAACTCTTAGGGGCACAGACGGCCGATCAGCTGAAGGCTTCTTCGGCCAACGGAGATACGGCACTTCATCTCGCTGCAAGGAGGAAAGATATTGATATGGTGATCTCCTAATTTACTTCTATCTAGATTATGATTTTACTTTGATAAATCCGTTAGGTCAGGATTTTGGTTGATTATGGTACAAGCGTCGATATCCAAAACGGCGAAGGACAGACACCTCTTCATATAGCAGCCGCCGAAGGTGATGAAATCCTGGTGAAGTATTTCTATGGAGTCAGGGCCTCAGCTTCCATCACCGATAATCAAGATAGGACTCCTATGCATCTAGCAGCTGAAAATGGACATGCAAGCATTATTGAACTGTTGGCGGACAAATTCAAAGCTAGTATTTTGGAAAGAACCAAGGATGGCTCCACTTTAATGCATATTGCTTCGTTGAACGGTCACGCCGATTGCGCGATGATGCTATTTAAAAAAGGAGTCTATTTGCATATGCCCAACAAAGTATTCTATTAAATCTTATATTTTTTTTGCATCATTAACATTTTATCCTTGTAGGACGGGGCTCGGAGTATTCACACCGCCGCGAGGTATGGCCACGTTGGGATAATCAATACTCTTATCCAGAAAGGCGAAAAAGTGGATGTTACAACGAATGTAAGTCGCTTTTGATGCGTCTTCTTTATAGGCGAATTCCATGCAATTCTAATTCCATTAATCTGAATATCTCTGATTCTTGATCGTAGGAGAATTACACTGCTCTGCATATTGCGGTGGAATCGTGTAAACCTATCGTTGTTGAAACCTTGCTGGGATATGGTGCTGATGTCCATATAAGAGGTGGTAAGTTAAAAGAAACCGCATTGCATATAGCTGCTCGTGTCAAGGACGGAGAGAGGTGCGCTTTGATGTTATTGAAATCCGGAGCTGGCCCGAATTTGACCACTGAAGATGGACAAACTCCTGTACATGTAGCTGCGCAATACGGCAACTTGCAGACCTTAGAGTTTCTTCTAGAAGATGGAGGAGATCCGCAATATAAGAACAAGAAAGGCGAGACACCACTGCACTTAGCTTGCAAGGGTTGCAGACCGGACGTCGTTCAGCATTTAATCGATTACGTGAAATTGAATAAAGGGGAAGATAAAGTAGCCATATACGTGAACGAATTGAATGAATTTGATGAAACTGCTCTGCATTACATCTGCAACGTGAGCAAAGCAGACGTTGAGCTGCCTGGAGCTGACAGGGGTTGCGTTAAGGTGCTTCTTCAGAATGGAGCTGATGTCAGTTTAGTATCGAAACTTGCGCACGAAACTGCGTTCCACTATGTTGCCGAAGTTGGAAACAACGAAGTCTTCACCGAAATGATATCGCACATGCCTGTGACTGATGTTCAGAAAGCTTTGAATAGACAATCGGCAATTGGTTGGACCCCTTTATCAATAGCCTCTCATAAAGGACACGTGGAGCTCGTCCATAATTTGTTAGCGAACCACGCCAGAGTTGATGTCTTTGATCACGAAGGTCGATCTGCTCTTCATTTGGCGGCAGAAAAAGGATACATCCAGGTTTGCGATTACCTCCTCACAAACAAGGCCTTCATTAACTCCAAATCGAGGAACGGACGGACTGCTCTTCATTTAGCCTCGTTGAACGGCTATATACATTTAGTGAAGTTTCTCATTAAAGATCACAATGCAGTCATCGACATTTTAACTTTAAAGAAGCAAACGCCTTTGCATTTGGCTGCAGGCGCTGGACAGATTGAAGTCTGCAAGCTACTGCTAGAGTTAGGAGCTAATATTGATGCCACAGATGATCAGGGCCAGAAACCTATCCACGCAGCAGCCCAGAATAATTATTCCGAAGTGGCCAAGTTATTCTTACAACAACATCCGAGTCTTGTGATGGCCACTACCAAGGATGGTAATACTTGTGCGCATATCGCCGCAGCCCAAGGAAGCGTGACGGTGATAGAAGAGCTGATGAAGTTCGATAGATCCGGAGTGATTTCTGCGAGAAACAAGTTGACGGATGCTACTCCTTTGCAAATCGCTGCCGAAGGTGGGCACGCTGATGTGGTAAAGGCTTTGGTAAGAGCTGGAGCTAGTGTAACGGATGAAAATAAGAATGGATTCACAGCCGTGCATTTGGCTGCAAAGAATGGGCATGGCCACGTCTTGGAGGTGTTAAGATCTTCTAACACTTTGAGGGTGACCAGTAAAAAATTAGGAGTAACGCCTCTTCATGTTGCTGCGTACTTTGGTCAAGCGGATACAGTTCGCGAGTTGCTGATATATGTACCAGGCACTGTTAAATCAGAAGTACCGAATGGAGCTTCATTGGTTCCAACTTTGGGAAACGAATCTGGAATGACTCCTTTACATTTAGCCGCCTATTCTGGAAATGAGAATGTCGTTAGGCTTCTCCTAAATTCAGCTGGAGTACAAGTAGATGCAGCGACTCACGAAAACGTTAGTAAACATTAACTTATTAAGCAATTAAATATAATTACTGCGTTAAATTTCAGGGATATAACCCAATGCATTTAGCTTGCTTTGGAGGCCATACAACTGTCGTTGGTTTGCTGCTCAGTAGATCAGCGGAGTTGCTTCAAAGCACGGAAAAGCATGGAAAGACAGGTCTTCACATAGCTGCAACCAATGGTCATTACCAGATGGTTGAAGTATTGCTGGGTCAAGGAGCAGAAATCAATGCAACCGATAAGAACGGATGGACTCCACTGCATTATGCTTCGAGAGCTGGCTGTTTCGATGTAGTTAAACTTCTCACGGAATCCGGTGCTTCGCCGAAATCAGAAACTAATTTAGGTGCGGCGCCAATTTGGTTTGCTGCTTCTGAAGGCCATCACGACGTTCTGGAATATCTAATGACCAAAGAGCATGAAACTTATTCCTTAATGGAAGATAGACGATTTGTATATAATTTGATGGTGTGCTCGAAGAATCATAACAACAGACCTATAGAGGAATTCATTCTTGTATCACCTGCGCCGGTGGACACGGCTGCAAAATTATCGAATATCCTTATAACACTGTCCACGAAAGAGAAGGAAAGAGCCAAAGATTTGATAGCTGCTGGAAAACATTGCGAGTACATGGCTACTGAGCTTTTAGCTTTGGCTGCTGGTGCTGATTCTGCTGGAAGGATATTAACGGCGACCGATAATCGAAATGTGGAGTTCCTCGATGTGTTAATCGAAAACGAACAGAAAGAGGTGATTGCTCATACTGTTGTGCAAAGGTATTTACAGGTAATCATCGCGTGCAAATTATAATTAATGGCTTAATGTTAAAAATGTTTGTGAATTGCAGGAGCTGTGGAGAGGACAATTAAATTGGACAACTTGGAGAACGTTGCTGCTGTTCATCGGATTTATTTTATGTCCTCCTATTTGGGTGGCATTCACGCTACCTCTAGGTCATAAATACCATAAAGTGCCCATCATCAAATTCATGTCCTACCTCACCTCTCACGTCTACTTAATGTTCTTCCTTTTACTGACGGCGATCTTCCCGTTCTACCCGGTGGTAAGGCCGGGTCTCATCCCTTACTGGTACGAGTTGGTTCTTCTGATTTGGCTCAGCGGTTTGTTGCTATTCGAGTTGACGAATCCCAGCGACAAATCCGGCCTTGGTTGGATCAAGTTATCGGTCCTCCTCTTCGGCATCTTCGGAGTTGCGGCTCATCTCTTCGGAATGGTCGCAATCGAAAAGATGTACTGGCCAACGTTGATGTACTGCCGGAACCAACTCTTTGCCATCAGCTTCCTACTAGCCTGCGTTCAAATCCTGGACTTCCTTTCATTCCATCACCTCTTCGGACCGTGGGCCATCATCATCGGTAACCTAATGAAGGACTTGGGACGTTTCCTGGCGGTGCTGGCGATCTTCGTGTTCGGTTTCTCCATGCACTTCGTCGCCCTCAATCAACCCTTCAAGAACTTCTCGTACGAGGAGGCGCGTCGCTTCGGCCCAAATTCTACGCCGAAAACCTACTTTGCAGAAGGTTAGTGTCTTCCTGTGCCGTTAACATTATTATTTTATACTTCTTAACTCAATCGGGGCTCTGCATGGAAACACGATTTCTAACATTCGAGCACTCTCTGCTAACACGAGTTCTAGTACTTACTAATCAACCAAAAATGTTATATACATATTTGTAAATTTTGTAAATATGCAGATCCCCTCTTCTCTCTCTTAGGTCTATCTATCTATCATTTAGATTTAACTATATCTTCTTCTTTCTTTGTTTTATTTATTCTTCTTCTTCATCGAACAAACAAACAAAAAAAAACACACTTGATCCGTTTAGAAAGGTTGGAGGCGGAATGGATCGGCCAGAGGCCACGCAAGTTTACGCACTCCTCTGTGAGACGCAAACACCAACCTCAGTCAGACGGTAGTAAGTTTTCTGTGTTCTGTGTGCATTGTCCGAAGCTCTGAAGAGATCCTCAATGTTATGTTCTGTCCGAGAAAGCCAAAAAAAAAACAAATGAACTGTGTATGTTTTGTTCTTGTTGTTGCTGTTCCTGTCTGTGCTCATGTTGTCTGTTTGTCTGACGGTATTCCTTGTGTTGTCAATGATCGTACGTTGATCCTCAGTGTTGTCCATGTTATTAGGTTGTTCAATAATGTAAATAACTTTTTCTACTCTTAATATCTATTACAGCTTTTTATTAATGCACTCTTACTACTACTACTATTACTACTACTTATTTATTGAGCAACCAAAGAATTGTTATACCCAAAATGCTTACAAATCTGTAATGTATTCCTACGAAACTCACCACCTGTAAATCAATCAACTGTGACTTGATTGATTTTGTCTTTGTCTTTGCTGCTTCCGCCTACTGTCGCTTCAATTCAAAAGCAAAAATAAATTTGAAACAACTGCCGTTTTGTGTTGTTCGTATTGTTGTTTTTGTGATGTTGAGGTAATTAGAGAATTTTAGAAAAATGGGTTTTGTATGTATGTTTTTCTGGTGGTGTTGTCCTGCAGTGATGATGAACCCGCTGAAGGCGTTCGAATTGTTATTTTTCGCGATATTCGGACAGACAACGTACGAAGACCTTACCGTCAGGGGGAAGACCCTCTACAGACCCTTGTGGACGGACAGCCTGTTCAAGCTGGTGTTCGGAGTGTACATGCTCGTCTCGGTCGTCGTTCTGATTAATCTCCTGATTGCTATGATGTCTGACACGTACCAACGCATCCAGGTAAATAAAACGACCATCTCTTTCTGCTTGTGTGATTCCAGTCCAAAAGAACCCGATCAAAGCTTTTGAGTTGCTGTTTTTCGCGATATTTGGCCAGACCACCACCAACCATCTAAAAACTGACGGCTGGGAACGCAACCATAATAATCAACCGTTCTGGACAGCGAACCTGTTTAAGATGGTATTCGGCGTTTATATGCTGGTCTCTGTTGTCGTCCTAATTAACCTTCTTATTGCTATGATGACTGACACTTACCAACGTATCCAGGTAACGAAACATCCTCCAGCAAAAGCAAAACAAAAGCGTAAACCAATCGAATGTTGTTGTGAGCGCAACCTCCTCTGCATGCCAGCCAAATACCAAAATCGTGTAATGTTACCAAAAAACAAACAAAGAAAAACATATTATATACCTACCAATAATAAAAAAAGAAAACGCAATTCAAAAATTACTTGCACCAGTTCTGTTGGGCTGGATCATGACTTGTTATGGCTTCTTCTTTTTATTTTCATTTTGATTTGAATCCCCGAAACCCATCCAAATCCTCCATAATAATTAAATAAATAAACAAAAATATGTATTTAGAGACAAAGAAAAAAAAAACTAGTTACAGCTTCTGTATGCGTCACACAATTTTAGTAAGTAGTTGTAAATTTGATCCTAGAAAGAAAAGGCACCCTCTTTTCAGGATCCCATAGTTTCGTTACATGTTTGTTTGTTGTTCGTATTGTTAGTTTGTTCGCCCAACAGTCTTACTTTTTTCCTTTTGATTTTTGAGACACCCTTTACATTCCAGATTTGTTTATTCGTTGTTTTTATTCTTTCTTAGTACGTTTTCTTTTTTTTTTTTGGAATGGAATGACTTTTTTTTATATACATATATCTTTAGCTCTAGTAGATAATAATGTTCTGTGAAATAATATATTCATTGATGCAAAGGCCCAATCGGACATCGAATGGAAATTCGGACTGAGTAAGTTGATCCGTTCAATGCACCGCACCACTTCGGCTCCGTCTCCCATCAATCTCATCACCACGTGGCTCTTCTACTTGGTAAAACTCTGCAAGCAAAGAAGTACATTTTTCTAGATTTCTACACTATTTACTTGTATTAACTAGTGTTAACTGTGCGCATTGCAGTGAAAGCCAAGAAGAGGACTAGTCTGGTAAATCTGATGGGCGGCTTCCAGAGGACGCAACAGCTTAGTCCTAGATCCAAAGCAGGTCAGAAATGGTTGTCCAAGGTGAAGAAGGGCAGACAGATCGCACCCAAAGAGTCCGTCGCACTTTCTGTGGCCCATCTCAGTCCTTTGGGTTCCCAACTGAGCTTCTCCATCCAAACGAACCGCATCGAACACGTCACCGATTGGGAGGCAATTGCGAAGAAGTACAGAGCATTAACTGGAAGCGTTGACGAGGTCAAGGAATCCGGAACGGAGGAGGACGAAGACGACGATAACCAACCTACCCAAATGGGTAACAATGTCGGCGGCGGTTGATTATTTAAAAAACTGTTTCAAATATTTGTATGTGCCATAAATTGTAAAGGTTTGTATATAGAACTTCTTTCTTATAAAATTACGAACTATTCGAACGAAATGAAAGCTTTGGTGTTAAACTAGTTGCACAGTGGGAACCATCTATTTCCAAACCCTCTGCTAAAGATTGGTATATATTTTTTAAACTCACTTGTATATTTAGGCTAAGTTTTTATCAAAAAAATAAATAAAACTTCTTGAAAATGCAGTTTGTTTGTTTTCACCCCAAATTTTATTGAGAAAAATATAGTATATGGATTTTCTTAAAAATCGCTGTTTCGTTAAGATCCGACGAGTTTTCACGTTTCTTCTTAATTATACGAAAATATCTTAACTTTTGTTGCATTTTATGATTGCGTAGAATGTGCAACTTTTTATGAAACAAAAGCTATAAGTTTCTATCGATACAAACAGAATAATTGTAGAGGAATAACGATGCGTTCTTGAGCGACTGTTGCGGGATATTTTCTGAATTGTACAAATTGTTAATAATTTTAAACCAAAGAAACGAAATCTTTTTAATTAGGTATTATTGATTAGCTGTAATTCAGAAATATAAGAAGAAAAAGAAATAAAAAGCAAGTAATCCTTGATATCCGAGATCTGTTCGTTGAATGTTGTGAATGTTATTTAATGAATAAAGCAGAGAAATCGCAAAAAAAAACTTGGAAATTATGAAATTTTAATATATTTGATTATTATATCTGATTGTTGGTAATCATATATGTACAGTATATATTATCAATTACATAGCTCTTGGTTATTGACCCATATAATTAAATAAAGTTAATGAAAATTCATATTATTTGTTTTATTTTTATCTGATTTTTTTTGCAGCTTTGTAATTATTTATGTAAAGGTACTATTCTCATAATATATTTACTACAATGATTGATTATAGCAGAGATCGGCCGACCAACATTCAAAGAGCATCATTATTCCTATTGTATCAATTATTAAATTTGCGTAAATCGATTCGTCATGTGCTAAATAATATATTTTTGATTAGGTTAGATGATCGGTTGATTATTTGGATTGATAATTGAATTAAAATACTTGATTTTGATGTACTTATAGCAAATTGAAAATACTAGTTAAATAAATGGCTATATTCATATATATTAGAAAATATGAATTTACTGTTTTAAAGAATAATTCTTTCGCTTTCGTTTGCTATAAAATACATTAGATTTGGTCAATTAATAAGAAAGTTATTAAGCTTTAATGAGTAGGCGGTTATCGCGAATCAAAACACAAGTCCCCCTCCCTTTGATTCACGAAAATGCCAGAATATTTCGATTTGCACCAGGAGACCATGAGTAGCGAGGAGGTATCTGAGCTCCTGGCATCGGTCGTTCCTGATTGGTTGTAATTTGAAATTTTGAATTTTACGTTTGTGTGAGTGAGCGAACTGTCAGAGTGACAGCTGTTACAGTCGCAAGTTAAATTTAAAGGTTTTTATTGGATTTCCTGATTATTCTACATTGTTCTGAATGAGAACTTAATGAACAACATGCTCCATTGATTCCTTCTTCTATTTCCATGTATGGAAAACCTCTCTCTGAACTTCACATCTCACTTCGGGCAAGTACTAATGGAACATGTAAACAACCATCGATCACTAAAGTTCTTTGTCTTTAGGAAAGATACAACAGAAACTGCAGCTAACTAGGGACAATTCTTAAAATCTTTTTACAAGAAACATACTGAATCAGTGTCTTCATATAAGAATGTTCATTAATCGTTAATAAACATAAAGTAAATAGTCAACTTGTAAACAATCATTGCTAGAATTGTTATAATTTTAGGTGGAGCTAATACCAACATGCCTCTAGTCTGACGACCTTAAGTTCTCCAGAAAGTGGAAAGCATTCTTTACTAGCAGTTTTCATTTGCAAATAGTGGAAACCTTAACTGCTGAATGTGAACGAAAATATTATTTCATTAAAAAGAAGGATAACAACTATGAACCCTGTAGCATGCATGATTCTATTGTTGCTTCCTACATGATTCTTAGAGACTGGAAAACATTTATGAATGCTAGAAGCATTGAAAATACTGGAAAAACTAAAATGTTAATTTTCATCAAATTCCCAGAAAAAGACTATATCAATCTATATTTTCACTTATTTTAATCTCTCTATATTTTAGATAAATATTCATATGAAACATTTTCCTAAAAGCATGTGTTTACGAAAATACAGGTCATTTTGGAAAACGTTGTTTTCAAAACTATCTAATACCAAAGTTTGATAATTAATTGTGACTAAGCTATGATAGCCACAAGCCTGTGTTTATACTAATTTTAATCTCTCTATATTCTAGATTAACAATAATGTTCAAAACTCTTCTTAGAGTTGATGTATACGAAAATACAGGCCATTTTCGAAGACGATGTTTTCCACACTGTCAAAAACCAAATTTTGGTAATTAATTGTGACGAAGCTATGGTAGGTATAAACATGTTTTTATGCTAATTTTAATCTCCGTATATTCTAGGTCAAGATTCATATTCAAAATTCTTCTGGGAGCAAGTTTTTATGAAACTACAGTATATTTTCGAAGACGTTGTTTTCCAGACTGTCTAATACCAAAGTTTGATAATTAATTGTGAAGAAACCATGGTAGCAACATATCTATATTTACACTCATTTTATTCTCTATATATTTAAGATCAACATGAATGTCCAACATTGTTTTGAAAGTTGGTGTATACGAAAATACAGGCCATTTTCGAGAACCTTATTTCCCCAACTGATTTGTGAAATGCAAAAGTTTGTTAATCAATTATGAAGACACCGTTGCAGCAACAAATCAGTATTTACGCTCATTTTAATCTGTGTATATTCAAGATCAACATCCATGTATAACATTCTTCTGGGAGCTCATGTTTACGAAAATACAGGCCATTATCTAATATGTTGTTTTCTATTTGTTCATTAAAGTATTCATGTATGTTTGGTTGCTTGTACTTCAGGTGCAAAATAAATATTCCATTTTTTTGTGACAGCTTGCGCCATCTTTTAGCAATATTTCAAAGGTTGTAGTTCAGCTATTTTGGCGCTGCCCAAATCAGAGATTCTTAATTAGCAGCATAATTAATGATTTGTATTGGCTGAAAGATAAAGATTAATTATTGTTATGTAATGCTAAGATCACTTCATTGATTGATTAACTAATTGTTAAGTTATGAGCATTTAATTATTCACGATAAGCGCCATCTGACGAGGTCCAACCGCACTATTTTCAATATGGAAAAACATTAGGATTGGAAAATCAGGCTTAAAAAATCATCAATTTTCTCAATAACTACACACGGCACAATTATGAATAAGCATGTAAATTAGAGCAAAATGTTTGGGCTTTCCAACGTACCATCTGTAATATTTGTAATTATTGCCGATTTCCTGTAATTTAAAGTTGTAACTAACTAAAAAAAATAGATAATTTTATCTTGAGACTTTCGTTTTTCCTTAATAACTTAAAAACTATTAAATTTTTTTTTCTTTTTATTGCGTGGAGTTGTAAAAAAAGGAACGTTCTAAGTAAATTTAAATCTTAAAAGAAATTTCTTACATTTTATGTTATTTTTTGTAAGTATATGGAATGTACATTTAAAGTAACTTCGAAATATTATTGAACTGTATTAGTAATGAAATTAAATTGTAAATTTAGATATTATAACACGCAGACAATCAGGAGAAGGTAGAGTATTAATTAGAAATTGAAAGAAACAAAGAAGCTACATATTATTTGGTTTATTTCAAAAGTTATTAGAAAAGTTTAGGTTCCAAAACATGCAAAATATTATTATCAAATTTGTTATATACAGAGAGCAAAACAGGAGGAACAAAATGTAAATGTAATATATTATGTTACAGGTTGCAATTGCTGTTTTTGTAGAAATCAATCAATCTTTTTTTGTTTACAGAAAATGAAGTAATTGATACATATAAATCACAAATTGTCGCTCATAATTTTACTTTCTGCATGTGCATATATTATATCATTCACTAATATATGTATATCATATAACGCAATTATCTAGTTCAAAAGTAATCTATAATTTAATAGGCTTTGTAAAAAATAATATATAATTATAATAAAATGGAGCGGCGAAATTGCCCCAAGATTTCTTTCTTTAAATAAATATCTTATAACAATTAGCATATATTGTATAATATATATACACGAAGAAAATAATTGTTATTATATATATATATAATTTAGTACCAGAATCATTTGGATTGGGCCTCGAGTTCCTGCTCGACGATTTTACGGTACTCGTCGAAGCCTCCGTCTATGCTCTTAACACTTCCATTACCGCAGATCCACAATTCCTTGCAAACCATTCTGATGAGTCGCTCATCGTGAGATACTAATATCACACCTCCCTATCAAATTAAATAATTTATTAAATTATCGACTGCAATTATCAAACACTTACATTGTATTTATTTATTGACTTTCCTAACGCCTCGATGGTCTCGATGTCCAAATGATTTGTAGGTTCATCGAGCACCAGGAAGTTCGGGTAACCCATGCACATGCGAGCGAACGCTACACGCGACTTTTGACCTCCAGACAAACTGGCTATAGTCTGCAAGGCAAGATCACCGGAAACTCCAAAACTTCCCAATTGTCGCCTATATTCCTCCACTGGTTTACCTATAAACATTTAACGTATTAGCTAAAATTACACAATTCAATGCATAATTTTGTTATTACCTGGATAAGTGGATTGAAGCAACTCCACGCAATTCACGTTCATATCCAGCTGATCTACGTGATGCTGGCTGAAGTATCCGAACTTTAAGTTGCGATGAGTATGTCTTATGCCAGAGGTGGGCGCCAATATTCCCATTATGATCTTCAGGAGCGTCGTCTTACCAGCTCCGTTATCACCGACAATACATATTCTCGACTCGAGATTTGCATTCAAATTTACGTCGCTGAAAATGACACGTTCAGCATTGTATCTGAAGAGGACTTCGCTCAGCTGCAAGATCGGAGGTGACAGTGCTTCGGTGTCGGGGAACCTCAGCACCACATCAATTTCTTTCTCGATGGGTTTTAATTCTGGCCTAAAACGAATCACAGTGAATATCATTTGAAATTACAAACATTTGATGATGATTTTTACTTACAGTTTTTCGAGCATCTTAATTTTTGATTGTACACTCGACGCGCGATTCGCGTTATACCTAAACCTGTCTATAAACTCTTGGACGTGAGCGCGATGCTGCTGCTGCGCTTCGAACTCCCTCTGTTGGTTCTTGTGCTTTTCCGTTTTGGTTTTCATGAATTGCTCGTAATTGCCACGGTAGGATTCAATGCGTTGAGAGTGCAAGTACAGGATATCTGTTGGGACAGTGTCTAAGAAGTTTCGGTCGTGAGAGACTACGAGCAACGTCGTGGGCCAGTTCTGCAGGTAATTCTCTAACCAAATGATGGCTTTGATGTCCAACATGTTAGTAGGTTCATCGAGCAACAGGAGATCGGGCCTAGAGAACAGGGCTCTCGCTAAGGCCAATCTCATCCTCCAACCGCCGGAGAATGTTTTTGTTGATCTGCTTTGCATAGCCGATGTGAAACCTAAACCATCTAGAATAATGGAAGCCTTCGCCGGCGCTTTATCAGCTTCAATATTTTGCAATTGGGCATAGACCTCCGTTAATTTATTGGACAGCTCCGGATCCGTAGATCCGGCGTTGATGGCATTGCTAAGCTCCTTCTCAGTCTTCAGCAGATTCTGCCGAACTGTATCGCATTCCAGCACGCTGTCCAAAGCTAACGTGCCATCACCTATAACCTTAAATGGTATTTTTTAACTTCAACGTACATTAAATATATTTCGCTCATTTCTTACCTCTTGTTCGACGTGCAAAATGGTAACGTGAGACGGTATCCTCAATTGTCCTGAAGATATCATTCGCAGGAGCGTCGTTTTTCCTAAACCGTTCCTACCTACTAAACCGTATCTTCGCCCAAAAGCTAAAGACACGTCGGCGCTGGTCAACAGAACTCTATCGCCGTAAGCAATATCAAAATTCTCGATGCGAATATCCTGCGTCCTGTTATTACCCTTCGCTTCTAATTTAATCTCCTTTTTACTAGTAACCTAAGCAAAGCAAACACATTACAAACCACTTGTTTTTTAAATTATTATATAATTAATTACTTGTGAAGCAGTTGCAGTTTGTAGAACAGGAATAACTACTGTTTTATTGGAATAATCCTTGGACCTTTTCTCCTGCTTCTCCTGTAACTTTGCTTCAGCTTTCTCCAATTTCCTTGAATCCACCTTCTACAATGAAATGATTCAATTTCTATTGGACTAACAAATATGAAAACAATTATTACCAAAGTGTCATCCCTGTGCATAACCCAAATACTTTTGATGTCATCCACATTGTTCTCCAGGTTTGCAGCCATTGATCCCAAATGGACAGGAGCATTTAACACTTTCCTCTGCCCATTCTGTTTATTGTCTCCTATATCTGGTTTCATTATTCTCAACAGATCATTGCAAATGTTCCTGAAAAGTTCATGTTATTAATGAAACATAAGGTGTATGTGGCAAACATTGTACCTAATATCCAGCTCAGATTTATCAGTGGAAACCTCCTGCAAAACTTCTCCAACGGCATCATAAACTTCCTCACTGTCTTGGAAATCATCAGCTCCGTTTTGCAGTACATCTGAAACAGGTTTTCGTGTGTTAAATTCACAGTATATTCACTATCTAATATATATTACTAACCTTCAACATACTGCTTCAAGTCGTCGTCAATATGCGGGAATTCGGACTCTATATATTCACTGCAGGTCGTCATTGTGGACCAGTTTAAAAGTTAGCTTCAATGCAATTTTATCCAGAATGAATACCTTGTTTTCACAGATACTGCCCGAATAATGAACACGGAATATCAAACGCGACTCGTTTGAGGTTAGTTTCAGTAAACGTCAAAGACCGTGCTGAAGTTAGTCAAGTTAGTGGAAAATTGAAATATTCCTAAAGAAATTGTAGTTGTCAATATTTTTGGCAAGTGTAAATAAATGGTGAAAAAGGATTTTTTTTTGTCAACGATAGCAGTTTTATAAACAAAACTAGCAAAGATGAATGAGAAACGATCGAATCCTTTGGATATTGATGGCCAACACTTCAATTCCAACATATACTTGGAGAAGCTGTTCAAGGTAACTTTAAAGTTAATCCTTGTTATCGATGAGACTGACTTTTATTTTTGATTAAAGGAGAACTCCTTGAAGCAGATAATGGATCACGAGGGTGATATTGTTAAGGACACTCAGACACTGCACTCTGACATGCAAACTCTGGTATATGAGAACTACAACAAGTTTATTTCTGCAACTGACACTATCAAGAAGGTATGCGAATAATGAGCTTATGCAATGCCTTATTTTCATTGCAACATTTCCCAGATGAAAACAGACTTCAAGAAAATGGAAACTGAGATGGATTTATTAGCATCTAATATGGAATCGATCACATCCTTTTCCGATCAGATTTCATCAACCCTATGTGACACCAGACATCAGATCAGCAAATTATCTGGTGTGCATTCACTATTGAAGAGGTTGCAGTTTCTGTTCAAGTTACCTGCCACATTGAAAGCGCGCATGGAGGAAAACAATTACAAGCAGGCTGTGTCAGATTACATGCATGCACAGAGAGTGTTGCAGCAGTATGGAAACATGCCTTCATTTCAGGGAATTCAATCCGATTGCGACGTTATCTTGAAAGAGCTGAAAACGGAATTACGGAAACAATTTTCCAATTCAGAAGCCAGTGCTAAAGACCTGGCGGAATCCGTTGATTTGCTCTTACAGTTGGAGGAGCCAGCTAAAGAATTGTGCACGGAATTTTTGAATTGCGCTGATAAGAGATTGAGTGATCAATTGGTTCTGTTGAGGGATCAAAGCGAGCAGCGAGATATCACAGAATTCGTTGATCTTGGCTGCAACGGATTTTTAAGCGATCTATGCTTGGTCGTCGCTTCTTTTCACGACATGTTTATCAATAGAGTACATGGAGATAGTATTGAGAATAGGTAATTTTTGTTTGATACAAATTGATGAATCGATGTAGTAAAACAGCAATGTTACAGCGAGATATTCGAAAATTTCTCGGCCACTGAGATGAACACGTTCATAGTGCAAAAGATGAATAAATATTTCGAGTTGATGCGAAATAAAGTGGACTTGGAACAGGATGTTGGAGATACGAGCGTGCTGGTTCGAGCTCTGGACAGGTTCTACAGGCGTGTTCAAGCCATGAATACCATGTGCAGCAATGCTGACTTTTCAAGGTAAATATCGCTGCAAAGAGAATTTCGCACAAGAATTTTAATTGATTTATTTACAGTATTGGTTCGGATATTGTTGTGAATGCTGGGAAGAAGCAAGCCAAAGCGCATTTGCAAGCGCTTAAACAGTATTTCGCCGAAGGCATAACGAAGGTACGACAGAAGTTGTCGCAGAAGATTATACCGCAAGAGGAGAGCACGAAAAATCTGAACGAATTGTTGAATTCGCTTATAATGACGACGGTGGAGAAAGTGAAGGGCGTTTTGCAGGATTTGGTGGCGTTTATCCAACCGGACATCAACTTTGGTCAAAAGTCCGTGTTTCGAGACAGTTTTTGTATTGATAACGTTCGAGAAGGTTTGATTGTTTGCTTCATCCATCACATAACAGCAACTGCGAGGAACTTCTGTACCAACAACGTTTCTGATCCTAAAATTCCTCCGACGTTGCTCCTAGTCTTATCAAAATATTGCTTGTACTTCCAAAACAACAGCGTTCATTACCTTGTAAGATAATTTGAACAATTTTCATGCAAAACGTTTAATTTGTGGATATTTTCAGCTATCTCAAACGGACGAATTGTTTAATATTAACCCGAAATCGTCGAGTGCGTTAACTACCGAAGCAGAGTTATGCACGTCAATGGAGGAATCCGCACAAGAGTTGTTGAACTATTTCGTTCGCATCCAAGGATTGAATATCTCTCAAGTATTTTTTTGAATTATTATTTTGAACTGAATATTGATTGGATTAAAACTTGCAGATGTTGAGGAAAAGCGTGGAGACCAGAGATTGGTTGCACACAATAGAACCGAGGACAGTGAGGGCTGTAATGAAAAGAGTGGTAGAAGATATAGCTGCAATTGATGGAACCGTAGCCTTATTGTATGAGGATCAAGGAACAACCACAGAACACAGCAGCGATTCCAGTAGAAAAACGCATAGGTTTAAACTTTATTTAAATTGAGATTCAATTGTGTGATTCGTTATTTTTTTCAGTATTTCAGTTTCGAGGCATCAGTACCGTTCGAATTGGTCTACATACACGCCAAATCACATGGACTCGACTTTAGTCTCGAACATGCACAAATTGTTCAGTGAACGTATCGAAATTTTCTCAACGGTTGAACCAAACAAAATATCTATTCTGACGGGAATTATTAAAATTAGTTTAAAGGTGATTATAATCTAATCGTTAAGAAAAATCTATCTGTTATATCAATTTTTTTGTTTTTAGACTTTTATGGAATGCGTAAGGCTGAAGACGTTCAGCAAATACGGTTTGCAGCAAATCCAAGTCGACACGCATTATTTGCAATTGTATCTGTGGCGATTCGTGGCCGATGAAAAGTAAGTTATTGATATCTTTGTATGAATGGGAATAATTTATATGTTGTTTATAGCCTGGTGCATTTCTTGTTGGATGAAATATTGGGATCGACTGTGCACAGATGCTTGGAGCCTGTGCTTATGGAGCCGAGCGTCGTCGATATTATTTGTGAACGTGGTTAATTAATTTAAATGAAATACTTAAACAGAATGATACGAATAATCAACAATACTTCTTCTAATCTGCAAGACGTTATTGCAGATTGTCGAGGTTAAAAGTGTTTATGTGATATACGTCGCTAGAATTCCATTTGTTTCCAAGTCTATTGAATCATAAGTAATGTTTTTTTACTTTACATGTATTTATTAATAAAATATTGAATCTACTTATAGTTTACATTTTATTATACATCCACTTTTCATGACTGATTTCACATTGACGACCAAATGTGAAATTTTTTGAATCTATTATGAATTATTATATTCTATTTTAATGTTATGAATGTGGTAATTTTAAAAGGAATGTTCAAAGGGTTGTGCACGCTCTAAAACGACTGCGCGGCATCGATTTTCCCCAGTTTCTGGGGCAGATGACTGCTGCTATGGCGTATTGTGCAACGCATAGAGTATGTGAAAAATGTGCATTGAAAAGTACAGTGAAGATGTGTTAAATCTGTAACGAAGATTGTGAAAAAAGCGATTACTACAAAAAAAAAAACATGGCTCTTTACAAAGGATTCAAAGTGCTGGAGCGAAATCAGCCGGGCTACCCGTATTCGATTTTGCTGGAACAAAAAAGCAAACAGGAATCTCTCCTCTTCGAGAACGAATCCGTGTCTGTGGTGATACCTCAAGAGATCGAAACAATTAAGAAACAATACACGAAAGTTATAGATGCGTACGGATTCTTGGGTGTATTGGACATCAATTTGGAGGACTCCAAAGTCCTTTATATAGTGCTCGTCACCGGTTGTTCTTCCATTGGGAAACTTGCGGAAACGGAGATTTTCCGCATATCGCAGACCCACTTTATCCCGCTCAATCATGAGCAGAGCGAAGAGCATATCGCCGATTTGCGAAAACTGCTGAATTCTGGTGCTTTCTACTTCTCGTGGCCTCTGAAAGCGAAGAGTACGCCGCCCGTCGATTTAACATTATGCGCTCAAAGAAAATTGAGAACGAGCGTCACCGATAATAGATTCTTCTGGAATCGGATGCTGCTCGTGCACCTGGTGAAGTACCGTATCGATTGCAGCCCGTGGGTTTTGAAGATCATGTGCGGATTCGTCGAGATGAAAACTGTTTACCTTGGGCATAGAAAAGCGTTGGCTGCGATCATATCCAGATTGAGCTGCGAAAGAACAGGAACCAGGTTCAACGTTAGAGGCATCAATGATGAGGGTCACGTTGCGAATTTCGTGGAGTCCGAGCAAATCATTTTGATGGACAATGAGATCACTTCGTATTTGCAGACAAGAGGATCGGTTCCATTATTCTGGGAGCAGCCTGGGTTGCAGGTCGGCTCGCACAAGGTGAAAATCCCGAGAGGTTTCGAATCTTCGAAGGCGGCTTTCGAAAAGCACATGGTCATGATCAAAGAGCAGTACGGAAGACAAGTCATCGTCAATTTGCTGGGTACAAGTTTGATTGGAAGCAAGGAAGGCGAGAGCACGCTCAGCAACGAATATCAGAAGCATCATCAGGAATCCGTTCATAAAGACGACGTGGCGCACATCGCCTTCGATTACCATCAGGAGTGTCGCGGCGGTAACCAAGCGAATTTGGTCAAGCTAAAGATGAAAATAAATCAGCAGATCGACGAATTCAATTTATACCACGCGAATTTAACGACCGTCTTCTCGTACCAAACCGGAACTATAAGAACGAACTGCTTGGATTGTTTGGACAGGACCAATTGCGTGCAAACATTCTTCGGATTGGATATATTGGAGAAGCAGATGCAGGTGATGAATGTGTTGGATAAGAAACAGATTAACAGGTTCGAGGAGATCTTCAAGCAGATGTGGATTAATAACGGAAACGAGATCAGCAGAATCTATGCAGGGACCGGCGCTATCCAAGGAGGATCTAAATTGATGGACGGCGCAAGATCAGCGGCGAGAACCATCCAAAATAATCTCTTGGATACATATAAGCAGGACGCAATCGATATCCTGCTGTACGGATCGAGTTTAAACACGGATTTGGTGGATCTCAGAAGAATTTTACTTCCGTATAACACTCATAACGTTCCGATGGTCATCATGAAAGAGATGTACAGACGTTACAACGAATTCACTACACCGGTTAGTTGCAAAGTGGTTGTTGGGACTTACAACGTGAATGGAGGAAAACATTTTAGGAGCGTCGCCTTCAAGAACACTTCCCTGTCGGATTGGCTTTTGGATAATTCTGAGGACGCAGATATTTTTGCGATCGGGTTTCAAGAAATAGTCGATTTGAACGCTGCAAATATCATGGCTTCGAGCAGCGAGCACGCCAAGTGTTGGGCAGACGAATTGCAGAAGGTTTTATCGAGAGATCAGCCTTACGTTCTTTTATCCTACCAGCAACTTGTAGGAGTATGCTTGTATCTGTTTACGAAGCCTGAGCACATACCGTTTATTAAAGACGTGGCAATTGATTCTGTGAAGACTGGAATGGGAGGACACACCGGAAACAAAGGGGCTATAGCTATACGATTGATGTTTCACGGGACGACAATGAGCTTCGTCTGCGCCCATTTCGCAGCCGGACAATCGCAGGTTGCTGAAAGGAATGCGGATTACGCGGAGATCACGAAGAGGGTGAATTTCCCTTTGGGACGCTCCTTATCAGCAAACGAATATGTGTTTTGGTGTGGCGATTTCAATTATAGAGTGGACATGGATAAGGAGGAACTCAAGGAGTTTATTAAGCAGGGTGATCTGCAGGCCGTCTTGGAATGCGATCAACTGAGGAACCAGCAGAAGGCGGACAACGTTTTCGTTGGCTTCGACGAAGGAGAGATAACGTTTCCACCTACATACAAATACGATCTGTTTAGCGACGATTACGATACCAGCGAGAAGTGCAGAGCACCGGCGTGGACGGACAGGATTCTCTGGAGGAGGAAGCCTTTGTTTCCCGATGTCATCGAAGAGCAGTTGGATGGAGGAAAACTCTTGCACTACGGACAGGCGGGTTTGAAGCAGAGCGATCACAGGCCGGTCGTGGGAGTGTTCCAGATCGAAGTGAGGAAAATCGACGAGGATGCGAGAAGAGAGGTGTTCCATGAGGTGGCGTACGAATTGGACTGTCCCGGAGGTACCTTAGTGTTTAGTTGGAATAAATCACAGCACAGAGAAGTAGAAGAAGTTCATTTGCTTAAGGCAATCTATGACCAATGCAAGCAGCACGAAGACACGCTTTACTTGAAATATACAGACACGTCGATGTCGGTCACATTCAGATATTACAAGAACGCTCACGAAACCATCGCCTTGTTGAAGTATCAGTTGAACGCGTTTAAATTGGATTTGTTTTTAGAAGCTCCCAATTGGTTACATCAGATCGAGGAAGAGATCGCCCTGTACAGCAACAACACCGTTCCGCTGTACGCGCCGAACTCGATGCAGGCAGAGGGTAACCAGGAAGTCAAGGTACCGCCGAAGAGGCCTCCACCACCGAGAGGCGGACCACCGAAATCACCGACACCCGAGACGGCGGCGGATAACCATCCGCAGCAACCTAGAATGGAATCGATGAGTTCCTACGATGAAGCCGACGACGACATCATAAAACCAGCACCGCAAGAACCGCCACCACCACCGCCTCCTAGATCCGAGCCTTCCAGCGCTCCACCGCCCATACCCAGCAGACCTTTACCGCCAGTTCCAGCAAGACCACGTTAATTATAATATTAAATTTAATAAAATAAATCATATATAAATATACAAACAAACATACATATATAAAACAAACATAGCATTGAAAATGTGAAATGTGTTTAGCAATTATTAGACATTATAAAAGCTTGTTACCCCCAATGTTCTTTTCATTTATTTCTACTTACTGAATTAATAAATAAATAGACGACTTAACAAACTCAATAAGATCCATTTAGAGAAGGGACAGATACTTTGTACGTGGCTGTACAAAGTGTGTATCAAATGACTATTATAGTATTAGCGGCAATATAACATAATATCTCAATAATGCAAATACACTTATTCCATTCACGTTCTTTGCTGTTTAAGATTGATGGAGACAAATTGGATTACAGTAGCGATTGTTACAACAGTGGATGGATGGATGTATGATCGTTCCCATCCGGGAATCCAAGAACACCGCGACACCGAACAGAACATTTCGGATCGAAGAGCGCTCCCATCGCAACGTGAACAAAAAAAAAAGAGAGGAATAATAAAATGCGGGACTACAATTAGTAAATAGAAAAAAAAAAGAGAAGAAGGAGCATTTATTGTGGAACAGGCGCACAACCACACCGGAAATAGCTTAAATAGGAAGCGACGATTAAAATACGTGTATATATAGATATAGTAATAAACGAAAGCTAATAGATTTTTTTTTTGAATGCGTTTTGATGCGACACTTTTTCCCCCACTGATTTATACAAATCATGTCTGCAAATCCTCAACAAACATTTAGATTTTTTTTTTGAAATTATAACTTTTCTTTAGAAAAATCATTAGTTTAAGGATTTTTAATAAAATATATAATCAAAAATGTTGATAATATGGATTGTAAATGTATAAAAAGTGTATAACAATTTTTGAAATAAATTTATGAATTTTTTTAAATAAAAGCTATTGGAGAAGAGTAAAAATTAAGCGCATGTAATTTGATGTTTTTTTTTTCTTTCTTTCAGTGATGTCATGTAAGTTACACCAAGCTGAATGAGTAATATTCAGGAATGTACGTATGTAGTGCGGTTTATTTATTTATTTCACATACATACATATACGCTTTTTTCAGCAGATAATTTTCTCCGTGCGATTCGTAACGTCGTTTGTGTACGCGTATTGGTGTTAGTCTGTGTGTATGCGTAGTTACATGCAGGCAGGCAGAGGCACTATCCACAATGGAATAATAACGTCGACAAAGGAAATAATCTCTTAATTTAAGCTAAATTAGTTCTAGGATGTGGGCATCACATATAAACTCGATTGAGATTCATTAAGAGTTAGTATGCGGTCAAATGTCGTCGGCTGAAACCGTCCGTTGCGTGCGTTTTCTCTCCTCCTGGTTTCAAACTCGCTCACGCCTCCCCCACATCCAACATCAACAACTCCATCCTCATCACCACGATGCACACGCAGACGATGATTCGAACGAAACGCGCGAGATGATTCGAAACTCATGGTAAGTCATCAACATAATAATTATCTTTACGCGAAAGATTTACAAAAAATTACGATATTTGTAGATTAAAACGAAGAAACATTTACCAACAATTTCCATTTGCATCAATTGAAAATACACTTATTTTTCTAAGCCGCGACAAATATATAAATCCGCTTGATTGCATAATGGGATCCCCCTTGTGCTCAATCAGAAAAGATTTGCATCCATTATTTAATTAAACCAATTTTATTCGTCGAGCGCGCTGCAATCATCCATCCGTCTATTTATGCAATAATACTAATAATAATCATCGAGGAAGGCTTTTGCGAACAAAAATAAATGCTTTAGTTTCCATGGTATTATTTATGACACTTTTAATGTCATCGATCTTCGCGGAATCGCTGTGCAGATAAAAAAAACGAAAAGAGGAAATCTGCTAATCAATTCCTGGTAAGTGCTTTTAGCTAATCCATTTAATTAATCATCGGCGCACAGCGATCAGTTAACAGCAACAGTTTACACTGATTTAATATGAATTACACACAACAAGCAAATCAATTTCCGAATCTGTATCAAATATTTTAATGGAAGACGAAAGAGAGAAGAAGAAGAAAAAAAAATATATATATAACAATTACAATAATTTTCAGGTCCCCTTATTCTGAAATTATCTGCTGCGACCCCTGACCCTCGATACGAGATTAGGCTTGTGACCCTCTCGCTGTGGAGAATACACGATAAATATATACAAACACAGCAGCAGTCGCCAACGCGTTTCTTTTTTACTTAACCAGAACGTGTCCATCCATGAATACTTTCGATCAAGGATGTGCGTAAAGAAGAAGTACGACCAAAGAAGTTCCCAAAAACGGATTACTGTAAGTAGACTTTGTAATTTCGACCATTCAAATAGTCCTTAGAAAAAAACATGTGCTTTTTCTATTATTTTTTTTTTCATTGTTATTATTTGTTCATCTTTCTTACGAGATTATGTAATCGCCTTTATCCAATTATAACTAACCGGGGAACCTTCAATTCGTTCCTACGAAACAACAACTCTTCGCGGCTTATCTTCGATAGCGCATTTCGAACTTATCTTATTGAAATTACGAATACATCGCCCGACTCAAACTACTTTTTAATTATATACTTTATTCTATATACAAAAAGTATATAGTTTACGTTACTAATCTAGAAAAAATCTATTGCAAGTTATTTGGGGTAAAAAAATCGTGTTATAAATTTGTTTAAAAGTTATAATTATTACTAAATAAGTTTTTATTAATAGGAAGAAATGCTCTTAATGTCTAATATTAAATAAATTAAGTAATCATTTGTTACTTTCAAAAGAAATTATTTTTGGTTCAACTTGAAAAATTGGTTGTATTATATAAATACATATATTTTTTTAAGATAATCAAGTGAAGATAGTATTATTAATAAAATGCAGATGTTGAAGATTTTTAAGCAATTGAATATATTATAACTGCCCCTATTTTTCTGTTTTAAGGAAAACAAAGTAAAGTGATTTTTAATAGTAGTTTCAGGGAATTCTCCTCCCTATGTTAGGGATGTGGGTCCAATTGTTGGACCATAGGGGCATTCGGGGAAAACGGAGAGAGAGAGGACAGTAAAGATACCTATCAGAGCGAATTAAGTGGACTACATTAGATTGAATCGAATTAAGGAGAGAATGCCCATTAATTCCAATTGGTCCCCTGAATCACATAATTTGCATAACGGATGGACGGACGCTTGTATTCCATTCATGCTAAATGGTAAAAAAAATATAAGAAGAATCTCTTTGGCCAACATGCACATGGAGAGAGGAGAGGAACAAACAAGGGGAGGACATGGAATAGTAATTTCAATTATAACGACAAAAAAAAAGGACACGATGAGAGAGGACCGTCAGACTCTTAATTTAGTTGGGGGTCATATCATTTAACCTTTAATATTACTTTACTTGTGCAGTCGCACGCATTAAAACACGCTAACATCATACGTTACACACACGTTGAATGGGAAATGAGAGCACTGCAGAAGATAAATTGTTCTCAATTTAATGACACTTATTTACCTTTCAAGCTCGCTGCTTAATATCCGTCATTCAATTCACTTGCAGAGTTGCATCCACATCCTCTCTTACAAACCAATCAAATATTTACAAGCTGTATTCATCAACTGATAATTAGTTGTTTTTCTATTTACTTTAAAAACTAATTAGAGCTCAACTTGAAATCTCTAACAATAACATTACAGACATTTACAGTTTAAAGCTAATTATTATTTCTTTTTCATAATCAATCACTGCAGTAATTCGTAAGTATTCAGGAGATGTCAAATCGCAATGGAAAACTACCCTATTTCTAAGTACTAGTGCCGCAGGAGTGCATTTTATATCTCCTGCTGCTCGAGTGCTTATCAATAGGAATTGTTGACTCAGCACATAGAAAAAACCAAACGCACTTCTACAAATTTTGATAATTTAGGATTATAAGTAAGTTTATTAATTTTAAGTTAAATTATTAGTATTTATTAAGGTATAACAACGATGAATTAAAAAATATTATAAATAAATATTTTAAAACTTGACTTGGCTGAATATAAATTATATTTTATTTAACAAATTCATTCCTAACATGTAAATATTTGAAAAGAAAAATCTTTGGCAACTGTATAAATGTTCTTGTACAATAATAATAATAAGTCATATATTTTATTATTCGATAAGAAAAAAATATGATAAATGAACGAAACGAAGATTAAAAAATAAATAAATCACATTAAATTAATTACGCTGATGCTGGTAGAGAGCGATGGTTTGCCACGCAAGACATTTTGCCTTAAATTCTAAAAATAAACAAAAATTGAAGCGGTGTGATTTTTTTCTGTCTTCCAAAGTTATTAGTGTTTGAACGTATGAAATGTGTATTGTTAATGATTAATGTATGTGTCATACCTGATTGAATATCTCTGCCAATAACCTGTTGGCCAACTTCATTTGTCTGTCCCTGTTCTCAACCAATTTTCGTTGAACTTCGGGCAGTTTCTTGTAGTGCTTCGCCGTCATCTGCTTCATTTCTTTAGTTGTGAACAAACGTTTGTGGGCTGTAAAAAATATTTATGTATTTTTTGTTTCTTTTATTTTATTGGTTTCAGTACTAACCGTTCTCGTTTTGGCCTAAATATTGGTAAGGAGGCAGTCCGTTGGTCATGGCCAGGACCTGCTTGTACTTTTGGCATCTTTGCTCACGCAAATAAGCCAACTCGATCATGCACTTTCTCCTCTCCTCCGCTGCAGCAACAAAACTAGGCTTATTCGTGGCTAAATAGTCCTGGACAGAAAACCGAAAAGCAAAGAAGCACATATTTAACACCTCTGTTCAATAAATGGTTTATTTCGTACTCTTTCTTTTATGATGACTAACATTTTCTTTACCATCGTATGCATGGTTGACAAAACATGTTATTTTTTTATTGTTACAAATTCACAAAGTATGATATCACCGCGAAAATACTGTGTGCTTAGAGCATTACCTGAAGACTCTTTCTATCCTTGTGCTTCGACGATTTGTGTTTCTTTCGTTTTTCTTCTTTTGTAGGCAGATAGCCTTTGCTGCCGACCGGTATTTTTATTTTGATCTCGTCGAGCGACCTCACGTTGCGCTGGGACGGCTCCTCAACGTCTTCGGCGCCCGGCTCAAATGTTAATAAATAAGCTACTGCTTTCTTTTGTTGGTTGTTTTTGTTTATCCTACCCCCATTGTTGCAACACGAGCTGCACACTCCGGATAGTTTTGGTTCCTTGCAGGTGCAACAGGACTCGTAGCTATCAAGGCCGCGCAGCTCCTCTAGAGTGCTACGGATCCTCCGGATCGTCATGTTACTAGTCAGAGGAGAACATGTGCACTTGTGCTGAGGTTGCTTGAAGTAAGCATTCGATGGACTCCAATCTCGCTTTTTACTTTCAATCAAACAGGGATCGCAGAACCTCGGCCCACAAGAATCAAGAACGGCTATAATTAAAGAAACAATTAATCAAATATCAAATGCAGTTAAATATTATAAATACTTACTGATATCTATTGCAGACCCCTTGGACATACACTTCCGGCAACATGAGCATATTATGGCACTAGTTGAAGAGCCGCTGGAGGAGCTGCTCGATGTACACTTCATATTCGCAATAGACTTAGTAGTTTGTATTCCTCTACTTTTACCTAAAATAAAATCCTCATTAATATTCCTGCATAAAATTTTCTAATATTAATAATAATGACTTACTTCCAAGCTTATTATCAACTTCTATTGGCACCTCCAGAACGACTCTCCGAACGCAGTCTTCGGGATTTTCGCTACTGCTTTCTACCGTATTTGACACGATCCGTGCGTTTTCAAAATCGAGCGGCAATTTCATACCCGATATTCCTCTAAGCATTTCCACACTCCTATTACTAGATCTGCGACTATCTGTACTGGGTGCTTCTGCCATATTAATTCCTGCTGCCGATGTCCGACTGAATTCTTCCTGAATAGAAATTGAACTTCGTGTACCGGATTCTCTTGGTTTTCTTCTCAAACTGCTGGGCGATCTGCGACCCATAGATAACTTCGAAACTTCATCGTTTATCGAATCTTCTGAGCTATTATCATCATCGTCAATTTCATTGTCAATCGCGTTCTCGCGACCTATCGATGGTCTGCTAATTATACCTTGTGAAATGTCTGATGATTTTCTGATGCTCGAACCACGACTCGAAGATCTTTTCGACATCCCTGATGATTGTCGACTCACTGCCGAAGGTCTATCGGACTTCCTGCGATTCATTTCGTTAAAGGCGGCGAGCGATTTCATTTTTGATGAATGTCCATTAGAATCACGAGCACTTTTGGAGGCGGACGAAGGTCTGTCGCTTATCGTAGAATGGCGAGAATAGCTTGGACCATTTTCGGACCCATCCTCTGATATTCTAAACAATGTCGATTGTTTTGTGTTAGACGGCTGATCCATAGAATAATTATCGTCATCCTCGACTGATGCAGCTTGATTCATTGAAGATTTTTTCTTTGAAGATTGTCTACTCATGATGGACGGACGCTCGTCATATCTATCATCGTCTGCGTCTTGATTCGCTACAGATTTTTTCATTGAAGATTGCCTGTACGTTGCTGATGACGCTCTACCATCAAATCCATCATCCTCAAAATCCACTTCTTGATTTGCAAGAGATTTTTTCGTTGATTGTCTGCTAATTGCGGACGGCATTCTACCATCAAATCTGTCGTCCTCAAAATCCGGATCTTGATTTGCAAGAGATTTTTTCGTCGATTGTCTGCTAATTGCTGACGACGTTCTACCATCAAATCTGTCGTCCTCAAATTCCACATCTTGATTTACAAGTGATTTTTTTGTTGATTGTCTGCTCATAATAGAAGGTTTGGAGTAACTTGGGTTGCCATCAGATATGGAACCATTATCAGATTTTCCAGATGCCGTGGATTGTCTCACCGACGATGCACGGTCCATTTCGTCATATAATTCATCGATATCATCCAATTCCGGTGAGAATTCTTGAGGAAGACGAGAATCGCGTGATTTTCTCGATGTCGATGAGGACTGTCTACTCATTTTACTTTGACTAGGCTCTACACCATCATAAATACGGTCATCGTCCATCTGATTAACTGATTTACGTTCAAACTGTTCTTCGACATCAAGATCCTCATCATTTATATTTCCCAAGGAACTTATCACAGATAGACTTTTGCCAGAATTTTGGCCATTCGCACTTAAAGAGCTATCACTGTAAGGGCTTTTGTAAGATGATCGTTGTTCCAGCTGTGAAGAATACTCCACGGTTTTCTTCCTCGGCGCCGCGGAGTTTCGAGTTGAACTTTTCCTGGATTGAGACATATCACTTGCGCTCCCCTCTTTATTCTCTATAGATTTAGACACTTCCTGCAAATCAGATGATTTAGGCAACTTCGTTTTATATTCTTTGATAGTAGTGACTTTAGTCTTCCTATGTTCTTCAGTTTTAATATACTCTGTCGATTCGAGCTTATCACTGTTATTATTATTATTATTGTTACTATTCTCATTTGTTTTCGCCTCAATCCTATCATCCATCTGACCTTTCGGCTTCAATTTTGCTACAATTTCTTTGAATTTATAATCCCTGTTGCCTTGGTCACTGTACAAATGAAAATCAATTTCAGAGAACTCATTTACATTGTCTACTTTAAGACGGAAATCTTGGCTGTCTATGTTATTGGTGTCTTTGGTCGGCTCGTTCGGCCTCTCTGTTGTAATCATGTACACGGATGTTGTTTTATTAATGTTTGTAATATCTTTAAAGTGTGGTGTCTGTGTGGTTTTGTTCTTTTCCAAATAGTTGCGCAACTTGTTCAAATGCTCGATTTCTTTGTTAATCCAATTCAGCTGATGATCTCTTTCGTTTTTAGCGAACTTTACCATCACATCGGAACTATTCACGGAACCACTCGAATCTACTTTAATCTCAGAAGCTGTTTTGTTACTTTTCCAATCGGTGGTCTCGTCGGATTTCGGTAAAATAAAATTGTTCGAAAATACCGCTCCAATGGATTGTTCGGTGCTGCTATTGGTGCAATCACTGTTGGGCAACTTCTCCGTAGGCATGGTAAAGATTTTATTCTTCGTCTGAGTTGGCTCCATCACTGGTATCGCTGGTTTCCATGGTAAGTTTGTGTGTAATTCAGTTAATTTCGTGGGATTCTCCAAGTGATTGTCATTCATCACCATTTGATCTACTCTGTACGCAATCTTGGGTTCAATGTTAGGCGTAATATGCTCAGAGTCAATTGAACTGTTTCCAGAATTGGGTGATAGGATTTTCTTCATAATCTTGTTTAAATAATACTGCTTCGTCTTCACATCGTATTTCTTAGATTTAATCAGTTTATTCAAGAGCTTTAAATTAGCTTCACGTTCCTTTTTCGTTTGAGATTCAATATCCGACAATGAAAACTCTTTGCTCGAAGTCTCAACGCTCGTGAACAAAGATTTCTGGTCACCGTCATCCCCTTTACTTTCCAAGGTGTTGTTCTCACTCGAAACAATAGGGTTCTCCGGTGATTTCGTCGACTTATTGTAAGAATCTCCATGGAAATATTCGAAACTATTGGAAGCATCCGAAGAATCCGTTGCTTTCGCAGTCGCTCCGCTATGTTTAACATAAAATACTCGTTCGTTCTGAGGAGATGTTTGAATTGCGACGCTAATATTTTCAGAGCAAGTCTGCATAACTTTATCCGTAACAAGATTCGTGGAAACACATTCTACGCAGATTGGCTTAGCGACGTGCAAATTTTTGATCTTCCTACTTCGATACCTATTAAAATACTTCAGCCTTTGCGGCAACGTCAAATCGAATTCACTTGTCCATTTCTTAAGAGTAGTATCACTGCTACAGCTAACGTTTTCCACACTGCAACTGCTTTTTACTTTCAGGTCAATTGGGTAATCGTAACTAAAATTCACTCTATCTAATTTGATCTTCTCCCTTCGTTTCAGAAGTACGTCATCTACACTATGATTTTTGTTCTCGTTAAAAATCTGACGGGCTTTGGGGTAATTTTCCAAAATTTTCTGCTTCACCTCATCATCAGAAGATGCCGACGATGATACAACACTCTTGAGTTTTGCAGTATCGCCTAACGAGTAGTAATTGTTCGAAGACTCTTTATCCGAAGTATTGGATTTCGAATCGGATGAGCTCGAATAGAATGTCACATTCTTGTCGATGATTTTCTTGTTTGCTCTTGGAGGTTTCTGTGGTATTATCCTATGCGTCGGTACAACGTTGATAATCGGCGTGGACTCTGCCTGAGGAACGCCGACTTTGCTCTTCAGAAACAACAGTACGTCCTCCTTGATCTTAGCAGAAGGACGGCTCGTTGATGATTCCGATTTCCTAGAGCTCGAGCGCTCCTCCTTCTCATCAGATTCTCGAGCGTTCTTTCTAACGGACTCTGTGTCTGATGAACTATTGAGGAACACTAAACGATTAGAGGAACTGTTATTTTCCTGCGTGGTGATTGTTGGCAAAGATATACTTCTGTTGAGCTTCTGCACCTCGTAGTGGTCGTAGCCGATGTCGGCCCCATTGTCCCATTCCAATTTCCTGGATGCTACGCTGCTGGTGGGTGAATGGAAGGCGGAAGTTTCCACATCTTGATCTTCATTGTTGCTGCTGATGACTTGTGGAGGTAGTGGTGGTGTTGTTGATGTTGTTGTTATTGTCGGTGGTTGTGGATGTGGTGTGGGAATACCGTAGGCACCGCAAAAGTACGACGACAGGTTGCGATTTTGTGCATGTTTACTGTAATATTCCAAGACCTCCGCCGTCGCATCGTTCTTACCTTTATCTTCCATATCTTTTAGTGTCCTCCTTCTTCGTCGCCAATTACTATATGGTCCTTATTCATTTTATAGCGATGACAGGCTGCAAAAATTTTGTCGTATTTTAAAACATATTGGATGACAGACAAAAACAAACGTGACAATCATTAATCACATGAATACAATTATTTTACTTATATCTAACATAAAACCAGCTTTTCTTTTTGAAGCAATAAATTAACTAAATCTAAATAGTGGCTTGTGAAGAAAATTATTAATATACATATGTTTCTATTTACTAAATTAAGTAAATTAATCAATATTAAAACTTTCTTTTTTAGTGCAAACTATATCATAACAATATATTAACATAGACTTAATGAATACATAAAATTAGTCATACACTTAGTATTCGTTAAGTTACAATAAAGAAAGTAAATTTAAGTTACAAAACTAATTTGATAATAAAATTATTGAAATTACTACATGTTACTAAAACTAACAGTTATCATATAGAAAGCATTAACATATTAACGATGTTATTGAAGAAGAAGAAGATTATAGGTTTCCAATAATAAAAACAATAATAAACATTTGAATTGATACATAAACATAACCTAATTATTATTTCAAAAAATACATATACTAAAAGACGTCTTTCTGAAGAGTGTTAATGCGAAAGAACTATACTCACAAATGAATATGAACACAATTGCAGCATTATACACTAATTAATTAATTAACAATAACCGAACGTTTTAAACAGAAACCGTTACTACTTATGAATGAAAATATAAACGATACAAACTAAAATCAAATCACCAACAGCTGTTGATGCAACTTCATGTTGCTTATTTTGAATTAAAAATTGCTTTCAAAAAGTTACTTTTTACGTTATGTCTTTTGTTTATAGTATATATGTAATAATATAATAACAACTAATTATTAAATAAGTTATTTTTATGAATTATTGTTGTTTCAGAGGTGAAAGAAAGATTGAATTTAGAGTTTTCTTGAGTTGGTATATCTGAAGAGCAACAGTTATCTTGCAGTGGGCTTTGAAAAATCAAACGGTCATTTGCTACATCCTCAACGTCTTATATGACACAATTAGAATTGTAAAGACTTTATAGTTTGTTGTTATTAATTCGAAGGTAATTTCCGCTATATTGTTGGATATTTGTGTGTTTAGTTTATTTTGGGAACATTGCATTATGCACATTAGTTTTTTTTCGTATAGTTTTTTCATTATGTATTTTTTGAAAAAGTAAAGCATCAGTAGATGATTTGCGGATTGTGGTGAGTGTTTAGTTGAACGCGTATTAGTTTGTTGTATTATCAATTTAGTTTAGATTTGGACAGTGTTGATACTAATTTATGTTGTTTTAGAAAATTAAATGGATTTGTCTGAATATTTGAAGTTGGGTCTGAAGGATCTTTGCAAGGCAAAGCAAACAAGTAGAGTTGTGCAGATCAGACATTTAAGACAGCAGAACAGAGATAAATACATGATGTCTCAAAGGCAGATAGTGGAATCAGTTGAGAATACTCCAGAAGTGAAGGCCAAAGTTAGGAGACCAATTTTAAAGCAGCCTGTAATTGAAGTTGAGCAACCTAAAGTCAATAAAAGGATGGAAGCTCTGTTATTGTGGAGGGCAGAGAAAGCTAAGAAGATGGAAATGGAGAAGAATTCAAACAAATCGAAACCAGTGTTTAAGGTTTCAAAAGTGGTGGCTCAGACGAAATTGGAAGACATCTATCCAAAAAAAGCGAGTCAGACACCAAGCTTTGTAGGATCCACGCACAGTTTTAAACCGCCAAAGAATATCAAACCAATTGCTATACATCAAACAACAATCTCTCAGAATACCAGAAGCAAAACTCAAACATCAAAAAGCAAAAATGGTAAATCACACTAACATAAACTTCATGTGTTTCATATATTTTATTTCTCAGATACTGCAATAAAAAAAGCGCCAATAAAAAGAACTGTAACTGCTAGAGCTAAGGATACTAAAGGCAAAACTAATAATAAAATTTTAGATAAGATTATTGAATTTGGAGATGCCCTTAAAGTGTCAACGTAAGTTCAGCATGATTTGAAAATAATAACATTTTTATTTGGAATATTAGTTATCAAGTAGACTTAGGTTAATATAGCACTTTCAGTAATGTTCCTATTTACCTTTTCATGACGTACATAATTTATTAATTATTATAATTCGTTATTTTAGTGCAATAAATACTCTACCTGAGATAATAGTGGGAATGGAAGAATCACCAAAGAAAATGAACAAAACTCCTAATCGGAGTACAAGGATGAAGAAATCGCGAAAGAACAGGGAAAACGAAACTCCGAAACATCCATCAAAGAAACGTAACACTGAAACAACAACACCCAAGGAAAATACTCTTCAAGTAATGGAGGTTACTCCTCAAAAAAGTCCGAACGAATTGCCGAACAACGAGGTGGTATATGTTAGTCCATTTGTGACTATCGCCAGAGGAAAGAAAATGGCGAGAGATGAGTATAAAAGTAGGTCTTCGATGGGTGGCATTCTAGCCGGATCACCGGATTTCACAGGCCCAAAAGCTGCAGCGAAATACTTTTATAATTTAAAAGCTGAACAGATCGTAAGATTGCAAGGGCTTATTGAAGAATGGACAAAATATTCGGTAATAAACTGACTGAAATTCTTATTAGCTTTATGTAACATGTTTGTTTTTAGGAACACGAAGATCTTCCTGAAGGAGCAGAGGATATTATAAACGCAACGATTGGTCAAACGAATTTGCTCTTGAATAAGAAGATGGAACGTTTCCAGCAGCTAATAGATAACTGCGAGAATCAAAATACCGACCCTTTGGTGAACGCCACCGACTTGCACGGTTATTGGGACGTGGTTACTATACAAGTAGACTCGATCGATAAGAGGTACGAAAATCTTGTGAGAATGAGGGACAATGGCTGGGAAGAGATATTACCTATACCAAAGAGGGTGGAGGAAGTCGCAGTTCCACGACCCAAAAAGAAGGTGGCTGTGAAGAAGAAGAAGACTGATGCACAGGGAAGCTCGAAGTTAAGAGGTGCAATTCGATTGGCCAGACAGAAACAGCAGATGGCCTCGTCCGAAGGAAGCAATTGCTTTGACGGTGGTTTCTTCAGCATACAATCTCCTAAAAAATCGCCGGCGAAGACTAGGAAAAGTTTGCTAAAGTCCGTACTCTCATCGGCCAAAGGCACGCCGAAACATTCGCCCGGTCTAATGATGATGAAGGTTGCACATAATATTAAATCAATAAAGAAAGATACCGATGTAAGTGTAATTTTAATTTCATCTTCATCTGATATTCATAACTCTTCTTACAGTCTGGGAGCAAATCAACTGGAAAGAAACTCAAGACTGTTTTGTTCGCTGATGAAGTGATGGACTGCAATGGATCTTCGACCGAAGAAGATAAAGAAAACTTAGAAGAGATTACCGCCAAACAAGAAACTCCCCGTAGTAAGTACTCAACGCAGTTGGATTTGGTAAACACTAATACTTTCTCGTTTCAGGTAAACGACAATCCGTTAGATTGAGTAGTCGTAGTAAACTATTTTAATCAACGAGGCCATTCTGGGAATAATCGAAACGATAAGAATATATACGTTTTGTTTTTCTCTCCCTATTTATTACCAATCTTATTTTAATGCTGTAATTAGAAGTTATTTGATACGTTATGCATTCACGCGTTCCCAATTTTATGCTCTACTTTCAAGTGATGTTTTTCAATTTAGGTTTTTAAAATTTCCATTATTTTTTATTTTTATCAAAAGGAGAAACATTTTCTATGTACATTCGATTTCAGTTCTGTTTTTAAATGAATAAATAAAATTATATTATATAATAATATGTTGCGCCAAAGCGCTTACAAACGTTTTACAAAAATTTATTGTATTTTTATGCATTGTAACTAAAGTTATGTACTCATTATTTAATAAATAAATTGTTAATTTTATAATATCTATCGTTTTATTTTTTTTAGGCAACCAAATGTACATCAGTATGATTTTCAAAAAAAAAACCTGATTTTAGACAACTGAAATTTTAATAAATTATATAAAGATTATTTCAAATTTATTACCATTTGTTATTACCTAATTGTTACAATTAAATTCTACTATATACTTATAATAGTATCATAATTATGTTTATGATGAAACTCAACAGATGGAGACAGTTCTATGAAATGTTCATTAAAATTTGCTATTAACATTTAAAAAACTAAAACTTACTAATTAGATCAAACTTGTATCAGAGAGAAGAATAATTATTATATATTGAGAATTACTTATTTGCATTTGAAAATTGCAACCAAGTTAACATTGTTTTTAATATAGAAAGAACAAAAAAAGGAAGAATTAATCAAATTAATTATTTAGTATTATTTACTAAAATCTTAATATTTCTCTTTTCATTATTTAGATTAAGTTGTGTTATCTTTGAATTAACTATAAAAATTATTGATAATTATATAATAATAATTAATAGTCAAGTTTGAAACATCATTGACGTAACAATTTTTTCAAATTCCGTTGGGAATTGCTTCCACAGCATCGATGATGGTTCTTTAAACTTATTTGATCACAATTGACCGTCTGTGTAAAACATGGCACCCCTTTTCTAAAAAAAAATAATATAATAATTTATTTAGACGCAGTGACTGAGCACATTTCCATACAACAGAAAAATAAACCTTTCGCGTCTCTTGAGACGTCCCAAAAATAGTGGTAATGCCTAGGTAGGTGCAGTATTTGTATAGATGCAACAAGGGGGGGAATGTAGACAGGGTCATTAATATTAATTTTTGGCCTTTCGTCGCCTTTTGAAATTAGATATTATGTTGAACGAGGAAGCAAAGGGTTCGATTCGAGCAAGGGTTGCACCACCATTTGTGTGTGTGTGACGCAACTGACGCTGCATAAATAATTCGATCGTGAGGGATGAACACAACAATGCACACACACAAAATAATATAAATGTATATATGTGAAACGAAGAGTAGAATGCACAGAAATTCCTGTAATTTCGCAAAGTTTTATTCATTTCGCCAAAGAATACGAACGCATTATTCTTCGCACATGCTGCGTTTGCGTTTACATTAATAAGCATGTACAATATTAATAAGCGTTCGTAGAAGGAGGTTAACGCGGAATACGCGGAATCTTTGGCCGCAATTAGGGTGAGAAAATACCCCGTGAACGCACGAAACCCGTACAAACTTATTATGTACACTGTTTTCTTTATTATTTTTTTCGACATCTTGAAGACGCAACTTCGAGGTATATGAACTCATGAACGAAGCTTTGAAGAAGGTGTTGCATGCTGTATTATTATGTGCGTGGCTTTGATAGCAAACGTTATAATACAATTATCTACTACAACTATAAACATAAGACTTTTACACTTTTGACTACTTAAAAATATAAAATAAATATAACAATTTAAATGTAACTTAAGAGAAACCTTCTTTTTTAAGTAAATTTCATTTTCTTTAAGAGTAATCGTGATCGATCAAAGTCAATTTTAAATTAGGAAAAGCTAATTGAAACGTGACGACCATAAATTGTCAGTTCTTTCTTTTTTTTATACAAGGATTTAACATACTTATCACATTCACGTTAGATTGATATTCCGAGAAACGTAATGGGCGAATCGTATAAAAACCATAGATCACGATCTCGTATCCACCCACTCGCACACCTCAGCAGAAGTTTTTTTTTTTTGTTGTGAAAGGATGCAATTGATCCCAAATGCGATTTTAGTGTGTGCGCGCGTTCGCTTGTGCCCATTACAATATTTTTTTTTACAATTCCTTCATCTCTCATTTCTAATTTCATTCAAACTGAAACGTTGATGTGGCGGCACGCGCTTAGTTACCTTTCTGAAAGAGGTTCCCATTCATACACACAGAGAAAAAAAATGTAATAAATATAAATGCAATCATTTTTCGGTGCTTTCCACCCACGCGTTTCTTTTATTTCATTGTTTCGCTTCTTTTATTTCACCTCTTTCATTCCGGTTTCGCTCGCGAAGAAGGCCCAAACCGTAAATCATAAAAAAAAAAAACGAAAATATCATCGATATCCTCGCTCTGAGCTCTTCGGAAATACTCGCGCGTGGGTGGCGGATGGATCTGATAAATCAGCAGTCTTTTTTATTTTTTCCTATACACTGTCTTTCTCTCCAAAAGTTCTGGCCGTGGGCATCTTGGAAAGGCCACAGTTTTATCTTTAATTTGCATGATCCAATTAGCATACGTGAAAAAAGTCATTAATTAATATCACGTAATCGAAAAGTTATTTTTAGTGTTTCTTGCAAATACAAAAGTAATTAAAAAGACAGCTTAATTTGAAATGATTCGTTTTTTGTTTTGACTAATCTACAGAACAGGTAAATCGATCGTTTTAAAAAGACCTAAAGTGGTGGAGAGAAAGATAGGTATAATTATGTAGTCTAATGGTTTTGGTATTGCTTTTATAAGTACATGGAGAGATTCCAATAAATTTGGTGGTGGAAAGATTGATTATAATGATCTTTAATCTAAATGGTCATTAGAGCGAGAAGATGTGGCCTATCTGGATTATTCTAATTCAATCAATTTCGTAGATACTTGTTGCATTTTCTTTTGCTGAGGACAGTTTTGAAGAAGTATGGATAAAATGTAATGGATATTGGCAATTTGGTTTAAATGCTGGTCGAAGTGCGGTCGAGTTCGGTTGTGTGCGGTTGAAAAGTGCCCGAGGATACCGGAGCGTGGGAGATCAAATGGCTCGCGTGTGTCTACTGGTCACGAGAACGGCATCAACTATCCTCGATTCAAGAGTGTACCGAACACTTTTCAATAGCCTCAACTCGCACAGCTGGATTACTTAACCCACGCACATGCACACACGCCACACGGTGGAAGCCTCCTCATTGAGTTGAGATGAGATGAGGAGGAGGAAGAGCACAGCGAACAAGAAGAAGAAAACGCCTAAGTAGAAGAAGTAAGAAGGAGGAGGAGGAGATTGAATTAAGTACAAGTAGAAGACGAGGTAGAAAACGGAAAGAAACCCAATATATATTGGGACGCCCACGCGCGCGCTCGCCTTAGAATTATCTTTATTATCGAAACACGTTTTCGGTCCTTCTTCGTCATCATTTTCGAACAGAAAGTATAGATCTTAATTAAAATACGTTTAATATGTTTTAAAGAATTGCATCAAAAAGATATCAATAGATTTAATTATAATTACTGTGTTGATTACGAGATGTTTATTAAAGTTAAATTTGTTACATTTTTACTTAAGTTAATTTAGAATCTCCTGACCTTTAAATTTTAATGAACAAAAATCAAGTTGTTGTTGGTATGAGTAATTCAGCAACATAAGATATTTTGTTTTATTACACAATTTTACAACTTCATTTGACTTATATATTATAATTTACAAAAAGATGCCATGGATTTGATTGATGTTTTTCTTAATAATTATTCTTATATGAAATGGTGATTTATTTAATTGATTTCTTGTTTTCTTTTTGTAATAATAATTGAGAATTAAGATAATCTAAATATAAAGATAATCGTTTCGTAGATATTTGCTAATTTGAAGTATTTTATTGCAAATGTCTTTGAATTTGTTAAAATTTGGCTAATCCACATTGATTTTACATTCAAAAATTCTCTTTCAGTTCAATCAATTCTTCTTACAAGGAGAAATCAATAACTGTTATGTCTATTTCAAATGATTTTATAATCCAAGACGGGACTATTTTCTTTCTTAACACTAAACCTACCGACACTTCATACCTATTCATACCGTGCGTGGTCTTATGACCGCTTCAAAAAAAACTATATATCTTAACATAGGATGCAATTTGAGCCAATTAGATAGTGGACAAAATATTTTGTTTTATTTGAAAACGTTTTATAAACATTTTATGAGTTTTTAGTGCATTTTTTTTTTACAAATTACAGAATTTTTTATTGTAAATTTTCTTCTAAATTCTAAACAAAATTTCAAGTTTCGTCATTTGACCGAGCGTGGTTGGTTTAGTGTTAATCTTTATAACAAACATTGATATCTTCTTTTAATTATATCAAGTGTTCCAAGTAAAGTTGAATGTTTCCACGATAAGATTAACTTTTTATTAACAACAGAAATTTGCATTAAATTTTTAAAATATAGAAATCAATTTTAGAGCAAAATCAAAATATAACTGATTGAACTTCAACAAGATTCACATTTTTTATCTAGTAATTTTGTTTGCATAAGGAAAATCTATGCTTTCTTGATTCAACCAATTTTCTTGCCATAGTTTTATCAATTTCGAATTACAGAATTAATTATTTCAATTATTTCAATAAATTGTTATAGATTTCATCAATATTTTCATATAATTGCACAAAACTTCATATGAATATTATATTTATATGTATTATAACAATTATTATAATTAATAAAATATAAATTGCATTTTTTTTAACTATTAAAGTCTATAGACCCTTTCCAAAATCTATTTATAGTTCATTGTATAGTATAACTTATTTGGTGCAATATTGAGAAGAAAATGTATATGGTTCAACATTAACTTAACCCTTTGTTACAATAAAAAATACATTTTTTTAATTACTTTATAACACATTAAAATTAAGTTAATTTTTATCAAATTTAAGCAATATTTCTATAGAAAAATAATTCAAACTTATTGTAGTGATTTAGATCATAGAACAGATCAATTTTAATATAAATATTTAGTAACAACATTATTTACCACTTAC